ATTCTCATTCAGAGGTTTTGAAGGTTTATTCAAAGAGACGAAGGTCAAATAACTTCCTCTAATTCATTTACAATGGGTGGTTCTTATGGATTATTCTACATAATCTAATGATTTCCTAACATAACTTGCTGATGCAGTTTTCTGCAGACATCATTTCAGACACGGGGCATTTGTCGGGGACTATTTCCAGTGGTGGATTCATCCACATTTGGTGGTTTAGTTGGAAAGTGGGTCAGTGTACTGAGTTTGGTATTTATCATGAACTCGGCTACATTTACTAACAGCGTTTTCACACTTTAACGCAGGAACTTTATGAGATTCTCATGTTACGGATCACTTCGCCGTCAGGGCCTTGGTGCCTCGTGGTCAAGGACCGATAGCAGCTTGTGTCCTGCCAGAGAATTCAAGAGAAAAAAAAGCCCTTAAATTTCCCAGACAAGAGAAGGATTTCCAGCAGACTGAAGGTACAAGAGTTCAAGGTAACCTCTCCTCCTCACTCCCACACGGCTCCACATCACAATTAAAAGCTCAAAGACGCTTTGTTGGGAAACAGTTGCGAGGGAAGGAGGTGATGTCATCCGGATACTTCTTCAGTGTGCTTCTCGTGTGAGGGGAAGAGGATACGAAACAACGAAATCGCTTCCGAATGAGTTGATGGATAACTTTGAATAAAAGGTATTTTCTCTATATATATTATGTATGTTTTCATGTACATTTTGTTCAATGGCAAACTCCTAAACTCTTTCGTCATCAAGGAACTCCAAATATTCAGAACATACCACAGGCTGCAATCTGCGATGTGACCACTAGATGTCCTCAGAGTCGACACACTCAACCTTTAAATGACTTCACTACGTCAGTCCTCCACCTTAGAAATATGGGAACTTTCCTCCATTGGTTCTGTAAAATAATAACATCCCAACAGCTGTAATCCAAGATGGCGGACCGGAGGCTTCATGGCGTCACCATGACTACGCCCCCGTCTCAAATGACCCGTAGTCCACAGTCCTTTCCCTCGTTTCAAAGTAAAGTACAGAAGCAGAGAGGCCATGGGGGAGACAGACAGACCTGAGAACACCAAAGCTGGGTTCCACCTCAAGGAAATTAGCGAATTCCAACTTTAATCCCAAATCTAAATCTAAAATACAGAATTTAATCAGGAACCAGGAGAGATTCACAATTCACTCTGAGCTTTCTCTTCCTCCCCGACGAGATGAGACATTTGGGTTTTTTTTCCTCGATACCTGCTCTCTCTCTCTCGCTCTCTCTCTCTCTCTCTCTCTCTCTCTCTCTCTCTCTCGCTCTCTCTCTCTCTCTCTCTCTCTCGCTGTGCCCCCCTCCCTTCTCCCTCTCAGAAGATATATAGCCGTCTATTGATGCTAATAATCCACCCGATTTAACCTGTGATTCACCTCGGAGGGCACGCAGCGAACTATTCGCTGTATTACAGAGAGCTGCTTCTCCCCGGCCGTCATTAGAGCGAGCCCCCCCAGCACCGGGGGCCCGGGGCCAATTCACCATGATTGAGGGCAGAGAAGAGGATGCTAAGAATTTGGACTCCATGGCAGCTGATACCCACTATACACACACACACACACACACACACACACACACACACACACACACACACACACACAGATTAACAGACCTCCCACACACACATTTCCCAGTCTGAGGGGGGGGGCTCGTTTCTCCCCCTCTGGTCTACTGGAGCAAAGGCTAAAGGAGTGGGGAGGACACCAGAGGGAACGCACAGTTCCTCCCTTCACTCAGGGCTTTTTTTCAGAGAGGAAATGGTCTGCTGCTGCTTCCTGTTACACGCCATCGCGCTGCAGTGTGCGCGTGTAGTGTGTGCGTGTAGTGTGTGCGTGTGTGCGTGGCGTGTGCGTGTAACGCGGCGAGGAGAATTACTTCTTTCTCTGAGTATTTTGTTCATCACGTCATGTTTGAAATATTCAAACACACAAAACAGCTGCCGTCAGATTTCGTGTTTATTCAACTAACATCTCCGCCCAGCAACCAGAGCCGCCGCAGAGCGTTGAGCAACCGAAGCACCTGGTGGAAGGTGCTGGGTCCAGGAGCATGTCCCCGTGAGGGGGGGCCTCCACATGGGGTGGGGGGAGCAGCTCATGGTGCAAATGAAGGCTAAAGGGTTGGAGAGAATCGGATTTGCTGTGTTTATTTCTGCCTGTCACTTATTTCCTTACTTTCTGTTTTCAAGCTTCTTGTAGCTGTTAAGTGTCTCTTTGTGGTTGTTTAGTGTGTCCTTGTTGCTACTTTGTCTCTTTGGTCGTTTAGTGTGTCCTTGTTGCTACTTTGTCTCTTTGTGGTGGTTTAGTGTGTCCTTGTTGCTACTTTGTGTCTCTTTGTGGTCGTTTAGTGTGTCCTTGTTGCTACTTTGTCTCTTTGGTCGTTTAGTGTGTCCTTGTTGCTACTTTGTGTCTCTTTGTGGTCGTTTAGTGTGTCCTTGTTGCTACTTTGTGTCTCTTTGTGGTCGTTTAGTGTGTCCTTGTTGCTACTTTGTCTCTTTGGTCGTTTAGTGTGTCCTTGTTGCTACTTTGTCTCTTTGTGGTGGTTTAGTGTGTCCTTGTTGCTACTTTGTGTCTCTTTGTGGTGGTTTAGTGTGTCCTTGTAGCTGTTAAGTGTCTCTTTGTGGTCGTTTAGTGTGTCTTTGTTGCTACTTTGTGTCTCTTTGTGGTGGTTTAGTGTGTCCTTGTTGCTACTTTGTCTCTTTGGTCGTTAGTGTGTCCTTGTTGCTACTTGTCTCTTTGTGGTGGTTTAGTGTGTCCTTGTTGCTACTTTGTGTCTCTTGTGGTGGTTTAGTGTGTCCTTGTAGCTGTTAAGTGTCTCTTTGTGGTCGTTTAGTGTGTCTTTGTTGCTACTTTGTGTCTCTTTGTGGTGGTTTAGTGTGTCTTTGTGGCTACCTTGTCTCTTTGTGGTCGTTTAGTGTGTCCTTGTAGCTGTTAAGTGTCTCTTTGTGGTCGTTTAGTGTGTCTTTGTTGCTACTTTGTCTCTTTTGTGGTCGTTTAGTGTGTCTTTGCTACTTTTGTCTCTTTGTGGTCGTTAGTGTGTCTTTGTTGCTACTTTGTGTCTCTTTGTGGTCGTTTAGTGTGTCCTTGTAGCTGTTAAGTGTCTCTTTGTGGTCGTTTAGTGTGTCTTTGTTGCTACTTTGTGTCTTTTGTGGTCGTTTAGTGTGTCCTTGTTGCTACTTTGTGTCTCTTTGTGGTCGTTTAGTGTGTCTTGTTGCTACTTTGTCTCTTTTGTGGTCGTTTAGTGTGTCCTTGTTGCTACTTTTGTGTCTCTTTGTGGTCGTTTAATGTGTCTTTGTTGCTACTTTGTGTCTCTTTGTGGTCGTTTAGTGTGTCCTTGTTGCTACTTTGTGTCTCTTTGTGGTCATTTTATCTCTATTGGTGGTCATAGTGTGTCTCTTTTGGCTGCTTTGTGTCTCATCATGTGGCCCGCGGGCCGGAGTTTGGGACCCCTGCTGTAGGTGAAGGCCCGTCGGGCCCCTGAGCCTGTGCCGGTCGTCCCGTTCACAGATCCTTCCAGAAGCGAGGGTGCGGTAACATGCGGGAGACGCGTGTGTCCGGAGAGGTCCGGACTCCAGATCCTCACACAGCTGATCCACGTTTGCTGCTGACCTTTTAGAACGTCAGAATGGGGCCCTCAGGGGCCCCGGTAGGATTGTCAGCTGATACATAAGCCGATGTAATAAGGACAAATGGGAGCAGGTTCCAGCAAGCAGATACTTCTCTGATCCATCGGGCTGAAAGGTGAGCACAGAATGAATCGCTATTACAAATAATCTGCACCTCTCATATTGCTTTGACTTTAAGCAAAAGGGAAAATATCCGTCTGCCCAACCGTTTTGTCACTTGTCCTCGGCCTTAGAAACTATTTTAAAAATGTCAAACAGGCTTTGCAATTCATCTCCGTTAAATGACCCCATTTCATCTGTGAAATGTGCGAACGTCCGACCCTGAGCAGCATGTGGATCATGGCTGAAATAAAACAGGATGACCTTAAAGCGCCGAGAGGAGTTTAGAAAATATAAATCAACGGTGGAAACGTGACCAAAGGGCCATGCAGGCTGTGTGGGTCCATCAGAACCTGAAGTTAGAGCCCCGTCCCAGAAGAACCGCTGGCGCAGACTCTCCTGGAAAGATTCTTTGACATGACGTGCACACAAAAGGACGGAGCAGAGCTCTTGGAGAAGGATGCAGCCTTTGAAGGGTCGGTTGGTACACTGAGCACCGCTAAAATAAATAGTTAGATAGATTGACAGTTAAATCAAAGAATAGGAGCAGTGGATGAATGGGAAGAAACTCCACATAAACTTAAGGACTCAATTCAGGAATATGTGCGTTGACGTTCCATCACACCTGGTAAAAGGGCCTCACGTTAAATTATTAACTCATTTAACTTATTTAACTTCTACCAGGTGTGATGTCACGTGGCCCACTAACCAACCACAAGGAAACCGATGCAGGTTCAGATCATTTTCTTTCACTGTGACATTGATGACAGCTCAATGTGAATTTAACGCGTCCGAATGCGATACAGTGAGACAGATGTTGTAATAAACTGTAAGTGGAGAAAAGTGTCTGAAATGAGTCAGCAGCTGGACACACGTTGATGTTTTTTACTTCACCTGTCGAGCCCGTTTGGCTCTTTGCTCTTTGTTTTAAATGTACTGCACTTTAATGAGAGCATAAATATGCTGGTTGGATACAGATCGTGCTTTGAGGCCCTTTGGCCCCGAGTTGTTTTGTTCAGGTTCCACCTCTTTTAATCATTAACAGGATGAAAGATCTGATCTGTCTTTCTGAAGTGTGATTTTTAAAATATAAAACATATATTATATGATTACTGAGGGGTTCTAATAAACACACCGTGTCTTTATTCTCAGGGGTGTTAACAACACATTTCAGTAAAAGTTTCTAAACCTCCTTTCGTGCGCAGCACAGCTGGGCACCTCTCCAAAAAGGGCGGTTCCAGTGACGTCTCCAAAATCAGCCCGAATGTTAAACCTGCCACTCTGATAGACGCAGAGAGCGCGAGGGGACCTTCTGATGACGAGCCGGGAATGGAGACGCTCCCGGAGGAATAACGCGCAGGAATACCCGGCGGCCGCGTGCGATGCGCGCTCCTAGTTCCGCTTTTACGCGTCACGGCTTCTGGTTCTTCGCTCCGTCGGCGACCGGGTTCCGCGGCGGAGAGGAAGTCCACCGACAGCCGAGACCCAGGTTTGTGCCATGACGGAACACCTTTTCACTCGTCACGTGTGCGTTCGGAGGCGCGCGGCAGAAGCGTGAAACGCGGCGCGTGTCGGAGGCAGCGGGACCAGGCGGACCAGGCGGTGCCGCTGCCTCCGACAGGTGCTCGCTCCGTGAGGGCTTCAAGTCTGCAGGATCAGCATCCACCTCTCAGGCGGCACTTCATCGGGTCGTTGATGTTGGTGAGATGCAACACGCAGAAGGTTGCATGTGTGGAGCAACTTCATGAAGATCTGTTAACAGCTGAAAAGCTTTTCTTCCTCCACTAATCGGGAGCTTCATATTAACGTGCTGATGGTCCAGGGGTTTTGTGTGTGATGAAAGACCAAATAAATAGTTGTGGATCCTTAAGTCGTTCCAATCATCCTCAGATGAGGTTATGATGTTAAATGTCCTACATCCATGAACACACAGTAATATTTGTAGTGTGAAAACGGACGTTTATTAGACTCATTCGCTTTTATGTGACGGAAGAAAAAAGTGGAGATCTGCAAAATAGAAAACACATTTTTATTTCAGTTTTTGTTGCACACTCAAATTTATCAATATCAAAATAATACTTGTGAAAAAAATGTGATTCGCATTTCATGTGAGGAGCTTTTTAAAGAATAGTAGTAATATATCTGTATATATGTATTTGCGTGCGGCTAAATGGGGATGACAGTTCCACCCGACGTCTCTCACTTTGTCACTAAATCATCTTTCTCTTGATGTTCATTCAAAGACAGTTATGATTCAAACCAGCAAACAGCAGCATGAATTCATCTGACCAGCAGGTTCCAACAATTCATCAAATGTTTCCCCTTTTTGTCTGCGGAACAAAAAGAGCCTTCGGTGTGTTTTTATTTTTATTTTTAAACTGTCACACAAACGTCCTTCGCAGCTTATTACTACATCAGCGTGGCCTTTTCTAAGAGAGCGTCTGCTCGCGACTGTTGCATCTCGTCAACAAAAGGGCCCGTCTCCGGCCGGCTGCTCCACAGCCTTGAATCCGCTCACCGGGCTGCAATCTCACTCTGGCTGCTGGTGTAAATACCAGATTCTTTTTTCCACTGGAGAATAACTGAGGGGGAGTGGAGAGTCGATGTGTGGGGGGGAGGATGGAGGGAAGTCCTGCCGCTACCACAAATAAGAGGCTGGAGTCCAAGCACATCCCCTTCCGTGCTCCGGGTTTCACCCACGTTGAAAAGCATTCCGACCGGCCGGCGCCGGCAAGAAAGAGAAGGGAAAAATAAATAAAAATCCTTGTCAAGGTCACGGCGCTCGACAACTCCAGAATCCCTCCTCCGCTCCAACCACCCGGAGGTACCCGAGCACGCGGTGCAACCTCCACGCCGGCCTGTCCCCCGGAGGCGGTGGAGCACCGGGTGGGTCTGCCCCGAGGAGGTCCCGTGGCGGTGGGACGGGCCCCTGATGCTTCCGGCCGTGGTCCTGAAGCAGCGTTCCACGGCGCGCGCGTGTGACCTCCGCTTCTCGATGTGGACACGCTGAGCAGAGCTGAAATCAGTGCGCTGCTTTCATACCGTTTCCCTCCGTGCAAACCTTCTCCTCCCTCCGGCCTCACTGCAGAATGTTAGATCCAACTAAACATTCAAGACGTTCATTTCAGCTCTTTATTTGTTATTATGGAAGAAAATGTCAACTCTTCTGAAAATAAATAGCTGAAACTGCCACATGTTCCGCATAACATCCTCCGTACTTGTATTGTTACAAATAATCAACTGTGACAGTAATTTAACGTTGCTGCTATCTCAAACCCGTGAGCAGCCAATTTAACCAAAGGGTTGAGAGGAGACCGCAGAGGAACCTCTGAACGTCACCTCAGGTTGTCAGAGTTTGCACGCGTCTCTTGAATGAAGTCGTTTCTGCATCCCTATTAAAAATATGACCTCTGCTGACGCTGACCCCGGTCCATGTTTAGACCCAACGTGGAACTGTTGCAGCCTCTCAACGCGGGAGCTTCTCCCTGCTGGAGTTGGGCCTGGCTGATGGATTTGCATTGGGGGCGGGGGGGTGTTCTTTGTTCCGGTATGTGCCGCTGGCTCGAAGCCCCGTTCTTAGGGCACCGTTCTTTTTTTTTTTTTTTTCTACACAAGGAATAAACAGCCTTTCAATATACGAGCTTTCTCCGGTGAGACGTATTAATGTTTCCCTTCATGTTTTTGTCCTGTTCACTCGTGGTATTTCTCTTGCTGCTGGATTCTGCTTTGTCCTCTGCAGCTGTTCAGCGGATGGGTTGAAACCGACGTGTTCAGCAGCTCCCCGAAAAACACATTTTGTGTTTATCTTCTATCATCCAAAGGTGGCCGACCTGAGCGACACTTTGGGTCAGAAACGGCATCAGCAGAGTTTTTTTTCTTTATAGATCCCATTATGAGGAGATGAAACAGCCCGATATCTTGTCGGGGTTAACGGGGTCTCGGATGGACTCGCTCGGCTCGCTGTTCGTTGTTGTTGTTCATTTACATCATCACAACAGTGCTGTTTTTTAATATTCTTACTAGACCATGAAATAAATGTACTAAAGTGTACAAAAACACACCCAGTATCTACATGTATTGCATTACACAATTTGATCGTGATACTTTAAGTCGATCAGTGATGCACGACGAGGTGACCAGTCACGTTTCATTGGTCATTTCTTGATTCGGATTTTTCTACCTCGTTTTAAATAGAAACCTCAGTATGGAAAAGAAAATGTCCAAACATGGATTGCAAAGATGCTTAAACTGGTCTTTTTTAGTGTCTAAATCGCATTTGTATCTCAAGGGAGCTTAGAGTAAAAGAAATGGTATTTCATGGTAGTTTAATAGTGATCGTTGCACTCGGGAGGATTGGGGCCTTTAGACTGTGGCTGTCGCGTTGCTTCCGGCTGGTCTGTTCACCGACCGATCGCCATCGGCTCCGTAAATAAACGTACCAAAGTTGTCGTCTACGTCCGTAAACTATCACGGGTTCGTTCCTGCAGCTGGAAAACATATTTTGGAGACGAAAGCAGCAGCTGTGTAGTTTTGTTCAATGTGACACGTGAACGGATCAGTGGAATGAAAGACCGAGTTGCATTAAGACCGTGCCCTTTGACCCCGGCCCGGCCGCTGGTTTGTCATGGACGGCTGCCATGAGCGCCGCGCTGTCCAAAGCTCAAACTTCGGCCAAACCTTCTGACAAACCACTTTTTCAGGGACGCAGTCGGCGGGTAAAAGCCGAAGGGTCGAGCCGCGCAGCAGAAGCAGGTGAGGCGTTTAAATCTCTCTGATTCTGATTTGTTGTGCTGTTTGTTTTAACGTTGGCATCTGAAATGTTTGTTTTTGGGCTGTTGATCACAAATCCAGACCTTCGGTTTAAGGTGTTTAATCTGAGCGAGTTCAGGCAGTAAACTTTACCATAATTATCTCTGTTTAATTTAAGACCAGTCGGTGGAATACACCCCCCCCCCCCCCTCAGTTAAGTTGCACCATTTATAAACCTTGATTTTGTTGGTTCAGCTCTTAAAGTTCATCTTTCATGGTCACAATAACATTTTCATTTGGCTAATCGGTGGGTTTATAGACATCGTTTCCCACACGTCCCCCCCGACCACTGTAGACGCACCATATTCCTGCGTGAATATTCAGCGATGGGCTGCAGGGGTCATTTCACGCCTTAGGGCGGGGCCCTACTGTGATTGACAGGTCGAGCCGGCGTCCCCGTGTCCCTCCTCTACGTTGACGGCTGTTTTGTCGCCCGCGCTGCGACACACGTGACGTGGGCGAAGGCGCCCGAACTCGAGACTTCAAGCAGTCCACAAACCGACGAGGGACGTCGCCATGGCAACCGCCACGTCTTGCACGCGCCCCGTGGCCACGATCCCCCTTAAATATGAGTAACGAGAAGCTTACAGTTAAAACAGGAACAGTTTCACTTCCTGTTTTAACGAGTCATCTTCAAGACGTCTGTGTTGGAGAGACAACTTATCCACGTGTTATTGGAAACGCAAACATGGTAGCTGCATCTCGACTGGGGGGGGTGGGGGGCGGGGTCGAGGGGGGGTCGGGGGGCCTCGGACCTCAAACTTCAACCACACGGCTTGAAAAGGATCAAAACTAACAGAGCGGCGTTGAAATGTGCCAACTGTGAAATGTTCCACCGTGTTTACAGTACAAGCTGTGATGTTTAATATCAACACATGACGGACGACTGACACGTCTAAAAGTATCTGCTGTCCCTGTGAGTGGCGGACGCGAGGACGTGTGGCCTTTGTCCCGTAAAAGGAGGTTAAACTCGCCTCCCAGGAGGGTTTGCGGGAGCTTTTCCATTTCTAAACGGGACTAAAGAGGACATTTTTAGACGCATGTATCGAAGCCAGTAGCTGGGTGGATTGGTTAGTGGAGGCCGCTCTGACCTGACATGTGTGATGCACATGTTGACTGTTGATGTGGTCGACCTCGCCACTGTTTGGCACGCTGCCTCCTTTCAGAACGACGCCGTCTGAGCCAGTGAGGTAACGCTTATCAGCAGCCGTTACTTAAGGTTTGCATTTATCTTTTCTTCATGTAAGACGGATCTGCTACTTTTGTGGAGCCGCTTCAATTTGAATGTCATAATTTAAAGTGTCGTTGTCAACTTGGACATAAAGATGGACTTGTGCATTTTATTTTTCTGCATTATGGTAAAAGCAGGCGGCGACCTTTGGTTCTGATGACCGGGGGGGGTCATCAGTTGTTGTTGTTGTTGTAAACACAACTTCATGGTCTCAGTCTCTTGTTTCAAGTCTTCATCAGCATGATGTTCATTTATTGAATCACACTGTATTTGGATTCAAACGCAGCGTGTGCTTTAGGGCGGGGCTTACTGTGACTGACAGGTCTCTCACAGAGTAGTAAACTGTGTCTCTACCTCATCTCACCCCTACTGACTGGATGCATTAAACCAAGATGGCAGCGGCCCAAAAGGGCAAAATTGAGGCTTAAAAACCATCAAGAAAAGGCAAAATTTCACGATGTCTCAAAGTCAATGGTCCTTGTGCAAGAACACCTTTTGTGTTGCTCGTCTAAATCGCGCTCTCTCTTTTTGTACAAGAGGTTCAAGTTGGTTTCATTATACCTTTTGTAAATGCTCTAATTTCCTAAATTGCTCATATCAGCTTAAAAAAACCCATCTATGAAAAAGTGTCCGTTCATGATATCGGGGAGGTGGTCAAGGATAACTGGCAGTCATGGACACTTTCTGCTTCCTAGTGTGCTTTAATGTGTAACTGCATTGAAACAATCATCTAATGAAGTTGGGTTTCAGGTTGGATTGTAGATGGTGTCAAACACCACCCAAAGCACCGTCTCCAGCCTTCTGTGGGCCAGAAGCAACAAACCAAATTACATTCGGCCCCCGGTTCTTTCTGTTTAAATTCAGGTGAAGTTCCCAGAAACCTTCCTGGAATAGCTCCTCCGGAGGAAAACGGTCAATAAATGTGTTTTGTTAAAGGTCCTTTCCCTCGGTTGACCCTCGGACTCTGATGCACTCGGCAAAGAAAACATCCCATTATCTGTGTTCACTCCCGACGAGCAGAGCCCGACTGAGTCGGCGGCGGTTGATGTTGTTGGAAAAGATGAGACCAGCCGTAGAAAGGATTTGCCTCGATACGCCTGATCTGTGTAAAGAAGCCGTCCGTAACGACACAGATCTCTCGCTCATCACCAACGTGAAGTTCAGAGGGATTTGTTAATCTCACGTGTTCAGTGTTTATGCCTCAGATTTCCAACACGACTCCAAATGTCGAATGAATCCAATCCAACGGCTGCAAAAACACTTTAATAGTTCAATTATACAGATATTATTTTTATGGCTTTCAAGCCTTTATTCTCCATTTCATTTCAAGCAGCAATGTTTTTAATTATTGTGGTCCCCCCCTCTACCACAGGCCTTGTCTTCACTAGAACATGCACTGAGGAACCAGCGCCCCCCCCAAATCCACCGTCCCTCTGAAGAGCAGATCTGAGATGGCCTCCTCCCCGAGGCTGGACGCTAACCCGTTACCGCTGCTTCAGCTCCAGGAGGTGGACTCCAGCAAGTCCTCGGAGCGGCCCGGCTCCCGCGGACTCCCGCCCGCCGTGTACAGCCCCCCCCTGGGCATGGACGGCCAAACCGTCTGCATCCCCTCCCCGTACACGGACAGCGGCCACGAGTACAACCACGGCCACGGCCCTCTGACCTTCTACAACCCGGCCGTGCTGAGCTACGCCCGGCCGCCCGCCACCGACAGCCCGTCGTCTCTGTGCCCCCCCCTCAGCCCGTCGGCCTTCTGGCCCTCCAACGGCCACCCCAACATGCCCTCAATGACTCTGCGCTGCCCTCAGCCCCTCCTCTACAGTGAACCCAGCCCACACGCACCATGGCTGGAGGCCAAACCCCACGGCCTGGCCGGCAGGTAGGACGGACAAAGTACTGTAACCACTGCAAATGGAAATAAATGGTTCGGTTAGTGCCAGGCGGTCAGTCTAAGGGGAAAATGGTCAGAAATTGAAAAACGTTCCGCCATTACATTCCTCTAAATGGAACTCCAGGAGCCGGGAGGCCGGGAGTCCTTCGGCTGTCATAGAACACATTTTGAGGCAAATAACGTGTGGCTGTTTGCTTGGATGGGAGTAGCCGCTCTAAGCGAGTGTCGAAGGCTACAATCTGCACTCACTTCTGCTCCTGTGTGCTTTTGGACAGCGGCTGAGGAATTGCTCAACTTCCGCAGTGTTTTTAACCTGTTTAACCTGCTGAGCCCCAATAAAGCGGCAAACAACACTTTGCTGTGTAGAGATATAGGGCGCTAATGCCTCCATGAGCAGAGAATGAAGTATTTTCCCCTCTGTGTGTCGTTACCAGACCCCCCCCCCCCCCCCCCCTTTGCTTTGTTGACATAGCCGGGCCGACAGCGCATGCTTTTAGTGCACGTGAGCGCGTCCCACCGGCCGCCGCTCTCCGGTTCCCCCTCAGGTCAAATAAACTGTTGGCTCTGTCGGACCTCTCGGTGTAGTTAGCGCTGTTAGCTGGTAGCTGCCCGTCGCCATGGTGAGAGGCAGAGGAAATGCTTCCAATCTCACAGCAACACAAAGTCTCAGTAGTCATAACACAGAGGGAAGTGAACGATGGTACGTGAACACAGGGTTAGAAATACCTAAATCATCAGCCTTTACACAGTACCAGTCAAACCCTCTCATTGAATTGAATGAGAAAACTGTGTAAATCTGGAACAGAACATCAATCCAACCACAAAACGGGCTTCGTGGCGTGCTCTGCTTTGGTCGGCCACTTCTCGCATATAACAGTTATGTGGCTGGATTTTTTGAAAGAGCTGAATGAAGAATAGTCGAGTTAAAGCAACAGTTGAATATTTCTGTCCTGTTGTCCTGGATTTTGGAGTTAACTTTAGTTGGTACGGCTGTGATGACCCCAGGGAGCTAAGACGACCATCGGATGATAAGAAAGGCTGCACACAGACACAAATTGGGAAATGGTTGGACTGTATATAAGTGGACGTACCCATCTCAATGACACCCATTGGTTTATGGAAGCCTCGAGTTTGTCTGTTCCGCCGCCGCCATCTTGGAATACGTTTGTTTGCAGCTGAACAGAAGTTTCTATGTTTGTAGCAGTAGCAGCTGATTTAGGATTTGTACTTTTATACTCAGTCATTGTCAGTTCCACCGCATTACGATGACAATCATAATCCCAGTTGCCATGGATGATGGATATTTAAGCACCCATCATTTTCAGTGATGAAAACTGAGCCGTTTCCCGATGCAATTTCTTCGTCGAAGTTGAATTTCTGCAGGAGTCTAATGACGGGGGATGATATAAATTTCAAAATGTCAAGTTGTCCTTTTATTTCACACATCGCCTGTGTCTTCCTGCAGCTCCATCATCAGCTGTAACAAGGCGCTGGGGAAGAGATCCGGGGAAGGAGCGGAAGGCGCGAACTCCTCCTTGTGTTCATCCGCGTCGGGCAAAGCCGACATGCACTTCTGCGCCGTGTGCCACGACTACGCCTCGGGCTACCACTACGGCGTGTGGTCCTGCGAGGGCTGCAAGGCCTTCTTCAAGAGGAGCATCCAAGGTATCGAGTCCTGTCCCGCACGTGATGGTTCCTCATCAGACCTCGCTCCTCGTGGGGTAACTCCACGACATGTCTCTCCTTTCCCTGTTAGGACACAACGACTACATCTGCCCCGCCACCAACCAATGCACCATCGACAAGAACCGACGCAAAAGCTGCCAGGCCTGCCGCCTGCGCAAATGCTACGAAGTGGGCATGATGAAGTGCGGTAGGTGCTGTTATTTGATGTTTTGCCATCTTTAAAAGCCTGAAGGTGAAAAGGTATAATTCACTAAATGAGCATCATGCTGCGCTGAAGAACACTAGAGATTGAGACCACAAACTCATGTTTACAATGTTTACTGAGCAATAAATCAGAAGTCATTTTCTCATTGACGTCTATGGGACCAGAAGAGTCGCCCCCTGCTGGTCATTTCAGAGAATGCAGCTTTAACACGTGAAGCTTTTGAGGTGGTCACCCACGCATGCAACAGCGCCCCCTCTTATTTCTCCTCTGTCGTAACGCACCAGGTGTACGACGCGAGCGCTGCAGCTACCGAGGGGCCCGACACCGCCGCGGTGGACTCCCGCCTCGGGACCCCTCCGGCAGGGGTTTGGTCCGGGCGGGGCCGGGCGCCCGGGCCCAGCGGCACCTTCACCTGGAGGCCCCGCTCGGCACGCTCAGCCCGCTGCCCCAGGCGCACCACGGCCACCACGGCCACCACTCGGCCATGAGCCCGGAGGAGTTCATCTCCCGCATCATGGAGGCCGAGCCTCCGGAGATCTACCTCATGGAGGACCTGAAGAAGCCCTTCACCCAGGCCAGCATGATGATGTCCCTCACCAACCTGGCCGACAAGGAGCTGGTGCTCATGATCAGCTGGGCCAAAAAGATCCCGGGTAAGCCCCGAATGCCGGCTTGATATGGCAAAGCAGGACAGAGCCTTTGTCCCAAAGACTGGAGGCTTTCTGTGCGGCCTTGAGAAGGTCAAAGGTCAGGTTAAACCTTCGGGTTCATTAGCTTAGCTGGACTCTCGGTCAGTGGAGGCAGCTTCTGTGCCCATCAACAGAGTCCGAGGGTGACGGAGGTGAAAACGTCCTTCGCTCGTCGCTCGCGCCGGTCCACCGAATGCTGCGGTCGGATCAACGCAGACGTGGCCGCGGCTTCGCGGGTAAACCGATATCTTCATAATGGAGCAGCGTGGAGTCTAAAATGAGGGAATTTCCTCCTGTCTTGTTTCTCTGTCTCGGCTTTCCTTTTTTTACTTTCCTTTCTTCTCTCGTCTCCTTTCCTCCCCCCCCTCCCTCCCTCCCTCCCTCCCTCCTCTCAGCCAGTGTTCAGCCCAGCAGGTAACTCCCGCGGTAAGGTGTTAATGTGAAGGGATCACAAAGGCTCTCCGTTGTTGGGTGTCTTTTCTTCGATAAGGACCATATTCCCACTTTTCCCTTCCTGTAGACAGAAGTGAGGAGGACGCTGCTTTGTCGTCTCTCATAAAGCGCGAGATGCACAGACGGCGTAGAGCTAAATACAACCATGTGACTTTGTTTGAATGTGTAAGTGATAAACTCATTTTAAATAACCGATCAAGGTCGACGCTGTCTCTCAAACAGTTTCATTCACTCCGATGTACTTTCACACGTGGTCACCTGTTAGAACACGAGCTTTGTCTCATTCTAAGGTGACTTTGTGGACACGAAGGGTGATGTTTTGCTGCTGTGTGTGTGTGTGTGTGTGTGTTTGTCTTCAGGCTTCGTAGAGCTGAGCCTAGCGGACCAGATCCACCTGCTCAAGTGCTGCTGGCTGGAGATCCTGATGCTGGGGCTGATCTGGAGGTCGGTGGATCATCCCGGAAAGCTCATCTTCTCTCCGGACTTCAAACTGAACCGGTGAGCGGCTCGGGTGGCGTTCGCACTCTCGGCCGCTCCGTCGGAGCTTTCCGTGGCCGATTCTGGCTGTTTTGTTGTGGTCAAGAAGCCTGCAGAGATGTGCTCCTCACGCGCTTTCCAGTAATGTCTCAGATTAGACGTGCATTAGACGTGCAGGACCACACGCCTTGTGGATTTGTGGCTTAATTTCATGGTGCTGTTAAAGCAAATCAATTTAAGATGTTACAAAGTGAAGTTATTCCTCTGTGCAGGGAGCTGCACCGCTGGGATGGATCACTGATCCGACGTGACATATCGCCTTGCAGAGAACTAAAAATACTTTGCTTTGGCCTTCAATCCATTACAATCTGAGGCCGTGAAACTAGAGAATAAGAAAATACGTTTCCTGCTGGATCAGGTTTCACTTGTGTTTCTCTTTCTTCCCCGAGAAATGGGAGGAGCCTGAGATTCATAATATCTTCTTATAATGTGGAATTATATTTCTCATTTAAAGGGTGTTAATATGTCAGAACTGAACTTCTGCCTCAGATACTTGAACTTGTTCAGCTTCCAGCATCACAACAGCGATGGCGGTTACAGTGTAATCTTTAACCCACATTGTCGCACAAAGGTGATGAAGCTTCACTAAGACCTTGAAACAGGAAATATATCAGTAACACTTGTGCAGAAATATCTCCTCTCTTCTGGACTGTTGTCTCCTTTCCTTTGCCAAAAGCCTTTTATCTCCCCTTGTTCCTTTTCTCTCTGACCTTCAACTTCAGCCACACTGCGGTTCACCCTTTTGTTTTTCCCGGTAAACACGGCGTAATTACGCCGCCGCCGCTCTACCGCTTCTCCTCGTGGGCCCTGGTGCTCTCGATCTGCTGGTTTTGTCAGCAGGAGTTAATGAAACATTAAAGCCAAGTGTTCTTTGCCGAGTCCAAAGTGCAGCGGAGTGACGGAGCACATTATCGGCCGGGTAACGCAACCACACAAACCGAGTGTGTGTGTGTGTGTGTGTGTGTGTGTGGCTGCATTCACTCTGAATGGGACGGCTTTTAATACTTACAAGGACACATTTAGTTTAAGCTAACGTCCCTCAAACGGATGAAAAAAAAGAAGAAAGTAGAGTGAGATTGTGATTCTTTGGGGACGATAGAAAGTCTCTGTTGAGTTTTTAACGTTTGACCTTTCTCTCCTCGTTGCCACGGAGACGGTCACTATAGGCTTAGGTTGGCCTTGATGTGTTTTCACAACACGGCCTGAGGTTCCTCTCGCCGTAAACCTCCCGGAGGCCGAACACACACACACACACACGGACACACACACACACACACACGGACACACGGACGGACACACAAAGAGGGTTTGCTCGTTTCTCTCTGGTCGGTCTTTTTCTCCCTCAGACCTTCTCTCTTTTTATCCGTCACCTGCCAATCAGGAAGTGTACGTAGAGGCGTATTTATGTGTGTTTATGCAACCGAAGAACAGAATTTACAATATTTGAAATGCAGAGTACCAATTAAGAGACCTGTCAATCAGCGTGTAGCCCCGCCCTAAAGCATCCCCTGTTTTATGGTCTGTTTGACTCTAAATGAACAATAATTCACTAAATTAACATTTAGACCATAAACTCATGTTTACATTGTTTACTGAGGGAATAAATCCAGAGAGAAGTAGATTCATTTTCTCATAGACGTCTATGGGAGCAGAGGAGTCGCCCCCTGCTGGTCACCACACAGAATGCAGCTTAAGGACACTACACCCACTACTTTCATTTAGACTACACATTTATCTCCATGTCTTCGCCCCCCCCCCCCCCCCCCCCCCCCCGTCCCTGTCTCCTCTTGCGTTTCCTCTCACCTTCTCTCTGTGTCTCTGTAGGGAGGAGGGACAGTGTCGTGGAGGGCATCATGGAGATCTTCGACATGCTGCTGGCCGCCACCTCGCGCTTCCGCGAGCTGAAGCTTCAGAGGGAGGAGTACGTGTGTCTGAAGGCCATGATCCTCCTCAACTCCAGTGAGTTCACTTCCTCTGAGGGAGGAGCGGCAAATCCTCGTCTGATCCTGTGGAATGTTTGTGCCACATGTGAGGTTCTAGCTGTCCTCACTACCCCTGAACTCTGAGGCAAAAGTGTCCAGAGGTCCTTTGTGAAGTAATCGGTAACTCACATGGGGAGATCTCCTGCCGAGTGTCTCCATTAGCAGGCGGAGACGTGAGTGGTCTCCTGGTCGGTGTTCACTACCTGCAGCATTTAACGTGCATCTGACAGCTTCTCTCAGAGGAGCACCGTGATGAGCTAGATCCTGCTCTGCGTTGAATCAAATATGAACATTTTTCCTCCCTGATGCAAAGCAACAACCAGAGATGAAGTGATTTGTTGATGTCACCGTTACAAATCCAAGTATTTTTTACCAAAATGGAACTCAAACCAGCTTTCATTAACTTCCATTAACAATAAATGTGCGACACATTCCTTTATCCCCTTTAACTTGATGGTATTTTGTTTATATATTTGAGACATCATCATAAGGGTTCATGTTCTCAGTATGAAGAACTATGAATAACATCAGAAGGAACATCTTGTGTACGTGTATACATATAGAGACGCTCTCTGGGGGGAGTTTAAGCCATCGAGAACTTCACAATAAAAGCATCGGGCTCCGTCGTGACGCTGCACGCGATCAGAGGTTCCATCGCTGAACAACATTTGGGAGGAAATGACCTCCGGGGTCGACCTCTTTCTGACTTGTGGCCCTCTGGCTTTGGTTTCTATTTAACTATTCGTGTGTCCTCAGTGGTCACGGCGTCCTCAGGCCCCCCCCCCCCTCCTCCAGTGCAGCTTCAGTCCTCCTCTGACAGACTGCTGGCCTCGGAGGAGGAAAAAAGAACAAAATTGCGAAAGAAGTGAAAAGGAGTCTGAGAACGTCGGAACTGGCGGGGGGCGGGGGGCCGATTCCAGATTTATGTATTTTGGACAGATGGAACTTCTGTGTGTCCTCGGCCCCGGTGGGTGGACAGCGTGATCTACGGGCTTCCTCGTCCCTTTCCAGATGAAGAAGACGGGGCTTCACCGCCGCGCCGGCCGTCGTTAATATCAATAAATAAACACATTTGTTTAACAGATAATATTATTCAGTAGTCAGTGACGTCATCGTGTGTGTGAGCGAGAAGAGAGGGTCAACGACCCGTTGAGCCTCGTCCGCTGACCATCAACTTCCTGAAAGACAGGAAAGAGACAGCAGACGGGACCCTCCCCCCCCTGGTGGACGGGAGGGGCCGTAACAGCGTCCTCACAGGAACCGCCTCCTCGTCTTAAATACGTCGTTTCTCCCACTGTGGTTTGGGAGGGCGTCTTCCTGTTCACGTGGCCTCTCTCATAACTGGTGATCCACCGAGACCAATGTGCCGTGTTCTTCAGATCTGTGTACGAGCCCCCCTCAGACCGCCGAGGAGATGGAGAGCCGCAACAAGCTGCTGCGTCTGCTGGACTCGGTGATCGACGCGCTGGTCTGGGCCATCTCCAAACTGGGCCTGTCCACCCAGCAGCAGACGCTTCGCCTGGGACACCTCACCATGCTGCTCTCCCACATCCGCCACGTCAGGTACGGCCCATCCGGAGAGCACGCGGAGACTCTTGGATATCCCGGCCAGCGGTCCGTCTCTGTGATTAACACGCTGCAGCAAACGCATCGTACATCAACAACCCGCATGAATGAGCACATGCAGGGGGGGGGGGGGGCGTTTGAGAGACGTCCTAAAGAAGGGTAAGGACTCTCCGCCCCAAACTAACAATAGTTCGGTCACCAACAAGCAAAGTCATGGATGGCTTTGATAAACATGTCCCTTTGGAAGGTCTCCCAACTTCTCAAACAACAAATTGCTGTATAAAAGCTGCTTTCTCTCCTCTCAATGATACTAAATTAAAGCTAAAAGCTCTTCTTTCTCTCTGTAACATGTGGTCATGTTACAGTAACAAAGGCATGGACCACCTGTCCACCATGAAGAGGAAGAACGTGGTGCTGGTGTACGACCTCCTCCTGGAGATGCTGGACGCCAACACCACCACGAGCAGCGGCGCCGGCAGCCAGCCGTCGTCCTCGCCGACCTCCGACACTTTCTACGACCACAACCAGTACGGCCCCCCGCCGCCGGCCCACCAGCAGCCCGCCGGCCAGGGCCCGTGTGGACCCCCCGAGAACCCGATGCTGGACGGACACCTGGAGGCCTCGCCTCCGTTTCGGAGCAACGAGTGAGTGAGCGGAGGAAAGAACTCCTTTCTTCGTGTGGCAGTCGGCCTCTCAGAGCCTCTTTCGGTGTCGAGGTCAGATCTTACTTTAACTGGGATCCTGTTAGTAGACCACATGTTGGGGTGGCCTGGACAGTCGGGACGATTTATCAAAGGTATTGGTCTCCGTCATGGGAGTTACTCTCTGTAGGAGAGTGAAGCTTTCATAGTTGTGTTATTGTGCTTGTGAAAACTCAGCGTTGCCTTTAAATTATAAAATAATTTTATTGTGTAGAAAAGTGAATTGCATGTATAACAGTTTATCACTGGCTTGTTAGAGCAGTATTTATAACTGATCCCCATCCAATCAGTCAGTTTGCAATGAATTGTCAAATTTGAGCCAGTTTCATGAGTTAAAGCTGCATTCTGTGTGGTGACCAGCAGGGGGCGACTCCTCTGCTCCCATAGACGTCTATGAGGAAATGACTCCACTTCTCTGTAGTGACCAGCAGGGGGCGACTCCTCTGCTCCCATAGACGTCTATGAGGAAATGACTCTACTTCTCTGTAGTGACCAGCAGGGGGCGACTCCTCTGCTCCCATAGACGTCTATGAGGAAATGACTCTACTTCTCTGTAGTGACCAGCAGGGGGCGACTCCTCTGCTCCCATAGACGTCTATGAGGAAATGACTCTACTTCTCTGTAGTGACCAGCAGGGGGCGACTCCTCTGCTCCCATAGACGTCTATGAGGAAATGACTCTACTTCTCTGTAGTGACCAGCAGGGGGCGACTCCTCTGCTCCCATAGACGTCTATGAGGAAATGACTCTACTTCTCTGTAGTGACCAGCAGGGGGCGACTCCTCTGCTCCCATAGACGACTATGAGGAAATGACTCTACTTCTCTGTAGTGACCAGCAGGGGGCGACTCCTCTGCTCCCATAGATGTCTATGAGGAAATGACTCAGTAAACATTGTAAACAGTGTGAAATGAGCTCTTCTACATATTGTTTTTGTGGTAAAAACATGTTTAGAGTTTACGGGATTTTCATGCTTTTGATCAATTAAAGAAGGAAGTCAAAAAATGGAAAATAAGAGCAGGAGGAAGTATGTTGGAACAAAAATAAAAGTTAAGAAAAGAAAATATTTGATGTTTCATTTTTTGGCGAAACGTGGAATTCCGATTTGGTCAAAGTAATTCCTAATGAATCATAACTGTGACGACTCTCCCCGCAGTTACATCCCTCCCGAGCCGTGGTCGCTGCACCCGGGACACGGCTGTCCGACGACGGATTACATGATGGCCAATCGAGTCGCCGTGGAAACGGCCTTGGAGGGGTGACGGGACTGAAAGAGACTCACTGAGACTGAGCCTTCAATGGCTTCCATCCACCCAAAGACGCCCACAGGGAAACAACGGGAAAAGGGTTAAGAAAAGAAAAGCAGGAAACGCTGTTCTGAGGTAGTAAATTTGTTTCCTCTACTGAGATGTTTTTAATCTTTGAAAGAAAAAAAAAAGAAATGTTTTTTGATGGAATGTATATTTTGTGTTGGTAACTATTTCTTGTGAATGTGCACTTCAGTCCCGCCGGTCCGTCAGAGCTCTTTTTTAAAATACACAGTATTCGTACCTCTTCTTCTTCTTCTTCTTCAGCCGTCGATCCGCAGTGACTCTCAGAAAGGTGCGCGTGCTACACGCAGCGCACACGCATTCTCCATAAAACATACGAGCTTTCTGTCACGCATGTTCCTCCTCCTCTTCTACCGTGTTCTTTGCTAATTGGTGCCTGTTCAGTCAGGTTTCTTTTCTACTTTCTTTGTACAAAACTACCAGTTAGAGCGGCAGTTTGTGGCCTTTTTAACGGGACGACTGTTTACGTGAACCTTCTTCTGGGCTCGTCTGGTCAAACTAAGGCTGGATTTACGCGGCTGCAGGCTCTGAAACGCGCGGCTAAACGTTGTGCTCACAGCATGAGAAACATTCTCATTGGATAGAAAGTCTTTCATCCTCGTTTGTCAAAAAGCGTTAACGGTGAACACATTTAAAGATTTTAAAGTATTTAATTTCTGTCTTTAGAAAGAGTTCGAGCTTAGAAAAACAAATGAATTACTTTCTTTTTGCCAAGGCTAGCATACAACATATTAGCTAAATGTAGCTATTTAAAGATACTAACATGCTTAGTATCAGCATGCTTATTATATGCTAATGCTAATAATAGCAAGAAACCGTCCTGTTTAAATTGCTGCATGTTTGTACATAAGATACATTTGCAGACTTCCTTAATGACTTATAGACTGAACTCGTGTTAGCTCTAACGCTAACAAGCTAACTGTGTTAATTGCAAAGAAAGCAGATCAGTAAACGTATTAACAATTAGCGCAATACGTACATTTTATTTTTAATTAGTAGGATATTTATCTTTAACATCTTTTCATTTAAAAAACAAAGTCTCACTTTGCATACTTGAGTATTGTAGAGCAGCTCAGGCTCACTGGCATTTAGAGGCAAACCTCTTCCTCAGACGTGATCATTCAAGTTATTCTCTGCAGATGATCATCTGTAACAAATCTAGAATTGAGAGAAAGATGCTTCTGCTGAGCGTTTCCTTCAGTTTCAGCGCCGTTGGCTCTGAAGAAGAGGCCCAAACACGTGAGCGCTGACTGTAATATTAGTTTAGTTGGCTCGGTTTCGCTCGTTCGCCTTTTGAAACAAAGAAACCAAACACGCCACAGCGCTTCTTCGCTGTGATTTATGCAGCGCCCCGAAGGGGAAGACACACGAAGAAGAATGTGAGCGTCGGCCCAGAACTTCAGACCTTCTTGGAGCCTCGTGGATCGGCTCGTTCGCCCCCGCTAACCGCGCCGCCCTTTTGTAGTTACTGCGGGCCACCGAGTTCAGGCGGCTCCGCGTTGATCCGGCCACGCAAAGTTCTTCAGCATCTTGGACTCACAAACCCGACGCACCATTTAGGTCCTTTTTGGACGTCCAGGGGCCACGTCGGTGCCAACGTAAACTCAGCCTTAGTTCCAGATTCTCTTTCCACTTTGAGACGGAGAGACGTCCACTATCCTTGTCTGTCCTGATGTCTGTAGCTTGCACATGCATGCACACACACACACACACACACACACACACACACACACACACACACACACACAACCGGTTGTCACGACAGAATCAAAGGTGAAACATCCCGATCATAAGAGTTCACAAAATAAATCCAACTTTAAACACTGTTTCTGGTTTTGTTTCTGTCTTGCTGAGTCTGAGTTTTCCAATCAAATCACGCTGTAAAACATCGATATTATTCCACTTATTCGTCCGACTGCACATACACACAGTTCCAGCGAAGGAGGCGTGTAGTGAGACGTATGCGTGGGTTCATTTTTTAAAAAAAGGACAAAAGTGCAGATTTTCTCTGAACCAATTGGAGTCCGATCAGAACGCATAAATAATATTTACAACATTAATCATTTTCCATGGATGCGTCACACTGTAGCAGTTATATTTATTCATCGTCCCATGAGCAGAAATGATTACGTTACACTATTGCACCACTTCTTCTAGACAACATGTAGTCTATTGTTATTTAACAAACTTTTATGTGACTTATTTCGATGAACAACATCATGCGACACGCAACATTTTTATTAAATATCTATCAGATGTTCCCCGACCTGTGCCGCCTGAAAACCAGGAATCCTTTTTGAAGGACAGAGCTTCTTTTTAAACCAGGACTTTTCCCCAAATTCAATGACATGCTTTAAAAAACCCTTCTATGACTTTTAATTTGAATGCTTCCACTTGTTTTTCTGAACTTTTAAATTGTTTTAAGGATTTCTTTTCCAAATTCAATGAAGCTTTATTATTTAATTAAGGCTATTTTTTCAAAATTCCCAAATTCAATGCTACAATTTTTTTTAACGCTTTGACTTTTTTTCCCCAAATGAATTTCAATGATTTTTTCCCAAATTCTAAACTGATATTTTTCCAAATTCGATGCCATGAAGTATTTTTTCCAGATGCAGTAAACACACAGCTGCTGATCATGACAAACAGTTTATTGTCAATCGAAAACGACAATCTATTCATCCCATAAATAACTCAAATATATCAAACTTTACCGACTTTTTGTAGTTTCTCTTCAGTCTGTGTGACGCTGAGATTATACACAAATTACAATTAAACACTGCATTTCAAAAAAAATATTACACTCGATAACATTTAGGATATTAAAACTGTCAATGAAACCTATTGAAAGATCTTTGCACACGGCTGCATTTGATGCTGTTTTGTCAACCACACGACAGTGTTTTAAAGTTGTGCGTCGGCTGTTGTCTCCGCACTAGACTCCCTGCCGGAGCTGATTTTGTGGTGTTTGGATTTCAATGCTAATTTGTAGCTGAAAGCAGGTGATTAGCTCTTCATCAGAGGTTCAACTCTTTCTGGAAGCCGTAAAGTCAACACCATCATAGGAAAATATTTCATTTCAATCCACTGGCGCTTAAAATATAGTTAAATATAGATTTCAGTACCACACTTAATCTGATCTCAAGTATTTACACAAATCATCTATAACAGCTCCTATATTTGATTTGTTGTGCTAGTTCTGATGACTACAGAAAGGCAGATGAGTGGTTTTTACTAATATCTCACAGATCGAACTTAAATATCTGTACAAAATGTGCATCAACGAGTGGCTTCCGTCCTCTTTTTCCTTCACTATTATTCCTACATATTTTCATTTTTAACCCTCTACATTGTAGAAATTTAAATAACTTATCAGGGCGGTCGGTTGGCAAAACTTCACAAATGAGAACATTAAGAGAAGCAGTCGTGTGGTTCCTTTGGAACGCCACAAACAACACACATATTTTCAAATGGAGCAATGAGGGTTTGAGCTTTTTCTGCGTGTCTGAGCGCTCATCAGGTGGGCGGGGGCCCGTTGGTGTAGCTCAGCATGGGGTAGAAGGAGCGGGCCAAGTTGTTGGACAGCGTGCAGCTGAAGCTCTCGTCGGACAGCGGCACCAAGCAGGACACCAGCAGCAGCAGGAGAAGCAGCAGGTGGAGCGGGAAGGCGGCTCGGAGCACCCGCAGGAAGAAGGGTCGCTGGGGGGCGGAGTCCCTCCTCTCCTGCCTGGAGACAGACACACACACACACACACACACACACACACACACACACACACAGTTCAGTGGTGACGTTCAGTTTCTGAGGTTTGACAAAGAATCACTCAAAGTCCACTTAATATTTTTGCCCAAAAGGGAAAGAAAGATGAAGTGACCCTCAGAATGACCAACAGGGACCTGGATGCCTGTTCGTGGTCGCTAAACAATGAAGAATCAAATGGCGGTGAAGTGCGGTCACCTTTTGGTCGGCGCTCGTCCGTCTGCAGCCGCTCGCAGACCTGCTGCCTCCACCTAAAGCATCCAACAGGTCACACGGGTCACCGACACGACACAAACATGTGGATGCTGCCGCCCGTCCACGTTTCACTCAACGTCTGCACGACCTGCTCGAGTGCTCACAGGTCAGAGGTCACCGTGACCTCCAAATAATGCCATTTCACAGAAATGTCTTAAAGAATAAAATTGATTTTCTTTTTCGTAATCACATTTTTTTATAGTGTGTGATATACTATGACTTGACAGACTCAGCTATAATACTATAAAAACATATTTGGCATACTTTTATTGAACTTTAAGCTGCATTATTTTTGTGAGGCAATATAACTCACACTATAATAAACTTTCCATATAACATTTTAAATGTGATAACCCGACGTTTGACTAACTAGTGACCATCCAGCGGTACCTTGTGCAGCAGCACCAGAGGAGAGCCGGGGTTGCCATGGCGACAAATAGCTTTATAGCATCGCACTTATTTCACTGCATCCTTATTATTAGACTTGTATCAGGTTTCTGTTCTTGATTTACGTTTTGTGCTTCAGGTCTATCATTTCTGAATGGTTTCCTAATCATTTCCAAAACGTTGCTCGTAAAGAAACGAATTAATTTGGCTTCATTTATGGTGAAAATAGAAGGATAATGTTCCTTTTTTATTAATTTACCCCAACCTCTTACTTCACACCTTTTTAAACATTTAGAAGATTTTAAAAAGCCTGAATAACTTAAGTTTCATTCATTTTGGATTCTAAAAGTTGTAAATTCTTGCTTAATGCTAACCTTATGACATTACATTACATTACAGGTCATTTAGCAGACGCTTTTATACAAAGCGACTTACATTACACTTATAATCCACGGCTTTTCGCATTTTGACCGGGGAGCAATTAGGGGTGAGGTGTCTTGCTCAGGGACACTTCAACATGGAACATGGGGCAGCCTGGAATTAAACCAACAACCTTGTGCTTCCCAGCACACCTTCTCTAACCCCTGCGCCACGACAACTAATAATAAAGTTATACGTTATATTAAAATAAAGATTTCTGCCTGAAATAATTTCAAAGTTACACACAAATAATTGGATGTTTCTATTTTTATTTAATTGGAACCTAATAACAATATTTTCCAGGAAACTTAAGTAAGAAATTATAGAGGAAAAAGTACCTCAGAGGTGAGTTTGAAATAGAACCAAGACAAAGGATTTGCTGAGCGGACCTACCGGTCTCTCCTGCAGCGCGTTCAGGTCGGCCTCCACCCGCCGCAGCAGGAGGTGCAGTTTGTTGCCGATGACGTGAACCTTCTCCTTGGCCTCCACGCTGTCCTCTCCCGGGGCCTCCAGGAGGAGCTGAGAGGAGATGTCCTGCAGCGAGGAGACCTCCCGCTGGCGGCCGCGCAGCTCGTGCTGCAGAGCCTGCAGGCAGGGGGCGACAGAGAGCAGCAGTCAGCTTCTCCTCCATCAATTAAAGCAGCTTTCACTCAGCTGGATGCTGACAAACAATACAACTCTTATGTAGCAATCTAAACAGCTTCGGTCCAAATATAGATTTTGCCGTTGTGAATCTGAAAGGTTTGTAAGAGTCAGTAAAAAAGTATTTTATAACCTTCCGTACAGAGGAAAGGAGTATAGTACTACTAGTAGTATAGTAGTAGTTGAGTATTTTCTCTTTTGTTTGAGTCCAACTGCGTGTATATTTAAAGATAAAACACAACATTACTCGAGTTTAACTCTAAATGCCACACAATTACAAAACTTTTATAGTTATTAGAAAATGGAGTCAATGTTAGCAAGTGGCTCCAATAACTACAGTCCCCTGCTAACATTAGCTTCAACAGCTAACTGGTCCCATCATCACAGTGGTCACAGACACCAGTAAGATGAGCTCCTTCTCAAAACAAGGACAACATTTCCCATAAAGCCCGTCACCAGTTGACGGTAACCAGGCATGCTCTCATGAGCTCTTCCGTCATTGGACGCAGCGGCGGCTTGTCTCCTCACCGTCAGCGTGTCTCTCTGCTGGTCGACCACGTCCACCCCAGCAAGCGTGTTCTCTGCCCGGGACAACCACAGCAGCAGGGAGTGCAGCGCCTCGTGGAACTCCTGCAGGAGAAACACCAGGTCACGCCTGCTGAACCACAGCGACTGTGTGGGGGGACGAGTGCAGGGGGACGGGTGCAGGGGGGACGGGTGCAGGCGGACGGGTGCAGAGGGGACGGGTGCAGGGGGACGGGTGCAGGGGGACGGATGCAGAGGGGACGGGTGCAGGGAACGTCCTACCTGACACTCCATGAGTGCAGAGTGCAGCCTCCTCTCCCAGCTCTCCAGGCCGCCGCAGGCCTGCATCCAGCCCCGGTTGGCCGAGTCGATGGCGTCCCGTAGCTCCTGCTGCTCGGCGCCGTCGCCCCGCAGGAAGTGGCGGCTGCTCAGGTTGGCGGAGATCATCAGACACTTGTAGCTGTTGAAGGTCCTCTGCATCTCCTGGAGAAACACGAGACGTGGTGAGATGAAGCGTTCCCTCAAAACCGACTTTCCAGTCGTCCGGCGCCGCTGCTGGTTTACTTTTAGCGTCCTGGCGTTGACCTCCATGTCTCGGATGCTGGTGGACGGCTCGATGCGCTGCAGCCTCTCCAGCTCCGGCAGCGCCCTGCCCAACCAGGAAGTGACATCGCAGAGGTCGGCGTTCAGCTTCTGCCACTGCTCCATGTCCTGCTGGACGCCGTCGCCGTGCAGCGGCTGAGCTCGCAGCAGCTCCCAGCGCTCGATCACTCCTGCAGAGTCACCGCCATTAATGTTGAGGGTTAAATCGCTGAATCGTGAAACGGGAACCGTCAGAAAGCTGCGGTCACACAGACTCTCCCGTCAGGACCAGTAACCCAAACCCCGTCAGATCTGCGTACCTGTGCTGGTCTGCTTATCCGCCGTGCTGCTGGTCAGACCCGGATCCTCCGGCTCCTCCTCGTGGTCCAGGATCAGCTTCACTCTCCTCACGCTGTTGATGGTGCCGCTGCACTCGGACATCAGCTTAACCTGAACACACATACACACTTCAGTGGAAAGACACACTCCTGACTGGGGGAGGCCGGGGGGGGGGGGGGGGTCCTTACGTAGCCCTGCTGGTGGAAGGGGGCCCTGCTGGGAGACACGTTCAGGCCTCGGGGGGATTCTCTGGGAACCCGTTTCCTCTGCGGGGGGGCGGGCTGGTGCCAGCTGGGCGGGTCGGTCACCGACTTCACTGAGGAGAGAAGGTGAAACGGTTTAACAGAGGCGGGCGAATCCCTAAAAACACGTTTTACATTCCCCCGCCGAGCAAAGAAACTAGAACATGTTCACACGGAGGACGCAGATCAACTCGCAAAACAGTTGCCGATAAATTAAATCTTTGCGGCGCTACAGAGGAGCCACGTCCGCGTCTCGAGGCCCAAATGTGTTGAAAGCAGGACGTCAGTCAGAAGAAGGTTGGGGGGGGGCGGAGGAGGGGCTGTGGGTTTAGGGTTGCTAGGAGACGAGGAGCGAGGCGGGCTGAGGGACTTCATCCCTTCATGGAGAAGTGATCACCTGACAGGGCGCTGAAGTAGGCGGCGTCCTCGTCGTCCTCGTGGGACGAGGACCCCCCCACGTCCACGGTGTGGTCCCACTCCAGCGGGATGGATTCCACGCTGACGGGGGTCTCTCGTCCTGGCCGCGCCGGAGGGGGAGCGGGGAGGTGGCACGCGGCCCGCTGGCTATACGAGACTCCGCCCACTGCCGGAGACTCCTCCTCCTTCCCCTCCCCGTCCCAGGAGGAAGTGCCGGGGGTCGGATCAGCCGTGTCGTCCGGGTCGGACAGCTCCCTCTCCTCCTCCCGAACCTTAAACACCAGAGAAGAAGAAACAAAACAAATTAATAAATTAAGTCTTTTTCTGAAACAAAAGTTTGCATGAGGTCAAACACATTTACGTTTTTATTTCTTTAAGATGGATATTATACCATAATTGTGCCTCATCTTGTTTCTCTAAAAACTTGTCGCTCATTATACATGAAATTAATGTAAAAAAACAGCTAATAACTGCTGCTTTTCTCTGGCGTTATTTCTATTGTTAGTAGAAGTAAAGATGATCCGCATGTATTTATTTTATCTCTATTAGTAGAGCTAATCATTTATTTGTTTGGTTTCATTCATTTGACTCATGGAATCCTTAACGATGGAACAATAATGGCGGCGTGCGGCGGCGCTTACCGGCCGGCTGACCAGCCGCTGGTGGAAGCGGGACACTCGGCCGAACACCTCCTGGCAGTACGAGTGCAGCTCCTCCAGCTCGTCCTCCATCAGCACGGCGTCCAGCGGGGCGCTCTTCTGGATCAGGTTCTCCCCAAACACGATCAGGGCGTCTATCCTGTTGGTGTTGAGGGTGATCTCCTGCTGGAAGCCCTGCAGGGGGGGGGAGGGGCGGGGGCGGGGGGCGGGGTTAAAGACGCCGGCTGGTCTCGTGGGTGAAGCGTTTTGAGGAGAAGCACGTTGGACTCACGTTGAGCTGCCTCATCTTGTCTTCGGCGTCGCTCTGTGAGAAGTGCTCCACGTTGGTGAGCTGGAGGTCCATCTCCGTCAGCCACACCAGGATGGCCTCCCTCCGCCCCTCGAAGTCCTCCCTCTGAGAGGTGAAGTGCTGCGGGGGCACGGAGCAGGTCGACCTCAGAACAACATCGCTTCTGTCGCACTGATTCATCTCTGATTCGTCCTTCATCTGAAGCCCCCTCCGGTCTCACCTTGAGTCGGCGGAGCACGGACGCCACCCTCTTCTGCAGGCCGTCCCACCGGCGGTTCCCCTCGTGGACCAGGACCCTCAGCGTGCTGGCGGCGTCGGTCCGGTGCTCCCGGGCCAGGCGGCGGTACTGTTTGTTGACCAGCTCCAGCTGAGTGAGGCGCTCGTGGACCTGCCGCTGGAACGCCTGGCGGGAGAAAGGAGACGGGAGGAAAGTCACCCTGAGAAGGTGCAGATGCGTCAATCGAAGGACAGCATCATCTCAGGTGCTCGGTGAGGGCCGGAGTAATAGACAAGCTCACGCCGTTTGCTTAGTGAGGAAGAGACGATGGGAAGATGAACTAAAAACACACACACACCTTTTTAAAGAAATAAGATGTGGAAAGTTGACGTTACTCAAAGTACGAGACCTCCACTGGCAGCTGCTCATTAAACACCGTTGTGGATTTGAACCTTTAACGGTTACGCAGCCAGTCCCAAAGCATCCCTTAGATATCACTATGAATGTGACCCCCCCCCCACCGGGGATAAAGAGCGATAGTAAACAACACCATCTACACTGGATACCTGTTGCCATGGAGATGAGGGCACTTTGGCATCATCTCGATTACCAGAAAGGTTTCCTCAGAGCAACAAGAGACGTGAACCTGCAGCTGGAAGATCCTGATTCCACATTCTGAAGCTTCAGGCGTGTTTCATCCCAATAAACAACAACAATCTGGTGTGTCACCATGGACTCTTTACACTCTCTACTTTAGGAGTAGAGAGACTCTCTATGCTGTCAATCAGCATGCAGCCCCGTCCTAAAGCGTCCCCTGCTTCATGGTCTGTTTGACTCTAAATGGACCATAATTCACTAAATGAACATCATGTTGTGTTGAAGAAGACTTGAAACTAGAGACTGAGACATAAACTCATGTTTACAATGTTTACTGAGGGAATAAATGAAGAGAGAAGTAGAGTCATTTCCTCATAGACGTCTATGGGAGCAGAGGAGTCGCCCCCTGCTGGTCACTACAGAGAAGTAGAGTCATTTCCTCATAGACGTCTATGGGAGCAGAGGAGTCGCCCCCTGCTGGTCACTACAGAGAAGTAGAGTCATTTCCTCATAGACGTCTATGGGAGCAGAGGAGTCGCCCCCTGCTGGTCATTTTCTCATGAAGCACTACAGCAGTGGACTAATGGGCTATTTGGTAAGATTTTTTTTGTTTCTTTCTTTTTTTATTGTCAACTCCCCGCTATGAAACTTCCTCCCCCCGTCGGACGGTTACTTCGTCTTGTTCATCAGCCCGTGAAACATTGTCCAACATGAGGGCAAATGGGCGGCGCTCTCTTTGACCCGGCGGAGAGAACGCTGCAGATATTCTGCAGATCTGAAGCAGACAGAAAAGACTCGTTTCCTGACCTCAAACCTCTTGAGCTCGTCCTTGGCGCTGGTGTAGAGGACGTTGGCGGAGTCCGGGTTGGCCGCAGTGAGCTCGGCCGTCTTCAGCCAGTCTTCGAAGCGAGAGAAGTCGTCCAGGAACTTGCACCAGAGACGCCAGGTCTCCTCGATCCTACAAGCCGCATTTCACCCTCATTATGAAATAATGTCTCTCAATCCTCCATGTCTGGGATGCCCACCGTGACGCTCACCTCATCCTCCTCTCCGTGGACACGGCGCAGATGTTCCTCCAGCGGCGGTCCAGGCTGCGCGTGGTCTGCAGGATGGAGTCGCTCTCCGAGTCGCCGCCGCAGGCGTCGGCGTCGTGCAGCAGGACGTCGCACAGCGTCAGCACCGACGCCACGCTCTCCGCGTGCTGCTCGATGTCCCGCTGCAGATCCTGCGGGTCGGAGAGAACAAAGGTCTCACATCGCAGCTCGGCGGGTTCTGCTCGCCGTCCTGTGCTGGGCTGCACAGATCTCCACACGCAGCTCAGACAAACACGTGCAGCTGAGGGCAACAGGCGGTGAGCAAACTGCTCTTCAAAGTACCATAAAGCTTTTATTCTCTTGTCATTTCCATTAATAAGGATCTTAACTGCTCAAAAGATAAGCTGAATAAAAATGACGACCAGAAGCTGATCCTTGGTTACCAGCCAGGTAGCTCTTAAAAGTTATTTCACTGTGTGTGTGTGTGTGTGTGAAGCTCGACAGCACTTTTGTCGGCTCTTCAGCGTTGCCGTGGTGACAGATGAAAGCTTAAAGAGCCCCTCCACGCGGGAGTCATCTCAGCCGCCTGTCATCCACTAATGGAGAGCTGCAGCCTTTTCTCTTCTCGCCTCCGCGCCGTCTTTCTTCCTCACTTTTACCAATTTCACATGTGTTTCCGTCCGTCACACGCGTCTTCCTCCCTTTCATCTTCTTCATCATCATCAACTATCTCGCTCCTCCGGTTACAAACTCAGACTACGAAACATTCAGCCAGTGTTTTTCTCGCCGGCCGCCAGCGCACCGCATTTTTTTGGGGGGGGGGGGAGAAAATGACGAGCGAGAGATAATTCAGTGCCTCAGCTAACGAGCCGACTCATCATTTTCTGCCGTTCCACCTCGACCCGTCCACCATGAAAGTGGGACAAGAAATATCCCAAATGTCCTCGAACCTGCAGGTTCTGACAGCGGTGACAGCTCCTGCACTAATCGGACCACTTCGTAACTGTCAGCAGCTCCTCGTGGACTCGAGTGGGCGCGAAGCACTCAGGCCGTCATGTTTTGGGCGGCGCGCGGCACTTTGAAGTTTTGGAAAATCTCTTCTGACAAACATCAAATCTCATTCTCCCTCTGAATACTTGTCCCTCAAAACCCTCCGATCCGCTGAGCGGCGGGACGCAAGATGGAAGAACTGGTTAAAGTCCATTTGCCTCCCGAGTGCCTCCATCGTCTGTCAGCCCAGTGTGACGGCTTCCTCCCCCCCTCCCCCCCTCCCCCCCGCCGCTCGCCGGGACTTCACTTAGCACGAGCATTACGCCCCTCTTCTGTTATTATGCTGGGGGGGGGGCACAACAGGACGGCCCCCCACACAAAGGCTCTGAGAGCAGCGGCTTCCTGCCACCCAAGTGCCCCTCAGGGCGCCATGCGGTGCCGATAAGTGGAGTCTCCATCCGGCCCCGTGAAGCCCAACGGCGAGACGGGTCTGACGGGTCCCCGTCACTGCTTTACCTCCTCGTCGTTCTCTTAAGGGGGAGTTTTTCCTTCGGCGGGGTGAGGGTCAAAGGTCAGGTCATGTAGGCGCACACATGCAGAGGTCTCGGCCCACCTGCTGCTCGGCCAGTTTCCTCTGAATCTCGTCGCCGTGGCAGACGCTGTAGACCAGCGGCCGGGCCAGCTCCGCCTCCATGTGCGACAGCCACGTCCGCAGGCCGCTCATGTTCTTGTCGAGCTGCTGCACCGTCACCAGCGTCTCCTTCAGCTTTCTCACCCTGCGGGGGGGGGGGAGGAGGGGAGAAGGCCGGTTAGAGGAAAGGGTCTCTGTTGATCTGAAACCTTTAGGGGATCTGCAGAAGAACGCAGAAAGCAGAAAAAGACGATCTGCAGATATCTGTGGAGAACACACATGGCGATGGGGGGGGGGGGGGGGGGGGGACGGCGTCAGGGCTGTGGGACAGTGACAACAACCCTCACTTTTCACGGGGAGGATCTCTTGCCCCGCCCCCCCCCCCCCCCACCGGCCATGTCAGCGTGGGAAGCTGCAGCGGCGGGATGACCCGCATCCAGCCGGGAGAGGGGGGGGGTCACATTCCAGCCCCCCGGCTCTCGGGTCAGTGACCCATATCTCAGCGAACCCCCCCTCAGGGCCAGCCGGGGGTGTGTGTGTGTGATAGAGGAGCGGGTCAGACTCAGACTGGAGGTCCTTTAGCTTCTCTCTGAAGTCTCCTGCATGTTTAGAACATCAGACTGACGAAGCTGCCGGTGACCAACCAGCCGCCGCCTCATCTTTCAACTGTTAAACATGATGAAGAGACATGAAGAGACTTTCAAGTCGTACTGACCTCCAACCAACATGTGCTACCACATTGTTTCCACGGCAACATGTCTAGATCCTCACACAGCAGCATTCAAGTGTTGATACATGAACATCATTTCATCCTTTCAGCTACACGTGTGTGTGTGTGTGTGTGTGTGTGTGTGTGTGTGTGTGTGTGTGTGTGTCAGTATCTGAGGATGCAAATGAGAGAAACATCGGCGTCGTCTCAAACATGCTGCTGCCGTCAGCCACGAACGCACTGTATGTGCTCATCCACACACACACGCACACACACACGCACACACACACACACACGCACACACACACACACACGCACACACACACGCACACCCACACACACACACCTGCTGTCCGAGCTGCCTCCTAAATTCCGACACACACACACACCAGGCACCGACAAAAAGCTCAGCTCATCCCCCTTCGCTCCTCCTCTGTGTGTCTCTTCCACCTCCTCCTCCTCCTCCTCCAACAAAGCCCCCGGTCGGCGGTGAGCTGGCCGGGTTGCGATGGGGTGAAAGCTACTTACGGGCTGGTGAGAGGAAGCTACTCCATCGCAACGGCTCCTCCGCCATCGAGCCCCCCCCCCCGAAACCCCCACCTCTCCCCCTTCCTGCTCTGCAATCCACCCGCCCGCCTCCTCCTCCTCTCCACACATCTGGACTCAGTGACGGGTTCACTTGAGGACATACAGCAACAGAACTCAATGATGTTCATTACCGATTGGAGTTTTAATCGCTTGGACCATTAATGTAATAATTAAAGTCTAAAATGTCATTATGTCACTTTTCCAAATGATGAATTTTATGGATTTTGAAAAGCAGAAAGCATATTATTATTAACGCTTTGGTAAATAAATAGTAAATAAAATATATATTTAAAATGACAATATTGAAAGACAATTTTAAATGATCATAAAGAACATTTAAAAAGGGGAACCAAACAGAACAGGAGTAGAAAAGTACACATCTGCCACTTGTATCAGAAGCCCATTAAAGTTCACCCGGAGCAGATTACAGCAGATTACCGTAAATGCAAACGGACCCGACCAAAAGGCTCCCAGGACCCAGCGGGGCCTCAGCAGCCGCCAGACAATCGCATCAGCAATTATTGCAATTTACAACATTATGCCAAAAGTCGTCAAAATAAGCCTGTTTTCCCTCGTTCTTCTTTCCCAGACACAAGACTTCTTCTTTAGTGCAAAATAAAACTTGAAGAATGTGAAGAAGAAACGTAAATCATAAATAAATAAAAATATCTACATGGTGTGAGCTTCTTCTTTACTTTCCTACTGTTTTTTTATTGAACTTCAGTTGTCAGCTGATGAATAAGATACGGTCTGTTTACCTGGCAGGTGTCCGTCATCTGGTCTACATGCGAGAAATATAAATCATATCGTTTGCCATCACACACACACACACACACACAGACAATTTTCTTCACCAGCACTAATGTGTGAATGAACTCTGAGGAAGCGCCATCTTTTGACTCGTCACCATGACGACCGTATCCGGCCCCGGGTGAGATTAACGACTTGAAGGACTGCAGCAACAAAAAGAGCCAAGCGTTAGAAAAACATCTGCATCGTGCACGTCTCATTCAGACAATGCGCAGAGAAGCCCCCCCCCCACCCGGGGGCCCACCGGCACAAAGGCTCGTGTCAGCAGACGGCAGCTGCCGAGCCGGGTGACGGAGCACCCGGTTTGTTTGGGCGGGACAAAGGCGAGCGGCGGTCCAGTGTCAACGCGTCTAATCCCTCGGTGAGTCAGCGGACGTCACTCAGTCCGGACGGGCCGGGTGACCAGGGCCACTAAGCAGCCCCCATATGGCCCATTTACTGTAAGTCAGTCATTCCCATGGAGGAGAAGTCCTCCACCCACCATGACCACTTCGACCCATCTGGCCCTGCAGTCCACCACACTCAGTCACTCTAATCTGATCCAATGTGGATTTGCATTATGGGATCAAATTTCGTCTTCCTGCTTAACAGAGCTTCCATCGAAACAGCAAACCCAGTCAGGTGTAGACCACTAAGCCCACGGTCAGGTGTAGACCACTAAGCCCACAGTCAGGTGTAGACCACTAAGCCCACAGTCAGGTTTAGACCACTAAGCCCACAGACAGGTTTAGATCACTTAGCCCACAGTCAGGTGTAGACCACTAAACCCACAGACAGGTTTAGATCACTTAGCCCACAGTCAAGTGTAGACCACTAAGCCCACGGTCAGGTGTAGACCACTAAGCCCACAGTCAGGTGTAGATCACTAAGCCCACAGTCAGGTGTAGACCACTAAGCCCACAGACAGGTTTAGATCAGTTAGCCCACAGTCAGGTGTAGACCACTAAGCCAACAGTCAGGTGTAGACCACTAAGCCCACAGTCAGGTTTAGACCACTAAGCCCACAGACAGGTTTAGATCACTTAGCCCACAGTCAGGTGTAGACCACTAAACCCACAGACAGGTTTAGATCACTAAGCCCACGGTCAGGTGTAGACCACTAAGCCCACAGTCCAGTGTAGACCACTAAGCCCACAGACTGGTGTAGACCACTAAGCCCACAGTCAGGTTTAGATCACTTAGCCCACAGTCAGGTGTAGACCACTAAAGCAACGTGTAGCCTCATGTGGAAAAGCAGCTTCGCGTAGCAGGAAGATTCGCACTTCTGGATTAATACTCATTTCACTCCATCGGCTGTGAGCTTTTAATCTGCAGCGGAACAGAACCGATGTGCTGCGTCCTCGTTGGGGATCAGTCTGCACGCGTCAAACCGCTGCAGTCAGCGACAAGTTAGGACTCAGGGTCCTCAGGTGAGGGGTAGAGCGCGAGTCCTCCGCGGTCTCACCTGTCCTCGATGTGGTGGAACAGGTGCTGCCAGCGGTCGTTGACGTCCTTCAGCTTGTCGTTGACCTGCGTCTCTTTGGTCTTGTTGCTGGCTGTGATGAGCTGCTCCCCGAGCTGCTTCAGGTGGGTTTTGTTCTCACTGAACAAGTTGATCTCCTCCATGCAGTCCTGAAGAAAGAGTCGGAGAAAGAACCCGCACCAATTACACGTTTAGTCTCGTCTCTACAGGGCGTAGATTAAAATATCAGCATTGCTTTAAGTCCATCGAGGAGATGGATTCAATGGTTCAACAAACAACAAAAACACGCCCAAAACACTTCATCTGAACATCTGGAGCCGGGAGGCTGAACTACAAGAAGATGTTTGGGAAGATGTTTGTTCCTCCTCACCTTCTTGAGCTTCTCCACCATCTCCTCGATGTTGAGGTCGGAGTCGTGCGCCACCTTGTTCTCCATCTGCGTCAGCCACTCGCACAGCTCCTGGTTCTTCTCGTTGAAGATGATCCACGCGTTGAGGCGATCTGCGATCTCCTGCTTACGCAGAGACACCTGCCACAGAGGGACATGAATGAGACCTGGATGAGTCCCCAACATACCAGGACAGACTCTGTGGTGCACTGAAGCAAACCACAACGACCAGACGGAGGCAGCAGTGACCTCACTGCAGAATGAAGAGAAGAACATCCGTCTTGTGCCTCCTCCCGGACTCATTTCAAATCAAACGCTCCTCCTCCTGCAGCCTCTCCCGTCATTATCTGCTCCCCACAAAGACCCCCCCCCGCCCACCTCCACCCTCCACCACCCGGCACCCACACCTGTTGGTCTCACCAGAACGGAGGCCTCTCAAAAAGGAATAAGGTTCCTCAAGCGGGTCAAAGGTTTGGTCTCTTTACTCCTTTATATGACGGCTCTGTCCTCAGGACATGAGGGCCCCCCAGGGACCCTCCTCAATGATTCAGTTAAACGTGAGACAAAATCTATACACATCAAGTTAAATGATAAGAGAAGTAAACATCATTCATGTCAGTATGGATCCCACAGCAAGAAATACATCCAGAAGATTTCAACTTGATTAACAGATTGAAAGAAAACTTTGAGCTTCAACGAGGAGCCGGATCGAGCTGATGAATATTTATAGATGGGATCGAGTCAGATGTTGTGGAATAAGAAGCTTTGTACAACCTTGAAGGCACTTCTAAAGGAAACTGCATTATAGGATGTTCATCGGGGTCTCTTCGCTGACCCTCTGACCCTCTGACCCTCTGACCCAGCACCATCTTTGAATCACTTTACCCACAACACGCAAAGAGGTGCATGAACTCGGGGATCTCCTGTCGCGTACGAGTGGAAGAAGAAAAAGCGAAGCAGTCTCTCACCTTGAGGCAGAGCTCCTCCCACTGACGGTGCAGGTGCTCCACCTGCTCCTGCAGCAGCAGGACGTCGTCGGCGATGACGTACTGGGACAGATCCGTCTTCATGGTGCTCAGCTCCGTCAGGCTCTCAGCCCAGTCCTCCAGCGCGTCCTCGTTCTCCTGCATACCACAACACAAAACCGTCAGGGACCCCCTCCAGGCTCGCTCTCTCTCTCCTCCCTAATGTCTCTCTCTCTCTGTCCGGCCCCTTTTCTCTTTTTCTCCCTGTCACTCTTGTGTGTCTCTCTCTCTCTCTCTCTCTCTCTCCCCACCCAGAGACCAGCGAGAGGATTAAGGGCCACGGGTCTGCAGCCCGGGGGAGGGGTGTCCTAAGGGGGAGGGCGGGTGGGGGGAATGAGGGGTGTTCAGGGCCTGATGGGTGAGAAGATGAGTTGATTGGCTTTTGGTCTCTTGGAAACAAAGACGTTTCTTCCTGAGGGTCTGACAATAAGCTACTGGACGCCGACAGACACCTTGTTGTTCCGGTCGGCTCTCAGCAGCTCCTCGTCGCTCTCTGGCATCGACTGGTTCAGCCTGGTCTTCAGCTCCTCCAGCTGCAGCGCGACGTCCGCTAGTCCGGCCTCGCAGCGCTCCCACGTCTGAGACAAACAACGGACACGTTTTATACTCGTTGATCATGCAGATTAACGCGTTGGTTTCAGCTGATTGGCTTTGAGGACGAGCGGAGGGACATTTCACCCCCGATGCCTTTGTTCAACACGTCTGTTGTCACCAATTACAGCGGAGTGGATTAACTGGGCTGCTGTCAGGGAAGCAGAAGCCTTCAGGGGCTAAAGGGGACGGATGGATTACTGAACGAGTCAGTGGTCCCTCTGGCCTTCATCTTCTACATCAGGACGTTCGTAAAACCACATCGAACAGGACGCGAAAAGACAACCCGGAAACAATCCTCTACTCCAGGACGCGTGAAAAGACCAAAAGACATCCAACGAGACACAAAATATTTGAAGAGGATGCAAACTAATAAAAAGAGGCAAAGCCGCCGAAGACAAAAAGAAACAAATACAACATTAATAATAATAATCAATTCCATTATACCATTTTTCGCATTAAATGATTTGTCAACAAAGTGTCAGATATCAGCGAAGTCTTTTTATTTCCAAAACCTCTGATGAAAAGCGTTACCTTGACGACCTCCTCGGTGAGCTCCGTCCTCCGGCCCAGAAGGCCGTGCAGGCCGTCCCACTCCTCCTGCAGGGTTCCCAGGTCGCTCTGCAGCCGGGTCTGCGTCTCCTCGTCCCCCATGGAGAAGAGCTGCCGGCCGACCTCCAGAGTGTGGATGAAGCTGCACTGGTGCCTCTGGAACATCTGCTCCGCGTGCTGAGAGGAGGAGGGACAGACGAGAGCCAGTGGGAAGCAATGACCTCTGGTGCTTTATTGATTCTTCACAATCAATGCAAAGCTTTCCTTTTCATGGTGATCAAATCAGCAGAAAAGAAACACTCTTCCTCCTCCTCTTGTGATGTAAATGTAATCAACAGGAGTCTTTCCTCTTAAATCTCTCGTTTCTGCCTGGCTGATCTAAATCTGATACCGCAACTATTTTAAAGTTCACCATCTGTGAAAACGTCCACTAAAACTACTTGATTGTTTCCGGAAGGTCTGAAAAGTGGCAGAAAGTCACCGTACTATTCGTTAATCTTAAAGAGAAGAACATGACACTCAAAAACACAAAAGGTGTCTCCGTCATCTTATTTATCAGCTCTATCAATATAAAGACACTCACATCGCTGCAATTATACAATTTAAAAAGCGTTTATTACGTTTCTGTACATTTCTATTAATGTCATTTGCATGTAAGCTGTAAAAAAAGCAGTAATATACAGTAAGTTATAATCTCATAGTTGAAGTGATGAAGACGCTTCACTGCTGTCCGTCTCACCTGGAGGCCCCGCAGCGAGCTCCTCAGCTGCCGCGGGCTGCAGCGGGCCGGCCCGGCGGGGGGGAGGAGCGCCCGCGCCTCCGACAGGAACCTCCGCAGCTTCCTCAGGCTGCGGCCGAACACGTGCCAGTGCTCCACCAGCCCCTCCACCCACGAGCGCCGCTGCTCGGCCCGCCGCACCGCACCCTGCCAGTGCTCCCGGAGCTGGGACAGCTTCAGGACGAAGTCGCTCCTGGAACACACGAGCGGCGGGTGAGGAGCTGCTTCGGACCCGCCCTCTTTATTTTGGACGAGAAGCAAAGAACCTCTTCCTACCTGTCCTCCACCTCTCCCCTCTGCAGCAGGTGCAGAGCCTCGGAGATGACCGAGTGGAGGATCTGGTGGCCGGTGGACAGCTCCGCCTGGAACCGCTGGAACAGCAGCAGAGATTGTAGGGTTTGTGTTTGTGTGTGTGTGTGTGTGTGTGTGTGTGTGTGAGGTCTGGGCATCAGACATTTAAAACCTTGTGCGTGCGGAGCTGCTGCCGGAGGCCGACGTACGAGCCGGAGACGTCCACAGCCAGACTGTCCTCCATCCTCTGCAGGAAGGACATCCAGCTCTCACACTTCTCCTGGAAGCTCTGCTGCCTCAAGGCCTCCGCCTGCAGCTCGCTGGAGGACAAAGGAACAACACACTTCAGCAGGTTTATGGGTAGAAGACCTCAGTGGGTTTATGGGTAGAAGACCTCAGCGGGTTTATGGGTAGAAGACCTCAGTGGGTTTATGGGTAGAAGACTTCTGTGGGTTTATTGGTCGAAGACCTCAGCGGGTTTACGGGTAGAAGACCTCAGCGGGTTTATGGATAGAAGACCTCAGCGGGTTTATGAGTAGAAGACTTCAGGGGGTTTATGAGTAGAAGACCTCAGCGGGTTTATGGATAGAAGACCTCAGCGGGTTTATGGGTAGAAGACTTCAGGGGGTTTATGAGTAGAAGACCTCAGCGGGTTTATGGGTAGAAGACCTCAGCGGGTTTATGGGTAGAAGACCTCAGCGGGTTTATGGGTAGAAGACCTCAGTGGGTTTATGGGTAGAAGACCTCAGCGGGTTTATGGGTAGAAGACCTCAGCGGGTTTATGGGTAGAAGACCTCAGTGGGTTTATGGGTAGAAGACCTCAGCGGGTTTATGGGTAGGAGAGAAACTGTCTAAAGTTTCCTGTCGGTATTACACAGGAAAAGTGATGATGAAGCGACTGATCAATGACCTCGTTTTAAACCGTTCTACAACCCTCCGGAACCTTCAGGTTTAGTACATCACTAAGAACACGCTCCCCTGGCTCATGCGTCCGCGCGCTGATCTCAGCTCTGACCTGCAGGCCTCCTCGGCTCTGGCGGAGGCGTCGGCCCAGCGGCGGTTGAGGCTTCGCAGGCGGTGAGCTGCGGCGTCGCCCAGCGACAGGCTGCAGCTCCGCCCGTTCAGCACATCCAAGTCGGCGGAGGCAGCGCTCAGCTCCAGGAGGCCGGACTGGAGACACACGGCGGTCACAAGAGGTCACAAGAGTGTGTAGAAATGTCTTAAACATGTGACGAAATAAAAATAAAATGACATTTTCATCCCAGTCCTTATATACAACATATACAGGAGTCTGGCAACAAAAAAATAAATATATATATATATACGTATAATTTACACAAACTGCTCTAAAAGCTCCAGCCCAAACATATTGAAGAAGATATCTTCCTCTTTACAGTTTAACGGAAAAGTCTGAGTGGACGTAGTCTCACCTGCTGCTGGAGCTCCAGCTTCTCCTCCAGAGCCTCCAGGACGTCCTCAAACTCCTGCAGCTGCTCCAGCTCCTCCTGCACGCACAACAGAGACACGACACGTTCGACAGATTGAAACATGACACTTTACCTGTAGCTAATTTAGTGTGCTCAGATTTATTTCTTTTATTTTAGTCGTCTCCCTGACGTCACCGTTCAGTAATCCGTCCATCAATAGATCTTTTGTTTCACCTGCAGCTGAGTCCGACTCCCCGTCAGCGCCCGGCTGAGCTGCTGAACACCGTGTGACAACAACCAGCTCTCTGATTGGACCAGACTGGCGGCCGAAGCTTCCAGGTGTCCGGTTAGGTCCCTGGAGGCCTCCAGCAAACCCCCCATGTCAGACTGCAGAGCGTCTGTCCTCTCCAGGAGGCCCTGTGGGACAGAGGGGGACAGGGACAAACAGTGGTTAAGAAGCAGTCTCTCAATAGCATAATTTATTCATTGATTTAATATTTGTCAGCGGAAGAAGTCAAACTACAAGGAATGGATCATCGCACCCGCTGTAGCGACCCCCCCTCACCTGGACAAGCTGCATCCTCCCAGCGAGCTGCTCCGCGCCGTCGTCGCCTGCGGCCCCCCCGCCCGCCGGCGACCTGCCCTCCGTCCGCAGCGCCCGCAGCCGCAGAGAGGAAGACGCAGCCAGCGCGCCGTACGCCTCCCAAAGCTGCAGCACCGCCCGACTCCCCCGGAGCCGCCCGTCCAGCGCCGCCGCCCCCGCCGCCCAGCTGGGGGAGGGTGGTGTGTATTCATGTGGCACTTTGAAACCCAACAATCCAGCGTCAGCTGGCGAGCCTTCCGTCTCACCTGTCCCTTTGCTTGTCCAGCTGCTCCATGAGGAGGACGCCGGCAGCGGGACTGATGAGGCCGCTTAGGGTGGAGGCGCTTCGGCTCAGCCCGTCCCACTCTGTCCCCGAGGCTTCCGTCTCCTCGTGGAGAAGCTGATGCCGACACAACAGACAGTCATCAGCGGCACAGAATGTGAATACGAAAAACCGAAAAACCAGGAGCTCTAAAAGCTTTCCCATGTATGTTTAAAGCCTCCATCCTCTCCAGGTGGGGGAGCGGTCCTCCTGTACCTGCAGCTGGAGGTGGAGGTCTCTGTGTGCCTGCAGGCAGAGTGCAGCGCCGCTGTGGAGTTCCAGAGTCTGAGACACTCGCGCCGTTTTCAGCATCATTTGATTAAGCGGTTTCGGCACGCACTCCCACAGCTGTTGGGCCCGAAGCAGCTTCTGGTGGAGCGAGTCCCGCCTCAGAGGACAACCAGGATGGCCCAGCGTCACGGGGGGGGGGGTGGAAGAGGTTAAAGCCGGCAGACGAGACCTCGCTATAGTGGCCACATTGAATCCACAACAAAAAAGAGGCTTTTGTTCCGTCAAAGTAGGAATAAATACACTTTGGATGTTGTGGTCTGTAACTGGGAGGCATAACCCTCTGGTGTCTTTGGCGTCCCCTCCCACGTTGTCCTGGGGGTCATTCACCTGCTGTGTGAGGGCTGCACAGGCCTGGATGGATTTCTCGGTCCGAGCGATTAGATCCCTGCTGCTGGTTCCTCCTCCAACGAGTCGGCCTCTCGACTCCTGCAGGGCGGCAGCTCGGTGCTCGATTTTTTCCTGCAGATCCTGACTCAGAAGCCCAGAAGCACAAAGAGAAAGCGTTTGCGTTGCGCTGAAAGCCCTTGAGGGGTTAAACGCGTGGCAGCAGGTCGGGGGGGCGGGATCGTTTCCGACTGACCTGGGCGGCGTCGACGCTCCTCTGCAGCTCCGTCAGGCTGCTGGGCGTCCGGGCCGAGTCCATCCAGCGGTTCTGGTCTGCGATCCAGCTGTTGATCTGCTGCAGTCGGGCCTCCTGCTCCGCTCTGCTCCTCATCTCCTGCTGCACCTCGTCGAGCTGAAAACCACAAACAATCAGAGCGGCGAGAACTTTAGAGGTTTAGAAAATAGCGATTAACGAATCGGGAGTTGGGAATATTTAACGGGCCGTTCTCGGGTCCAAGACCCCGGTACTGAGCCTGAACTGACGTGAAGCCACTGTGGCATCATGATGGTTTGGGTTCTGCTCTGACCTGACAGTCCAGGGTCTCCAGGAGGCGGAGCCACCGATGGTTGAGCCGACCCTGCTCCTCTGCGAACTGGTTGTGTTCCTGGCGCCCCCTCTGGCCGTCCTCGGTACCGCACGTGTGCAGCGGCCGGCTCAAGTAGTCCAGCGTGGCCCGGTGCGCCGTCATCTCGGCCCGACTCTCCTAAAAAAAACAGCGTAATGTTACAGCGCAAACGGGTCAGCGATCAGGACGTCCGTCCATCACGCAGCAGCTCCTCTCCACCTCGCAGCATCTCAGGAGCCGACCCAGGTCGGCGTCGGAGGCCGAGCTTCCGTTGACTCTGCCGCGATGTTCCTCCAGACGGGACTCGGCTACTTCCAGCCAGGCCTGCAGCTCCAGGAGCGCCTCCTGCTGGGACAACGTCTTCATCCATCGCTGAGGAAGAGGAGAAGGCAGAGAGTGATGCCCTTACTCTGTTCTTGAAGAAGCGCTCGTTCCTCAAACAACCAAAAAGATTCAGCAGATTTATTCTGCCCTCGTTGGAACATGTAGTTAATAAATCACATGTTCACATATCAGTTAGATCAATATCTGATTTATCCACTTAAAGCAAAAGAAATTGTGCCTTTAATTGTTCATGTGTGATGAATCTTTGAGATGAATCCTGAGTTTGAAAATAACTTGAAAAGGAGTCGAGTGAGACAGAACAGAACCGTGTGTGAGAGAAAAGATCGAGGTGAAGAAGAAACGTAAAATAACAGCGGGAAGAGAAGACGAGTCGGAAAAGAGGGAGACAGACAGAAGGACAGGCGGAGACAGGCAGACAGACAGGCAGCAGTGGTTTCACACCAATAAGGTGCGAGGAGGCGGCATGTTTGAAGCTAATTGGTGACAGGAGGTCTGCGGCTGGTCTGCACCGAACACACGGACATGAACCTCCATTCCACATGTTCAGAAAAAGAAGCACAAGCCCAGAAAAGAGTAATAATTACCCACTAAATCCGTCCCTCGCCCGGATCTCTGTATTTACACCAAACTCACGGAAGTCACGCGCTACGGTGGCCGAGAAGGGTCAAACGAATGCAAAGAGACAAAGTGAGCAGCGGTTGGGGGGGCGATGAAACCGGCCGATGGCGACTTGTTTGTTCTAGATGTGCCCGACGTGCTCACCTCGTGCAGAGCGCGTTGGAGGACAGGAGCGTCGGCCTGCAGACCGGACCAGTGGAGCTCGACCCGTCTGAGCTGGGAGGGGACGGGGAGCCGATCCGGGTCCTCCAGACCTCCATCAGGGTCTCTGTCCTCTTCCCTCAGCTCAACCAGCTGGGTTCCAACACAGACAACAGCCGCCTTCAGCTGAGATTTGGCCTCCAGCTCTTTGGTCAAAGTCTAAAAATATAAATATTTAGTTATATTCTGTTGCCTTCAGTGGCACAAAGATCACAATGCAGCTGCTTCCCTGCTTGACCTTTCGGCCTTTGCAATGTTATGTTGGACATTTAGCTATTTGCAATTACAGGAGGGAGGTCAAGAAGATCAGACTTCTTGAGCAGACTGTGACTCATCGCTGGTTCAGAGGTCCACTGACATCAGAACATGATGAAAAGTCTTACAGTGTTACAAAATAAAAGGAAACTCAAACAGACGTTACTTAAAAACAAATTTTACATCAGAAAGCAAATATATGGATATAATAATATGTGTGCAGGCGTGAAGTTGGGCCTGAACTCACCACGGACTTCAGGTAGTGGTCCCGCCTCTGTTCAACATCCACCTCGTCCTCAGCGGAGAGCTGACGGCATTGGTCAATGAGTTCTCTGGCTCCGCCCATCCACTCGGCCAGCGCGGCGGAGTCACGACAAAACCTGTTTATTGGATCAGTGTCATTTCAATATTTTTCATTTATTTTATATATTTATTTTAAATATATTTTAATATATATATATATATATTTTTTTTTTAATAATATTTGTTTTTATTGTATTTGACAAATGTATCATGGTAAAATAATATTATGTATATTACAATATCATGAAATGATGTTTCTCGTCTCTCACCTGCTCCTCAGCTTCCTCCTCCTTTCAACATCTGTGTGTTTGAGCTCCACCTTCCTGTGCAGGGCTCTCCATCGTGCCTCCAGGCTGCGGGTGGACGCACCCACCCCCCCACAGCCCGCCACCTTGAGCCAGAGCCCCGCCTCCAGCATCCGACTGAACCGCGCCCTGCTCCCCTGCAGGACGCCACGCCGCTCCTGTCAGAAAAACACAACCTCAGAAACGATGATTCTGAGTCTCTCTGAGCTTAGCTTGGAAACAGCTAGCCTAGCTCTGATGTCCTCACCTCAAGCACACACACACACACACACACACACACACACACACACTTTGTTGACCTCTGCATGAGCTGCAGCCATTTCACGAGACACATGTCCAATCCCACGGCAGAGCCCAAATGAATTCTCGTTGGAGGTCTCTGCTCGGCTAATAACTGGCATCAAAGCGCAGGAACATCGTGTGCCCCTACAGAAAACAACCCACTCGCTTGTATTTAATTGAGCCAATTGGGTTTTGAGTGCAATGCACAAAGTAGAGCCTGAAGAGCGCGTCCGTCGCTCTCCAACGAGCAGAACGGAACATTACAAACTGCGCCGTGTCCTCCGGCCGGATGCTTGTTGGTAAATCGCAATCATCCCCCGGGAAGAAAGAACATGAGCATTAATGATACAAAAATTACCTGGTAGGCACCGAGCTCAGAATTATCCCCCTCGTGCATCTTGGGAAATGAAGTCTCAATGTCTCTGAGCAGGGAGTCCGTCCAGGCGCTGTCCTCCTCCCACAGGGACCACATCTGGGACAAACGGAGAGAGGACGCGTTACGTGCATGCTAGTGCTGCTAACTGTTATGCCGACGATCCTGAATAGAAGTAGGAACTCCAGACAGGACGAGAGCACGCACTGCGAGGACAAACCTTCATGTCCTGCACTACCTGTAGGGTTTCCTGCATCCTGGTCCCTTCGTCCAGCGCGTGCTGCTGCATTCGGGACACCTCGGCCTGCAGGCCCGTCACCGCAGCCTCCCACCTCCGCTGGGCGCTCTTTGGGACTCTCTGGGTCAGCTGCTGCAGGATCTGAAAGCGATGGCCCAGGAAGCGGAAGAACCCCTGACGACAGAAAAGGGTGCGCGTTGCGTTAAAGATTCCCTTTCGGGGCCGGCGCGGCGCCCGTACCGTTCCCGCCGTGCGTCAGGCGTACCGTGTGGCCGGCGAGCTGCCGCTGGAGCCGAGCGCTGGTCTGCAGCTCGGCGACGGGCCGCCGGGCCAGACGCTCCGAGCCCAGAGCCAGCAGCTCCTCCAGGCCGCCGACCAGCCGCTCGCACTGCTGCTGCAGCTCCACGCCGGCCTCCAGCTCCTCCCGCAGGGAGCCAACGCCACCCAGAGAGCCCACGAGCGCGGCCTGCACACCAGGAGGGGAACGGAGAATCAGGCCGTTACGGGTCCAAGTGCTGGCACAGAGACGCTCCAGATGTTGCACATACCTGCAGATGCGAGGCCTGCTGGAGGAGAGCAGCAGGCAGGTGGGGTCGGCCAGCCTCCTCCAGGAGGGAGCTCACCTGCTCCACCTGCTGCTGCAAAGACTCCTGCATCTCAGCCAAAGCCTGTAATGAATGATATTAAACAAAGACACCGATGAAACCTCCACGATGCTGACTGGCGACCAGCTTCATCCTCCTAAATACTGGGGCATTAAGCACAGAAGAGCTTTTACCTCATGAAGATTATTATCTTTGTGTCTCTCGTTGTTCATGTAAAGAACCACTTCAGTATCTCCATGTGTCTCATAGTATTTTAATACCTTATTTTAATGTGTTTATTTGGAACAACTCTCCCACCGCATTATTTCTTTTTTTGTCATCACTTTATGAACAAATTGCTGAAGCTCGGTCAAATGGCTCATAACCCGAGCCGTATATATATATATATATATATATATATAGTATCTCCATGGCAACGGTACCTGTAGCTGAGGCGGTCCAGTGGACTCTTTAGTTATCTGAAGAAGCGCCGCCTGGTTAGAGGTGAAGGCTGCATGCAACTCATTGAGTAATATCTGTTGGTTAAACACACGACACGGGCTCCTTATGCTGCTCATGCAAACAGGAGATTAGCAGCAACTGTTATAGAAACAGTTAATAGACGAGTTATAAGTGAAGATTGTGACATCGGACCTGCTGCTGCGTCACGTCCTCCTGCAGCTCCGCGAGCTGCTGCTCTCTGCTGCTCAGTGCCGAGCGGACGGCGGGAAGCACGCGACACACATCGGCCACGCACTGCTGCGCCCCCAGGACGCGGCTGACCTCTGACCCCCGAGAGGCCAGCTCGCCGCCGAGGGTCGCCAGCTCCGCAGACAGGCTCTGAAAAGGGACACGAGGGAGTCCGTGGGTTCACAAACAGAACAGTACCGCTAAATAGAGCCCCCCCCCCCCCCCAATAACCAAACGAACTGTGCTGCAGTTTGTATTTGGGGTGTGGGGACCGCATGCACGACCCCCCCTCGAGGACACCCACGGCCCCCCCCAGCAGACCGGGGCAGCAGGCCGCTGATGGAGGTTAGGGTCAGGGACGCCCCGTGCAGGATATGAAACAAACCCTCGTCCAGCGTCTGGTGGGAGGGGTCTGTGTGGGAGGGGTCAGCGTCAGAGGGGTCCATGTGGGAGGGGTCAGCGTGGGAGGGGTCCGTGTGGGAGGGGTCTGTGTGGGAGGGTTCAGCGTGGGAGGGGTCCGTGTGGGAGGGGTCAGCGTGGGAGGGTCAGCGTGGGATGGGTCCGTGTGGGAGGGGTCAGCGTGGGAGGGGTCTGTGTGGGAGGGATCAGCGTGGGAGGGGTCCGCGTGGGAGGGGTCCGTGTGGGAGGGGTCAGCGTGGGAGGGGTCAGCGTGGGGATGGGTCCGTGTGGGAGGGGTCAGCGTGGGAGGGGTCTGTGTGGGAGGGATCAGCGTGGGAGGGGTCCGCGTGGGAGGGGTCCGTGTGGGAGGGGTCAGCGTGGGAGGGGTCTGTGTGGGAGGCCTGAAGACGAACAGGTGAGACAAACTATTAAAAAGATGAGGATGAATTCATGTCACTATACATGTCATTATGAATCCAGAGGAGGACGAGAGGAGGAAGAGGAGGAGGACGAGAGGAGGAAGAGGAGGAGGACGAGGAGGAGGAGGAGGAGGAGGTGATCAAACACATTCACATGTCATTCGAATCACAGAACAATCTGCAGAATTAGTCGTGTTAAACGAGCAGCGTCTTCCTCCAACACCTTCTGCTTCCATCCATGAGTCCGGTTCCTTTTCCCTCTTCATTATCCACCACCAGCAGTCTGTGCCTTCACAGGAGCAGCGCCACTTACCCCGAAGGTTAACCGGTCGACTTCATGGCCGCGGTGATTGGGATTCACAACAGAATATAAAACTTCACATCAATCAGCTCAATTCCTCATCTTCCAGAATGTCTCAGAGAGACGTCCCGATGTCTCAGTATGATGATGTAGAGACAGCGGCAAGATATTTAATGGACATGGCAATGAATAGCGTCCAAATCAGAACTCGTCACAAGGGACAATGTTTCAATCAATTATGGGTTATGTGTCAGTGCATGTGGCAAAGGTTTTGTCAAGGCCCCCATAATAACTCTAATAAACTTTGATGCAAGAATACCGTCACTCATCAAACAACAAACATGTCCCCGTAGATATTTTGTGGGCATTATGTTAAGAAATGTATTATAATCTGAATGCCCTTTGACTATTAATGGACCATAATGGACATCATCTGTATTGAAGAAGACTTGAAACTAGAGACTCATGTTTACTGGGGGAATAAATCATTAAAGAGTCATTTTCTCATAGACTTCTATTGGACCAGAGGCGTCGCCCCCTGCTGGTCGCTAGAGGGCGAATCGTCTCAACGCCCCTCACATTCCCTTCACGGCGTTGCATGTTGCCGCGGCGACGGGCCCCTACCCGATGCGGCGCCGCGGTGAGTCTGAGCTCTCTCAGGTGGCTGATGTGGGTTTGGAGCTCTTTCACGGTCTGTGCGGTAATCACGCGTCCCGCTGTTCCATCACTGCGCCTCGTAGATGAGTCTGTCACCTTCGGGGGGGGGGGACACACACACACTCCTATCAAGCCCTGCAGGACTCCCCATCACACCAAAGACACAACAAAGTGCCTCCTCCTCGGCGAAGGTGATAATCAAGCGCGGCGAGAGCCCCGATTTTTCTTTCTTTTCTCTTTTGTATTTGGGGGGAAAAAAGTGATAATCGAGCCCTTCAGCTGTCAACGGCAACGGCCCTCACCTGGGAGGCAGGAAGCAGCCAGCTCTCCTCCAGGGCCAGCAGGCGGCGGTGAAGCCCCTCCCACTTCTCCTCAGCCGAGGCCTCCTCCGCACCGGGAGGCCCCCTGGGGGGGGGAGTGAACACTTATCATCTCACATGTCTACTTATCACGTCAAATCGTCTTAAACTTCCCGCATTGATTGGACAAATCTAGAACAAAGTACGTGAGAGGTTAGAAGACGTGGACTAAATATGAAACGTCTTCTATTTGGTGTCATTTTCATAATTCCATTTGGTCCTTTTGGTCCTGTTGACGGACACGTGATGCCATGTGATGGTGCAGCGTGTTACCGTGGCGACGGCCTGCTGCGGTCCTCCGGCTCCCGGCCGTGGAGGCGAGTCCCGCTGCCCTGCCGGGCGATGGAGCGAGTCAGTCCTCTCTGCTCCGTCAGCTGCTGCTCCAACTCCTAAAAACAACAACGAGGAGGAGGAGGAGGAGGAGGAGGAGGAGGAGGAGGAGGACCACCACGCTGATAATCAGCACAATAATAAGTGGTAATCAAGTACACGTCGCCGAGCGCGTTCAGGCAGCAGAATCAGTGACTGTGACTGTTGCGGCGCGTGGAGCAGAGAGGCCGTTGGCGGTTCAAATCCCGGCTGCTCCGCGTTGTTCCTGAGCAAGGCACCTGATTCATTTCTCTTTTAAAGGAACGAAATGACTCAGAGCCCAAAGTGACATCCTCACAATTCTTTTGGTTTGTTTGGTCAAAACCTTCGACTTTTAAAATCAAACTAAATTATAAAACAATCTTTAAATCATCAGCTAATTCTTTATATTTTACAATCATTTCAAATGTTTTGTGTGAAAAACATCTTAATGTGTAAAGTAACTACAGCTGTCAAATAAATGAAGTGAAGTAGGAAGTAGAATATTTACATCCGAGCAAAAGTAGAAAGTACTTGATTAAATGTACTTGTTGTAAACTATGTAGTTAGAATTAAACAGTTGTGGGTTGTATATGTATAATAAAATAAATGGTTGACCTTTTTCATGAGAATAAAGGGAAAGAACGCTAAAAATCAATGCAGACATTTGTATATCATATCATATCATAATGTTGTCGATGGATTTTAGTATTACATCACATTACAGGTCATTTAGCTGACGCTTTTATCCAAAGCGACTTACATTTTTAACCCGTGGCTTTTTACATTGTTGCCTGGGAAGCAATTAGGGGTTAGGTGTCTTGCTCAGGGACACTTGGACATGGGACATGGGACATGGGGCAGCGCATGATGTCGATATTGGCTTCGGTCTCTACACAAAATAATAATAAACATTGAACCCTGGACCTCTGGAGTCCGGTACCTTCTGCTGCTGCAGGCTGCTCTGTCTGAGCAGCTTGTTCCTCGGGGAGGAGAAGATCTCCTGAACCTGAGGGGGAGGGGCCGAGGCCGGAGGGGGAGGAGCCAGGCCCTGAGGGGGAGGAGCGAGTGGAGAGAAACACAGATGAGTCACGCTCATTTATGTTTCACATCAAAGCTTTGAAGATCCTCCTGAATTCTGTAAATGAAATGTAAAACTGTTGCGATGAACTGTTGAGGTGTGAGACTCGTGGTGGAGTCCTGGCTGCATGTACCTGCCCCCCAGGCTCTCTCCTCCCCTGCAGCAGCTGCTGGAAGGACACCAGGTTGGCCTTCAGAGCCTCCAGCTTGGAGGAGAGCAGCTCCGCCGCCTCCTGTCGACCATCGGCCGGACGGCCCAGAGGCGGCAGGCAGGAAACCCGCCGCTCGATGTCCTGGAACATCTCCTGTTGGGTCCACGCACAATGACACACACACACAGAAAATCAGTGACTCTTTTATCATGGGAAGCACAAGGTTGGTGGTTCGACTCCAGGCTGCCCCATGTTCCATGTCGAAGTGTCCCTGACACTAACCCCTAATTTCTCCCCCGGCAAAAATGTGAAAAAGCCACGGGTTTAAAGTGTAATGTAAGTCGCTTTGGATAAAAAGCGTCTGCTAAATGACTTGTAATGTAATGTAATGTGATCACCAACGTACGGCGAGGGTTTTCTGTTTTATTTAAAATTAAGATGTAAAGAATGATAAAAAGAAATAAGAGATTTGCTTAAAAGGTTTTTGTCTTTAATTCCTCTGGTCTGTTCCATCGGTACCCAAACAGGAGAAATGTCATGTGAAGCCAAAATAAGTATCACAACAACAACAAGAGTCAAGTGGGAGTCTCTGTTGTCTCGGCTCGGAGGTTCTGTGGCGGGTTTGAAGCCCCTCGGTGAGGCGTCCTCTCTACTCACTTTGAATAAGAGGCGAGAGAACAAAGCTTCATTCCAACGAAACGCACAGAGAAGCCGAGCTTCCGTTCCAGCTTCCAATGAAGACACAACAAAGACTTTCCACTGAAAGGTTTTCCATCACCGGGTGAAACAAGGCCGTCAACAACCGGCAAATATCCACATCAAGTACACGACTAAGGACAATTACTTATGAGTGCTACTTTTTAAACACGGCAGGACTTCTGACAAAGTGCAATTCAAGGATTTAAAGACGGAATGTTAACAATTCGTCATCCTCTGGTTTGATAGAACAATATTAAGGAGATTGTTTGATGTTGTGTTTTTTTATAAAGTCTTCAAACAACATCACGGTCCAATAAACTAAACATCCATCTCCATATTTGTATTTGTTTCATATAAGCTGAAGAATTGAAAGTTTGTTTTATTAATTGACTCAACCATAGCTTGACAGCTAAACAGGGTCAAATAAACAAATATATATATATATATATATATTCGATATCACATGAAACTTCCTAAGAAGATTACTCATGATAAGACATTTTTTTGTAAATGTGATGTTTCCGTATAGAAATGGCTTCAGCAGAAATCTTAAGACGTAAACAAAGTAGTAAACACCTAAATGCATTTCGGATCTTTTCTTTGAAGTCTTTTGAAAGGAGACGACACGTGACAAAAGCAAAATAAACCCAAATCTCCAAATGAATCATTGAATGAAAAAAAAACATTTTTTCCGTGTAGAGCTTGAGTAAACTTTTGATCCTTTTTGGAATATCAGAAAAGAAGAAATGCAGAAGCAGCAACGTGTTAACCGACAGATATTCCACAGGCCGATAATGAAACACGTTGCATAAGTGTAAAACTAACTCGGGCCGCGTGTGTTCATGTGTTTATTTCCTCGTCTTAGCGACGCTCGGCTGCCTTTAAAACACCACCAAGAGCCTTTTTTGACTACTTTTTCGAAACAATATTTTTCCCATGACAGTTTTTAAAGAAATCATTTTTATAAATTTTGAACTTTTTTGACCTAACATATCGTGACGTTTAAAAAAAAACTTCTAGACTTTTTCCAACATTACTTTTTTGAAGTAACACTTTTTTCATACTCACATAACATATTTTTTCCATTTCATTCAAACCATTTTTGACATAATATATAAAGAACGTATTTTTGGGCCTAAAGGTTTTGGAATATTTTTCCATACATCTTTTTGAACAAATATGCTCTTTATTTCAATATTTTTTTTCACCTAACATATTTTGACAACAAAACATTTTTCAACCTAATATTTTTAAGCTTTTTTTCAAAATATTATTGATATAATATATTTTTTTCCAATGACATTGTTTAATCTAACCTTTACTGAAAACATTTTACAACACAATTTATTTTAAATAATTATATTTTTTGACGTAACATATTTTCTTAAACTTTTTTTGACTAAATAGTTTTAGAACTTATTTTCCATTACATTTTTTGACCTAACATTTTTTACTTTTTTTTCAAAAACATTTTCCAACATAATATATTTAAAATGTATTTACTTTGACATTATTTGACCAAATATTTTCTGATTTTTCTTTCCTGACAATATTTAAAAAAAAAAAATTCTAGCAAATTCTTTTGTACATGACATATTTTAACAAATGAAAGGAAACGACACAGAATCAAAAGAAACCCAAATCTCTAAATGAATCATTGCATACAAAAAAACATCCCTGTAGAGCTTGAATAAACTTTTTATCCTTTTTTGGATTATCAGAAAAGAAGAAAAGTGAACTGACAGATATTTCACGTAGGCCGATAAAACACGCTACACAACAAGTGTAAAACTAACATGGGCGTGTGTTTTCATGTGTTTATTTAGTCGTCATGGCGACGCATGGCCGACTTTAAAGGCTCCACATCTGATTGGTCCACCTCAATGAAAAGAAAACTCTGCACCCTAAATGCAAATATTATGATTGTTGATCTGTGGACTCAGTACTGGAGATATTTAACTAGTAGTATTACTCTGTGATACATCAGCAGGTTCACTAAGAGCAGGCTGTGATGTCTGACTCGTTTAGCCTCTTTTACTTTCTCCAAAGACTCTTTTCCATTTACAAGGAGACCCAAAGTGAACTTAAGCGGCAATAAAATATGAATATATAAACGTGTTGCTGGTTTCTGCAGCACATTAGTGAGAATTATTGTGCCATCAGTCCTGAGATCATAACAATAAAAACAAGTGAAAGAGTTCTGAATGAACTCAATCTGAATCACTGCCTTAAATACATATAAACCCATATATTATGTGTATTATTTGTTCTAAAGAATCCATGATGACATTTATGTGTTAATTCCGAACACAGGTGTGCGTAGAAATGTGAGAAAACCTTTTTATTTTCTTATCAACAACTGCATGATTAATTTGATGCAAATGTTTAATCCATGACACATGTAATTAAGGTTGTTGCAGTGACTTTTTGAATCATTGAAATGCATTCATTTAAATGGTTACGCATATGACCTGGAGGCCTGTCTGAACTCCCGGTTCCCCTGGTGGGCGGGGCTTTACCTGGCAGGTGAGCAGCTGCTGCTCCACGCTGGGCCGCATGGCCGCCGGGCTCCTCCGGGCCTCCTGCAGCCACAGCTCCAGCTGGCCGACCCTCTGCAGGCACGCGTGGAGGGCACCTCCTCGGGGGGGGCGGGACCCCGGCTGGGGCTCCTCCTCAGGGGCCTGGGACACAAACACAACACACCCGGCTGAACCTCGCGGGGGGACCAGGAAGTGGCTCGTCTGACATCGATCCACGCCGGGTCAACTTCCTCCTTCTATCTCGCCCTCTTAGTTCCTCTTCTCTTTCACTCTTAGTCACTCTTCCCTGTCCCTCTGTGCTCCACCCACCCGGGGGGGGAAACCACTTCCTGGAGCGGCAGGGCTCAGGTGACTCTTTGTAATGGAGAGGGCGAGAGAGGGCGAGAGAGACAGAGGAGAGAGAGAAACAACTCAAACAATCCTCTCGGAGTTCCAGTGAGCTTCTCCGACTGTTTTCCTTTTCTTTAAATCTTTTGAATCAACAAACCGGCGCCGACAGTGAGAAGGGAGCGCTCCATTTGTCCACCTGTATATTATTATGTGCATATTATTAACGCTGCCTGTGATTCCGGTTCTTGTAACTTAAGAGCAGGTGGAATGTTTACATCTGAAGTTCATCTGTTAAATAAAAGTGTTGCCGGCTGTCTTTGAGTAGTTGTTTTACTTTTGCTTCTTTTGGCCCCAATAAGTATTTCAACAACAAACCTGTTAAGAGTAGAAATATCTTATTATAGGAACAGAGATCCTCCTGCACACAGCGGTAATGTAAATAAAAATGCACACAATCAGGTGGTTGTCTTATAAAAACAGCCTCCTGCTCGGTTAGCGGGTTAGGAGGAGGAGGAGTTAGAGGAGGGTTTGGAGGAGGAGGAGGAGGAGGAGTTAGAGGAGGGTTTGGAGGAGGAGGAGGAGTTAGAGGAGGGTTTGGAGGAGGAGGAGGAGTTGGAGGTGGAGGAGTTGGAGGTGGAGGAGGCCATGCTGGAGCTGTGACCTTACATTCATATCTTAATATCTGCAGGACCCCACCTCTGGATTCCACCAGAACCTCTCCAGATGTTGGCCGGTGTCAAAGGTTTGTTCCCCCCCCAGGTGTGTGCGAGCTCACGTTAAGTGTGTGTGTGTTCACTCCCCCCCCGCCTCCCCCCCCACCCCCCTCCATGAGCTCCTGACACAAGAGACTGGGAGACTGGGAGAGGTCACTGCTGCGGGTTTATTGGTGTTGCATTCTGCTGCTGAGGTGCAGACAGAGAGGAACAAAGTACAAAGTACAGCTCATGCCGAGTGACGTAAGACATCTCAGTGACACACACACACACACACACACACTGCTGAGCGATCTAAATCAACCAACTCCGTAAACAACAATCCATCAGATGCGTTTCAGCGGGTTTTATTTGAACAAATGACACTTTGCATTTGCTGGTAAACGAGCTCAGAAAACAAACGTCAACAATCAAAGAGGTTAAACTCGATTAAATCATCATTAATCACAGAATGGAACACTTGGTTTGGGCCTCGACAGAACCAACATTGGAACCACAGTGAGGACGGAGGTCCGTGTGAAAGCTTCTCCGGGACCAAAAAGGCCTCCGGCCGACACGCTGAGGCACAGTGTAAACGTTGGTGTTCCAGACGGAACCGAAGTCTGAACACGTCCTAGACGAGGTTCTGACTTCAGAAGAAACGTATGAGAGACAGGTGTTTTTCAGCAGACTCTCGGCTTGGTTCTAGAGGAGGGGGGGGGGGGGGTCTGAGCTCTAGAAGGCGCTGGAAGTCCAAAGACGAAGCGGGAAGTTGTACAGATACAAGTAATAGATCTAAGAGACCACACATCTCTGCGGGGTCCCCGGGTCGGGCGTGGACACCTTAAGGGGGGGGGGCGTGTCTACCGTGCTCTCGGGCAGCGACTGAGGCCAGACCGCCGATAAAGCTTCGGAGGAGCTTGCTTCGGTGGGGCCCTCAACATCCTGAAGAAACATGAGCAGGGTTAGAAGATCAGCGAGGTCAGTCAGTCAAAGGCTCCCGTGGTCGTCAGGGTAACCACGAGGTCACGGGGTCACACGGTTACTAGCACTCTGTTACGGAGTTAAAGTCCTCGGTGTTATTGAAAAACAGATGCGACGGTTGTGATCGGTAGTTTGCGACTACGTATCGGTGGAATGTGCAGGTTGGAGGGAAGGAAATAAAAAACTAAGCCGCCCATTCAAAGATGATGTTTAAAGTGAAATTACTTCCTGAATTGCTTCCTCCCATGTGACTATTGTCCCTCTGACCACCAAAGACTAACGGCGCGGGTGAAGGTGTTACCTCTCTGTCTCCACCCGTCTGTTTGGCGCTCCCTCCAGCACCACCTTCCGTCTCCTCTGGTGTAAGAATCAAAGGCACCTGACGGCAACAAGGACAAAAGGAAGAATTAAAGTCCAGACAAACACCTGTGCCCGGGGCTGGGGGGGGGGTCAGAGGACAGGTAGGTGGGTGGGGTGAGGAAGGGGGAGACGGGGGGAGGAGGACAGAGTGACCCGGGTGGCAGGGAGGTCAGAGGTCGTAGCTGAAGTGACAGGTGGAGGGAGGGTGGGGGCGGGGGCAGTAACAGGAAAGGTCCAGGTGGGGACCTGCATGGACCTCAGGTCACCAGAAGGACAGAGAAGGAAAGTCTTCGTTCCACAGCGGCTTCGTTACCTCTGGCGAAGCGGCCAGGAAAGCATCCCAGAGCCACCACCACACCCCGCCTCCACCTGCTCCACCTCCTCCACCTTGACTGCCTCCGTCGGCCCGATCCCTCTGCTGAGTGACAGGGAGGGAGGGGGTCAGAAGTGAGCCGCTCACTATAAGAGTTCACTGCGACGTCAGTCACGTTATATCAAAATAAAATGTACACTTTAAACAAGTTTAGTCTGAAACAAATGAGGTGTTTTTTAAAGAAATGAGAATCTCAGTAAAAATCACATTGAACATAATGAGGACTGAAGGTGCTCTGATTGGGACCTTTGGGGGGGCGTTTGACCCCCTGCGGTTATCACTGATTAGTCATTCATGGAAGTTTTCCTAATAGCAAGAATCATCTCTCTGAGTCGTCTGAGCTCCTGGTGGAGAAACGTCTCACGTTGTCTCGTGTCCTCAGAGACGTGTGACTGAACATCTTTATTTAAACGTCTTTGCTTTCTTGTTTTTGTTCTTTTTGTGTGAAACCTTTCCGCCCAGGGCTCCTTCAAGGAGGGACACGTCCTCAAAGAGGGACCCGTCCTGGCAAAATGAAAGCAAACAGTAATAAAAAGTGCAAACACGCGGTATTAAACATGCTGGGGAGACACAGCTTGTTAAATCACTTCACGCTCAGGGAGGGGGGGTGTTAGCATGTTAGAGAAGCACTATTCAAGACACGGGAGTAGATGACGGCAGAACGTCCCATGGAAGAGATGCGAGTGTCCCCGGTCCCCCTACCTGGGTGCCGTCAGGGCTCCTGGACTGCCGCTGCTCGGGGGAGGACCGATGTACCGCCTGCAGCGAGGCTCCGGACTCCTTCAGCACGTCCTCCTTCACGTGGACGATCTGGATCTGTCCCTCCTCCACCTCTTTGTCCTGAGACACAAAGCAAAGCTCGGGTGGAGTCGTGTTTTCTGGCTGCACAGCATCTCGGGGGTAAAGGGTCTTAAGTCCCACTTTAGGGGAGTTAGCTCAGATTTCAACATCCACGATATATTTACATATGAAACGGTTTCTGCTGCTACATTAAAGCAACACTGTTACCATGGAGACGGAGCTGAACTCACCTCCGACTCCTCTGAGGTGGATTTAAGGAGTCCAGGTAGAGACGACGTCTGAGCCGACGGAGCCGGAGGCTGCTGGACGAACAGAGCGGGGACCTTCTGCAAGAGGGGCGGGGGGGTCAGTCCTGTCCACTACCCCCTGACTGACCTACTGACTCACTGATGTACTGACCTTCTCCAGGCCCAGCAGCAGAGTCTGGAGCTGGTCCACCACAGCGAAGACAGTCAGAGTCTCTTCGGCCTTCTCTGGAAGACAAAGGCCTGGCTTACACTTCTGGATCTCGGCTATGGTCGTCCTCATGGACTGGATCTTCTGCTCAATGACCTGTGCACAGAAAAAAGGATCATGTTTGATGAGTTTGACAATAACTTCAGAAAGATTCAGATTCCAGAAAATTGATGGCTTTTATGTTAAGTCATGAAAATCAAATGAAAACCTGGTCTCACCCTGATGCGTTCCGCCCTCGCGGTCTTGGACAAAGCCTCCGAAGACGAAAGCGACGCGTTGACGTCAGCCACGTCGTTCTCCATCCGTCGGACTTCGATCTCGATGGCCTCCACCTCCTAGACAAGCGATGGCTGGTTAAAGACCTCCAGGAGCAGTCAGGCAAAGACACAGGACGGACGCGGTGGACTCACGGCGGCGGCGTGCCCCAGGTGAGACAGGGGAGCGGTGAAGCCGTCTTGAACCACGGCCACCTGGACCTCGGCCTCGTCCAGCTGCTCCTGCAGAGCGGCCACGTCGCACACCTGAGACATCTCCTTCAGCACCGAGCCGAAGCCCTGCAGCGCGCTGCGGATCTGCGCCGAGTCGTCCAGCACCGTCTGGGAGAGGCGGAGACATGTGCTGAGCAAGGTGTTACTCCATCAGGAGCAGTAAGAGCAGAGGGTGGAGCGGCGGGTGCACCGACCTGCAGGGAGTGAACGTGGCTGCTCAGGCACTTGGCCGTGGTGTAGGTGCAGGGTGTAGCGAGCCACGACTTGGCCTCTGCCATCCAGCTCTTGGAGCTGCTGATCATCTCCTGGTGCTCCTGTAGCCACGTTTGGATCTGACCAGCAACACCAGACAACACGTTCGTTATCCACAACTCTGTGTATAGTTTATGACATGAGTGACACGCCAGCTGCTTGCCAGCATGACGGTGTAATAACTACAACAGCAGCAAAGGACCTTGCTGATGAGGGAGGTCCTCTGCTCCGCCTGCTTGGCCAGGAGGGAGTGGAGCTGCTGCACCTCCACCAGTCTCTCGGTGAGGATCAGCACCTCCTCCGGCTTCTCCAGGTCCTGCACGTCCACCTCCAGAGCCGCCACGGCCGAGTGCCACACGTCCAGCTCGTCCCACGCGCGCTGAGCACATGGAGAGTCACTGACTTTAGCCCCTTCCAGCTCTTCACTGTGTGTGTGTCGGCTTTAGCTTGTGTGGATGGCTACATGATGATTCTATGTCCCTTCGTGATGTGGGGAAACGTTCCCACTGCAGCTGCACCCTCGTTGTCTGGTAAAACCCACGAGGGGTCTGACACAGGAATAAAGAATTGACCATCTATTCACAAACCTACAGGATCCAAGGTGCACCAGCATTGGGGTTTCATCACAGCGATTAAGAATGAGTCCATTTAATCAGAATCAGGCTCAAAGCAGAGACAAAGTGGTTGTCGGCTTTGTGAACATATCAGCGCTACGTTTGAGTCTTGAGGAGAAGGAGTGAACTCACAGCTTCTGAAGGTCTCCCCACCTTCTTATTACAGTCTTGGTCACTCACCCTCTGGGTGAGCTTTGCTTGGCTCACGTTGGGACTCCTCTGTTCAAGTCTTTTCTGGACCGAGGTCAGGCCGGCTTGGATCTCAGACAGCCTCGCCCCCAGCCGGTAGACGGGGCCGCTCTTCTCCAAGGCCTCCCCCACCTGACGGAGGAACCAGCACAGAGGCCACGGTGGGGCATTTGTTATTGCCCCAAACACTATCGCTCAATGTCTTCCTGTTAAACTTGAGCAAAGCCTGCATTGAATCTTTAACATTGAGTTGAACTTATTAGGATTCATCACAGGATGTCTCCATAGTTTTTTATGAGCTACCAAATAGATGATAATAATCAGCACCTCTCCCTTTAACTCATCCAACTCCTGCCCTTTTCCCCACGTTGGTTCCTGTGATCGAAGGTGTTTCTAATCAAACCTGCGGGTCTCCTGTACCTTCACTTGTACTTTCTGCAGAGACTGCGAGACGTCCTGCAGCCGGCCGTCAAACTCCAGCCACACCGGAGAGGACGCGTCCGAGTACTTCATCTTCACGCCCTCCGTGACGCGCTGCAGCGACGCCTTGTGGTTACACAGCTGGCTGTGGACCTCCTGAAACCAGAGGGGGAGCAGGGGGGGTGGGGGGGGGGGTTGTGGAAGGGAAGTCAGACACCAACGAGCCTCCAGTCGGCCTCCTTCTCTCTCTCACGGGTCAGAAGCTCAGCAGACCTGAGGAGCCTCTGGAATTCATTTCACCGCTTTATTAAATATCCAACGGCAACACTGAGACTTGTGAGTATTTGTAAGCTCCAGCAGCTGAGCACACGAGAATCACACACACTGACTACCAGTGGTCTTTCTCAGAAGGTGCAGGACATCGCTCACTGATTGTATAGTAGATGTTTCAAAGAAACCGACATTTAATTTCACAGATTGAGGTTTTAAATGTGTAATTAGGTCCAAATATCTTCGAGGATTAAATGGCAGAAACATTATTAGCTAATGAAGTTATACTGTCAGATTTCAGGATCATTAGATCATCATACTATCGACTCTGAGGAGACAATTCTGTGAAAAAACAACACACAAAGTGTTTCTTTTTTTAAACATTAACCTCCTCAAGTGAAATGTCTGTAATGAGCTGATGTTTGTCCGCTATCAGAAGAAGAAAGTGGTGGATTAAAGCGCTTCGTTTTGCATAAGAGTCCAGTGATTGTGACGTAGCACCAACACACCAACATGTACCCGGTACCCCTGATCATGTCCGCCCCACCTGAAGCTCCTGCGTGCTGCGGCTCTTCTCCATCTTTGACAGAAGACCGTCTGCAGCCTGCAGCCAGACGCCGACGGCCTGCAGCTCTCCGCCGAGCCGCTCCCTCTCCTCCAGCTCGGCCCGCGCCGCCTTCAAGCCCTCCCTGCTCCTCTGCTTCACACTGCAGCAAAAGACACAGAACGCAGGCGTCAACCCACAGCGTTCCGGCTTCGTACCTTCGACGTATCGGAGGGGAGAGTTCTGCATTCACAATAAAGTTGGGATGAAGTGCTTGGTTTAAAACTTCCATCCGCCATCCTACCTGCCGTAGCGGTCCTGCATGGCCTGCAGCTGCTGACAGAGCGCGGCGGGCGGCGCCTTCTCCAGGTGGGCGGGGACGCCCAGCAGCCGGGCGGTGCGCAGCTCCAGCGCGGACAGGGCCCGGTGCTCGCAGTCCAGCCGGTCCTGGTGCTGCTCCCAGCGCTGCAGCAGAGCCTGGAGGTCCTCGGAGGAGGCCTTCACGGGGGATCCGTCGGGATGCTCCGCCTCCACCTGCTCCAAGAGGGTGGAGGCCTTCTCCACCTGAGCGGAGGAAGCAGCGTTTGAATCTTTTTTGTTTGATTCACGTGGTTCGACCGGAAGGAAAACCTTTGTTCACTCACGCCGTCGGTGATTTGGATCCACTCTGCGACCCTCCGCCTGCTGCGAGTCGCCAGCTCTCTCGTGCAGCGGCGCAGCCTGGACACGCGTCTCCACACGGCGGCCACGGCGGCCTCCCGGCCTCCGCGACAGCTCTGCTCGGGGCACCACTCCTCCAGCTCCTCCAGACGCCTCTGCAAGGTCTCCACCTCCTCGGACAGGACCTGCGCAGCCGAAGTGGAGGTCATTTGGGAAGTGTGACGAGTTTTTTCTCTCCAAAATGAATATAGGTTTTACTTCAAACAAAGTGGTCAAAAGTGGGCGGAGTCTCATACGTACAGTGAGCTGGGTGTGCTGGTCGGTGCAGTCGGTGAGGGAGGAGACCTTTTCCCGGACGAGCTGGGAGAGGCTGCTCGCTGCGCTCTGCACACTCTGGAGGATTTCTTCTCGCCTCGCGGCGTATTTTCTGTGTTGTTCTGCACAGCTGCGAGACAGAAGTGGGACGTCCGATCAGAAGGAGATCATCGCCTCTGCTCACACACGCGCGGCATCTTTCAGACCGTTACCTGCTGAGACACTCCACTCGCATGTGTCCCTTGGCCTGCAGGGTGGACATCCTCACCAGGAGCCGGCTCAGGATGTCCTCCTGGAGCTGCTCCACCCTCTGGGCGGACAGGTAAGGGTGCAGGGTGTCCTGTCGCTGGAGCTCCTCCACGTGGGTCTGGAACTGCTGCTGCAGCGAGGCCAAAGCCCGCTGGGTCTCCTCCAGGCTCTCGGAGCAGAGCCCAGCGGTGCCCTGCGGCGGCAGCAGAGAGACCTCGATGTTCCTCAGGAATTCTGCCGCTTGTTTAACGGCATTCGTGTAGCTCCTCAGAGACTCCTTGGCCTGAGAGATCTCCTCCTAAAATGTAATACACACAATGTATCTGCATGCCCATATTATAGGACACTAGCATCCCACAGAGAGGTTACAGTGCTGTGTTAGAGAGATATCTACTGCAATGAGCATGCTAATCAGCTAGCTAACCAGCTAGCCCCACAACATAGGGATGATTAAAACAATGCAAGAGACAACAAACAAAAGACACGGATACAGAATGATGATGGTTATAGACAAAAGCATGAACAACAAAAAATAATTCAACTTGCCATCTGTGAGTCGCATTCACTGAGCACTGCCACCTGCAAGTCCACCAGATCTTGGGACACACTTCCTGGTCTGCCACCCTTCTTCTGCTCGAGAACCCCCAGTGCCCTCATTCGGGACTCCACGGTCTTCTTCAGAGACATGGTCCTCTGGTACTGCTCGTTGATTGCGGTTTCCTTGGGCTCCAGCGTGGGGGTTTTCTGGAGCTCCTGCTGGGTCTGGTGGAGGAAGGTCCGGGCGCTCGCCCTCTCAGAGTCGAGGTCCAGTTCCTTCAGAAGGTTCCACTCGATGATGCTGAGGTTGTTGTAGAGCGTCATCTCCAGCGCGTCCAGGCTCTCCTCGTTGTTCCTCAGTCTCTGTCGCTCCGCGCTCTGCTGTGAGGGGTACAGGTCGGCGGAGATCCCCTGGAGTTGGGTCCCGGCCTCGATGGACAAGTACTTTATGAGCGGGAGCTGAACGAGGAGGGTCTGACAGACTTTGTACTTCTCCTCAAGCGGCTTGCTTTTGTCTTTGGTCTGACAGACCTGCTCCTTCACGTTCTCCCTGAGGTCCTCCACACACTGCCTCTTGTTCAGGTACCTCTCATGACCTCTAGCTTTCATCTCCAGGCTGTAAATCTTGCTGAGAAGCTGTGAAACGACTGAGTGCAGTTCCCCCGTCTTTTCCCGGGGAATCCACGGTTGCAGAAGGTCAACCTGGGCTTTGTGCTCCAAAATCACATCTTTGAAAGGCTCCAAGGCTTGCAGGGACTCGCTTGTGATGGGGAACCGGTGTCGACTCAGATCTCCGGACATCTGCCTGAGGCTCGTTTCCAGGCTGACCAGGTTTTTCTTGCTGGAATCCACAGCCAGGCTGAGGTCGTCCTGCTCCTGTTTGTTGGCCTTCTCGTAGCAGCCGATGGCTCTGATGTCCTCCTGGAGGTCGGTCAGCTTGTCAAACAGCTGGCAGGTCTCTGGGATGCTGAGTTCAGAGGCGATGTCTTTGCTCTTCATCAGGAGAGCCTCACAGACTGCGGCCTGCTTCTCGGCCTCCACCTGGGTCTCCAGCATCTGACGAATTCTGCGATCGAGCTCGGTGGGGTTGCTGAGCTCGCTGTCTGGACTCCTGGAGGCTTCTCTATGCAGATGAGCCAGAACCCAGGAGTCCAGCTCCACAATCTGCTCCGACAGCTTCTCTCGAGTCTGCAGACCTGACTCCAGCTCTCTCACGGCCTTGGCTAGCGTCTCTGTAGTCGACTTGGACACTTCTTCGAGGGACTTCAGAGAGGAGCGCACCATGGGCACCTCCTCGGCCGGGTCCAGCTGTGGAAGGAGCTCCTCCACCTCCTCCGCCAGCGACCCCAGTTGGCCCTGTTTGGCCATGACCTCGGACTGCAGCTTCTTCAGATCCCGGAGCTGCCGGTGCACCTCTTCAGGCAGGAGAGCAATCCTCTTCCTCCTGCCTTCAATGTCACTCTCCGTCTGCTTCGCCCAAGCGAGACCGTCCCTCATCACCTGGATCACTTTCTCCATGACGGGGCTGCTGCTGCTCCGACTTTGAGAGGACACCAGTTCCTCTGTGGAGCAAAGCTGGTCTTTGACCCTCTGGAGGCCCTGCTGTATCTCCGCTGTCTCCTCCTCTCTCTGGGAGCTGAGAAGGAACGCCCCAGACAGCTGCTGCAGATGGAGGTGCTTCAGCTGGGCAGCTTTAACCTCTGCGTTGGCAACCATCAGCCGCTGAGCGCTCTCGCAGGTCCACTGAGGAACCGAGGCAGACTCCAGGTCTTTGGCAATTGTCTCCAAATGTTCCTGAAGGCCTGATATCGTCAACAGAAGGTCGCTTGCGCTGTGAGAATGGACGTTGGTGTGATGCAGCGTCCTCTCCACGGCTCTCTCCAGGCCTCTCCACCCGTCTTGCAGGTTGTTCTGCTCGCTCCGTGCAGCTGCTCGATCAGACCAGCTGAGGTTTGGGCCTAACCTGGCATGGGTCATGAGCAGCTCCCCGAGCACCGCTCTGTGTTCCTCCATACTTCTCTGCAGGGAGCGAAGTCGCTCTGCGTCCTTTGCGCTGCTCTCCTCTGGGGACCTGAAAGAAAGACAGTCGGGAGCGTTGAGATTTAAACCGCATTCAGTAAGAATACATCTTTAGAAGGCCCCTGTTCCTCTGGTCTCAGAACCCTTCTTGGCTTTAAGACAGTAAAGCTCCTCCTTGGTTTCAGATCTGAACATATTTCAGTAAGGAAACAAAAAAAGCAGCTCTCACGTCGTGATGTCCTCCAGTTCTGCTGTGAGTCTGAGCAGCGTGGTGCCGGCAGCTTGGGTCTGTCTGTGGTAATCGCTCACCAGCTGCAGCTGAGCCTCTTTATTCTGGCACGCAGCAGCTGCATCCTGAGCAGCGGTTCTCCACTGGTCCTCCACCTGCTCCAAGGCCTCCTGGTTCTCTGCATCAGCTCCCCTCAGCTGAGAGAACCACGCCGCCTGGGCTCGGGCCGCCTCTCGGCACTCCTGGAATTAGCGGGCAGAATTAAAAACCCAATTATTCAAATTGTATTCATTTTTTTAAGGTTGTCTAGTGAGGGTGTGGGATTTGGGATCGCACCTGCGCCTCCTCCAGCTGCCGGGCCATCGCGGCCGGCTTGAGCTCGGCGGGGTGGTTTTTGCAGCTCAGGACTTTAGACACCAGCCTTTTTAGGCGGTGGTCCAGATCAGTGGTGGATGTGATCAGAGCCTCTGGGGCGTCCTCCGATGGTTTACCCTGAAGAAACAGAAGCACAAAAGGGATTTTGTGAGGTCCAAGCGTCATCAATAGAAAAAGTACATTTAGGGCCTTCATTATGAATGTAATTTGCTAAATTTCACGGCGTTTAGAACATATGGCTCTTTTTGGAAATTCACAATCCATCCAAAAGAGACCAAACAATGTAACCCTGAGCGAAAATGCTCTTAAAAATGACTTTAGCGAGTTCTAGGGGTTTCTTTTTAGCAATAATACCTCAATGAGTTGACTGCTGGCAGAGAGACGCTGCATCTCTGTGCAGATGTTCTTCATGAAGGCTCCCTCTGACTCCTCCACGACTCCCTCAGTCTTCACAACGATCGCCTCTGCTTCAGCATTGTTTTCCCGAGAGGGAGTCACCTCGCCACAGATAGTGTCAGCTGACGATTTCTTAATCTGCAGGGAAGCGGGGCACTCATCCAGTTTGCACACCTCCTCCAACTGTGAAGAGCAAACACCGGTATCAATGCTGCAAGAATTCTCACTTGAAAGTGTTTCTTTTGAGCGAAGAAAAGATCCACGTGTGTCTGTGTGAAACACGTCTATTTACAGTTGGAAGATACGTCATCTTCTGGAAGTGCAACAAGCCTCACAGCCTTTTGCTTCATGCAGAAGCTCGTGTTACAACCCCGAGGCACTGGACCCGGCGGCAGCAAAGGTGAAAGGTCTCAAACTCATGTTCGTAACTAATGCTGATAAAATGTAGGTGTGAAAACCACTCCCACAGTCCTAAATGTGAAAAAAGACCTGAACAAGTAAAGAATAAAAAGCTTTTGGAGGCGCATTAAGAATTGACCAGTCATCATTGAGCCACTGAAGAATGTGGGAACAAGTGCAAACAAGTACATGCAAGACAAAATAGACGCATTATGTAACAACCCTGGAGCTAGAAAAACTGGATATTTATCTTCCATTTCACTGAATCTCTCTCTCTCTCTCTCTCTCTCCTCAGCCGTTGTAATGTTCTGTTATCTTCTATTGCAGGGACAGACGTGTGCCGTGAGGAGAAGCAGTTGAGACGGTGAACCGGTGGAGCAGCATGCAGTATTAAACACAACACATATAAGGCACATGGTGCCGAGTGAGTTCTGTTTCATTCGTTTTCACAAGCATTTCAAAAGGTATTTAAAAATAAAAAAGGAGCTGTGTTCTCAGGCTAATTCAACCTCAAAGTGAATAGTCCAAAGAGTTAGCAGATAAGGGAGCCCATGAGCATACCTGACGGGAAGTCATTTTCCCCGAAGCTCCCCAGGGTCCGCTGGAGCCTTCTTGCACTTGCTCTGCCGACGTGCTCCTCCCTGGAGACCCGCCAGGCAGCAAGTCAGTGGTGGGAAGCTTCTCGCCTGCCGTGCCAGCCTCACACTGGGGCTCTTCCTGCAGCCTCGGGGGTGAATCACGCACGTCTTGTGAGGACACGCCAGCTGGCACTTGTTTGCTGTCCTTGACAGTTACCAGTGTTTCTTGTCTGGTTGTAACCACCGTTGCTCCGGGTCGGACGGCGTCTCGATCGGGTGGGCGGACCATGGTGGCGGTGAGCTGCCCTTCTGCTCTTGTGTTAGCCGCATCCTTCTCTGGCTTAACATCTGCTGTGGAACATTCTGTAGACTCTTCAGCTGAGCTCATGGGAACCGGAGCAGAAGGCTTCTCAAATACTGGAGGGATCTCTTTAACAGAAGTTTGACTCTCCTTAACAGAACTCAAATAATGAGGGATACTTGAATTAACAGCATCCTGAATTGGAGTTTGTACTTCACTTACAGTCTCAATTTCGGGATTTGGGGTTCTTACTTGCACCTGTTGTGAGAAGGTTTCCACTATGGGCGTGGTCCTTTGAGCCACAGCAACCTGTGGACTCCTAGAGTCCAGTGAAGACTTGTGACCGCCAGGTTCTTTCTGGGTAGGAGGTTCTGGGGAACGTTGCGGATCCTTTCTTCTGGTTGGTGCAAGTTTATCTTCTTCCACAACAGTGGGCTCAGTTGTTGCTGGGACCATCTCTGGAGTTGAAGATGGCTTCTGACTGTTGGGCTCTTCCTTCGTCTTCGTCAGCTCCGTGAAAGGAAGATCAGGGGGACGTTGCAGATCCTTTGACGTTCTTTTGGTTTGTGAAGGTTCAACTTTTTCCACAACAGTAATTTGGGTTGATGCAGTGAGAACATCTGGAGTTGAAAATGGCTTCTGAATCTGAGGTTGCTCCTTGTTTGTTTCAAGCTCTGTGGTGCTTTGTTCTGAGTAAACGTCTACACCCTCTGACCTCTGACTATCAGGCTCTTCTCTGGTCTTCGTCACCTCTGTGGTAGGAGGATCAGCAGAAAGTTTCAGATCCTTGGACTTTCTTTTGGTTGGTGTAAGTGTATCTTCTTTCACAGCAGTGGTTTCAGATGGTGATAGAACCATCTCTGAGGTTGAAGAAGTCTTCGGACTACCAGGCTCTTCCTTGGTCTTCGTCTGCTCCCTGGTTGGTGAGTGCTCTCCCTTTTCCACTAGATCTACTTGTGTTTTACAGGTGGACTTGTATTTGTCTTCTTGGGCTCTTTGGATACCTGTTTGAACACTTTCCATGCTCGCCTCCTTTCCTCTTGAGACTGATGTGCTGGCTTCCTTCTCCTGGTTGATCGGTAAACCGAGTTGCAGTACGCGCACTTCAGGGCCCATGGGGATTTTCTCCATCCTCAGAAAGCTTTCGTGTAGACTTTGGGGTACATCTTGGACCCCCCGTCCCTTGAACTCTGCTCCATCCTGCGTAGCGCTCAGCGTTTCAGTCTGGCTTGGTTTACCCGTTTCTGTCTCATACAAGCTTATCTCTATCACTTCCGTCTCGTGTGGTTGCAACGGTTCAGAAGCAGCTGGTTTGAGTTGAGCAGAGTCACTTTGAGTCACGTTGTCTTGAAGTCCGCCACTAACGGGCTGCACCTTCACCGTGGTCACTTCCACTGCAGCTTTCTGTGTTATATCATCAGTTGTTGTGGCATCTTTGTCTTCTCTTTTGCTTTGGATAGTTCTTTGAACAACATCTATTCTTAGCTCTTTTGCTGTGGTGACGCATCCTTTTTCCTCCTTCCCCGGAGTCTGGATATCTAATTGTAGGATGCACACTTCCGTATCTACGTGGAGCTTCTCAGTCGTCACAGATTCTTCATGAAAGCCCTTGTGTTCTGCAGCCTTCTCTGGCTGGACATCAGCAGAGGTCATATCTTTGTTTCCTCTTTGAACACCTTCACTCTGCATACTTGTTCCAAGTGGTCTAATTGCTTTTTCTCCGTTGAAGGATGCGTTTTCACCCTGGTCTGGACTTGGCTTGGATGAGCTTATTTCCTTCTCACTTCTAGGCACACTTTGTTCTTTTTGCTGATCTTGCTGTATCTCACATGTCTCCGTTGCACTAATCTCAGGCAAATCAAGGACAAGATATCTCCTCTGGACTGTGTTTTCTGATACCATTGCTATGTAGTCCGACAGCTCACTAGGCTCGGGGGAGAGAGGACGTTGCATTTTAGGCGCTGTACTTGTAGTCGGGGAATTAGCTTCTCCTGTGGCCTCTTCATGTAAAACTTCAGGCTCGGACTCAGAACCTGGATGTTCAGCCATGGTTTGACGATCAGGCTCACCTTTGGTTAGGGACGATGTGCTGGCAGGTTCTGTGAAAGTTTCAAGAGCCTTTGACTTTCCTTTGGTTGGTGAAAGCTCTCCCCTTTCAGTTGCAGGAACTTTAGTTGTTGCTGTGAACACCTCTGGAGTTGAAGATGGGGTCTGGCTCTCAGCTTCTTCCTTTGTCTTTGGCAGCTCTGTGGAAGCTTGTACTGCGGAGAGTTTTTGATCATTTGGTCTCCTTTTGGTTGGTGAAAGCTCTCCCCTTTCCACTGCAGGAACTTCAGTTCTTGCTGGGAACACCTCTGGAGTTGAAGATGGAAGCTGGCTCTCAGCTTCTTCCTTTGTCTGTGGAAGCTCTGTAGAAGCATGTTCTGGGGAGAGTTTAAGACCCTTTGGCTTCTCTTTAGGCGGGGAGAGCTGTTCAGGCTCCTTCAACTCAGAACCTGGATGTTCAGCCATGGTTTGACGACCAGGCTCACCTTTGGTTTGGGACGATGTGCTAGCAGGTTCTGTGAAAGGTTCAAGAGCCTTTGACTTTACTGTGGTTGGTGAAAGCTCTTCCTTTTCAACAACAGTTTCTTTAGTTGTTGCTTTCCCCACTTCTGGAGTTGGAAATGGCTTTTGAAGGTGAGGTTCTGCCTTTGCCTTCTCTTCTGGGGAGACTTTCAATCCCTTCAGTTTTCCTTTTGACTCGGGAGCAGCTCCAGTTGTTCCTATGATTAACTCTTGAGTTGAAGTTTGCTGTTCCCTGGTCTTTGTGAGGTCTTTGGGAGCCGCTTTGGGAGAACGGTTTACTCCCTTTGACTTTCTTTTGGTTGGTGAAGGCTCTCCTTTTCCCACAGCAGTTTTATCAGTTGGCTCCTGGACCACATCTGGAGGTGAAGAATTTTTTTCGGGCTCCACATCTGGGGATCTTTGGGTAACTGTCTCGGAAGTTGTAGGCGCTGTACTTGTAGTCGGGGAATTGGCTTCTCCTGGGGCCTCTTCATGTAAAACTTCCGGCTCCTCGGACTCAGAACCTGGATGTTCAGCCATGGTTTGATGATCAGGCTCACCTTTGGTTTGGGACGATGTGCTAGCAGGTTCTGTGAAAGTTTCAAGAGCCTTTGACTTTCCTTTGGTTGGTGAAAGCTCTCCCTTTTCCACAGCAGTTTCTTTAGTTGTTGCTTCACCCACCTCTGGAGTTGAAGATGGAGTCTGGCTCTCAGCTTCTTCCTTTGTCTTTGGCAGCTCTGTGGAAGCTTGTACTGTGGAGAGTTTTTGATCATTTAGTCTCCTTTTGGTTGGTGAAAGCTCTCCCTTTTCCACTGCAGGAACTTCAGTTCTTGCTGTGAACACCTCTGGAGTTAAAGATGGAAGCTGACTCTCAGCTTCTTCCTTTCTCTTTGGCAGATCTGTAGAAGCAGGTTCTGGGGAGAGTTTAAGACCCTTTGGCTTCCCTTTGGGCTGGGAGAGCTTTTCAGGCTCCTTGGATTCAGAACCTGGATGTTCAGCCATGGTTTGACGATCAGGCTCACCTTTGGTTTGGGACGATGTGCTAGCAGGTTCTGTGAAAGTTTCAAGAGCCTTTGACGTCCCTTTGGTTGGTGAAAGCTCTCCCTTTTCCACAGCAGTTTCTTTAGTGGTTGCTTCGCCCACCTCTGGAGTTGAAGATGGGGTCTGGCTCTCAGCTTCTTCCTTTGTCTTTGGCAGCTCTGTGGAAGCTTGTACTGTGGAGAGTTTTTGATCATTTGGTCTCCTTTTGGTTGGTGAAAGCTCTCCCTTTTCCACAACAGTTTCTTTAGTTGTTGCTTTGCCCACTTCTGGAGTTGAAAATGGCTTTTGAAGGTGAGGTTTTGCCTTTGCCTTCTCTTCTGGGGAGACTTTCAATCCCTTCAATTTAGTTGGTGAAAGTTTTCCTTTTGACTCAAGAGCAGCTCCAGTTGTTCCTTTGATTAACTCTTGAGTTGAAGGTTGCTGTTCCTTGGTCTTTGTGAGGTCTTTGGTAGCCGCTTTGGGAGAACGGTTTACTCCCTTTGACTTTCTTTTGGTTGGTGAAGGCTCTCCTTTTCCCACAGCAGTTTTATCAGTTGGCTCCTGGACCACATCTGGAGTTGAAGACATTTTTTCGGGCCCCACATCTGGGGATCTTTGGGTAACTGTCTCGGAAGTTGTGGAAAGGTTCCCATTCGTTGACTTTCTTCTGGTTGGCACAAGTTTTGCTTCTGCCTTAACAACACTATTATTTCGTTCACTGGAACTCAAGGAAGAGTTTTGACCTTCAGGTTGCTTTTTCTGAGGTGCCTCGGGGGGGTCAGCTAGTGTATGGGGGGGTTCTGTAATCTTCGACTTTCTCTTGGGTGGTAGAAGCTTACCTTGTTCAACTACAGCAGTTTGGGCGTGCCCTTGAGCAAATTCTGGGCTTGCGGGCTCATTGTCGGGTTCTGCTTCTGCTTCCTTTGGCTCCACACCAGTAATTGCACCGAGGGGAGACGTTGGCTCTGAGGCTGTGGGAACCTCGAGGCCCTTTGATTTCCTTGTGGGGGCTGTTAGAGTTTCATTCGGCTCTCCGGAGCTCGATGTAGGCTTCTGATGTCCAGGCTCTTGTACAGTTGCTGCCACCTCATCGGCAGATTTTTCTGTGGAGAGTTTTTGAGCCTTTGGTCTCCTTTGGGGGGAGGGGGGCTCTTCTTTTTCCATGACAGTTTCTTTACTTGTTGCTTCGCCCACCTCTGGAGTTGAAGATGGAGTCTGGCTCTCAGCTTCTTCCTTTGTCTTTGGCAGCCCTGTGGAAGCTTGTACTCCGCAGAGTTTTTGTGCCTTTGGTCTCCTTTTGGGGGGGGAAGGCTCTTCTTTTTCCATGACAGTTTCTTTAGTTGTTGCTGTGACCACCTCGTGAGTTGAAGATCTCTTGGTCTTTGTCAGCTCAGTGGAAGCAAGTTCTTCGGGGAGGTTTTTAGTCTTTGACTTGCTTTTGGTTGGTGAGAGTTTACCTTCTGCCTTGACAGCTTTTCCTACAGTCTCAACTTGCTGCGTGAGCGACTTCGGGTCGTTTGTCACAGTCTCAAATGGTTCAGATTCATCGAGAGTAATTCCCCGGGGACCGGGTGACCCTTCGGGGGTAACAGTAACAGGGGGGTTCACCATTTGGGGCTCCACCGAAGCCTTGGAGGGCTCTTTGTTTGTCTTGGACTTTCTCCTGGAAGGTACGGGCGTAGTTTTGTCACCAACAGCAGGAGCAGACTGCTCAAAAACCTTTTTGATCAGGACCGACTGCTCAATGGCACCAACCGAGTCTCCAGCGACTGCTTCCACTGTCTTTGATGTTTTAGCCTCAATTTGCAGCTCAGACAAAACCGACAATCGATCCTCAATAGTGTTTTCTGTTGAGGGAGTGTTTTTTTGTAGCTTGACCTGATGCTTTTTCTCAGGTGAGTGCTTGCTTTTGCGTGGCGGTGCCACCACAGATGTCTTTGTTTCCTTTGGATTCCCAGGAGTCGGCTGTTTAGTCCTGACATCAAGTTCCTCGAATGAAAGAGTCAAAGCGGCATTAATTACAACAGAGCTACTTAACTCTTTGTTAATTCTAACACTTAATGGATTCCATATGAGAGAGGTGCTGATTGAAATACCTTTAAGCTCTGGTTGAGAGAAGCCGCGTGCTTGTCTGCTTCTCTGAGTGTCTCTGAACCTTCGCTCAGCAGCTTCTCAGACAAGACGCTCATCAAACATTCTGTTAGAAACGGCTGATGGGAAAGCGCCTCCCTCAGGCTGGTCCGCAGCTTCTCCCCTTCCTCTAACGTCGCCTAACAGGAAAAAAGGGTTTGTGTGTCTATGTCATAACGTTTATTGCACTTTAATAAATGAGCATTAATAATCCTGCAATAAAGTCAAAATGTACCAACTCTCTGAGGGGCATAGAAAGAATGAATTACACTATTTATATGTAAAAGCATTAAAAGAGAGAGACCTGCAGAGAGGAAACGGACTGCGACGGTGTGATGGAGGTCCATTCCTGCAGGGCGTGAAGGCCGTCCATCAGACAGCGAGCTGCGTTTGTAGAGCAGGTGTCCTTATGCTCACTCAGCCTGCACTTTAGACTGTGCACACAAATAAATGACATTTATTCTACATACCACCTTCTGCATAGTATCTACATGCATTATACTAGATGACTTACACTTGAAGACAGGATACAATGTACTTTTTTTCTGCATAAAAACACTAAACAAATTGTAGCACTTAATGGCTCTTATTTACAGCAAGTCGTAAATCAGATTATTTGATGAAATTGAGCTTTCTTGTTCTTCTGAGTTTGTTTCCATTGAAATGCACTTATTTTAAGTCACTTTGGAAAAAAGCGTCAGCTAAATGACACGTAATGTAATGAAACGGTGCAAAAGGAAGAAGACCTCACAGACAGATTAACAAATACATAGACACAAAAACTTATTTATGTATGTCTGTATCCAGTAGAAGTCCAACTGCTGAGCCCGAGAAGCAGGCATCAGATGACATGACATGGCTGGATGTTTCAAACAGGTCACAATTCGGAACTCTGTTTCCATGTCATTGATCAAGCAGAATGATCTGCTGAGGCATGTTTCTGGAATGTCAGAATAATTGGAAACTAAATTGAACTAGAAGGAAGCCAGCTGAGGATTTGTGGTTCAGAAGGCTACATAAAGTCTAAAAAGCCTCAGTGGTGAAGTGGGCAGATGTTACCGCGTGTCATGTGACCCAGTGCGGTTTGCGTTGGTCCGACTCTTTGTTGTTTAGAACTTGAGCGAAACACAAATGTATGAATCAAACGGACCGTGGCACCTAATTAGTTAGTTAGTGGACGAGTCATTGGTGAGATATGGTACCTGTCGTGTTGCTGGCACAGGGACTTCACCAAAGTCAGAATCTCTGTTGGCAGCTCGTCAGCAGCAGGTGTGGCCTCTACTTCCTGGTGAAGGTCCTGAACCCTCACGCCCAGATCCTTCAGTGACTTCTCACAGTTCTAACAGGAGAGAGACTTCAGTGATACGGAGATGCAACATGGCAGCAGTTTGACATTTAAACGTCTGATCACATGTAGGTCTGCAGATCAGGATAACTGCAGCAGTAACAACCTGCAGGCTGTGCCAGTGCTGCTGCAGCTGAGCGATGTTGTTCTGATGCTCGCTGTAGCCCAGCGCCTGATCCAGAGAACGCAACTCCCACTGCAGGGCGCCGCCTCGCTCCTTCAGCCCCCCGGACCGCCGCGCCAGCTGATCGTCCAGCTCCTCCATCCGCGCCTCGCAGGCCTTCAGCCGCTCCCTCACCTGCTGCTCCGAGGTGGCACACAGGTCGTGGAGATGGCCGACCTCCAGGGTGAGGGCGTCCCGACCCCCGGGGGTGCAGAGGCTCAGCAGACGGTCTCTGCTGGAGTCCAGCTCCTCCATCTCTCGCTGCTCCCGGTCCGCCGTCTGGAGCAAGGCCTGGTCCCAGCAGAACCGGGTGTTTAGAATGCAGGAAGAACGATCCTTAAAAAGAGCTTCTTTCTGTCGTACTTAAAGTAGCAGCAAAGATTCGAAGGGGTTCCAAACTGGCTCCTCTCAAGAATCCAACCAACGATGTGTGTGTGTGTGTGTGTGTGTATTTCATCATCGCACCTTCAGGGTGTTGACAGCGTTGTGCAGACCCTGTCGGTCCTGGGGGGGAGGACCTCCCTCTCCTTTGACGTGCTCCCTCAGCCAGTCCTGGGCCGCCTGGTGCTGCTCCACCAGCTGGGTGCACCGCCTCTCTGTGTGGATGCCTTGCTCGAGGGCCGCTACCGCCTCCTGAGAACAACAGCAGGCGCGTCACGAGGGAGACACCCGACTGATGGTCAAACATTTTAAGAAGGGAGGCTGAAGGAACACAGTGAGATAACAGATAATAACAGTGGGCCCATAATTACAAAGTGGCCACTACGAGGTGTAAACGATGGGCACACGATGAATTGAAAACACGTCATGCTTTACAGATGTTTTCCTTCTGAACTCACGGTGAGCTCTTTGAGCAGAGGGGGGATGGACTCCTCCTCGGAGGCCCAGGACGGATCCGACCAGTAGGGTTCCTGTGTGGTCTCAGACAGCTCGGCAGCCTGCAGGAGTTCACAGGGATTTTAAAGTCGGTGGGCGACTCGGCCGGAGAACACGCGTCCCGTTCCCCACATTCGCGAGCCTTGAAACGCTCTGAGGTTACCTCAGTGCGGAGGGCCGAGAGGACGGGGGCCGTGGCCGCGCTCCGGTCCAGCAGCGCCCGGGCCTGCTCCACCGCCTGCCTGCGCTCCCCCAGGCCCGGCCAGGGGAAGACCCGCGGCAGAGCGGAGGTCTGCTTCCGGATGTCGGCCAGACGGGTCTGGATCTGGCCTCGCTGGTACTCACAGGACACCATGCGCTCCACCACGCCCTTCAGCTCCCTGGTGGGGGGGTCGGGAGATTATAGTCACAGTTAACTCAGGCAGGGGTCAGGTTGGTCCAACGATCCAAACCATGTCCCAAACGTCACCGCTAAGCGGCGCACTTGACTCAACACATAACGAGACAAAGAGACTGAGAGCGCAGCGACTCACATTTCCACGTCTCGACTTCTCGCCTCATTAAACCAACACAGTGTATTTATCTCCCCCCACCGCCCAAGAAAGGATCTCCCTCCGGCTTAAAAGAACAGCTTCGGGCACCTCTGCGTCTCCTCGGCGGCCTGCAGCAGCGTCCTCCACTGCTGCTCGGCGTCCGCCAGCGTGCGCTCCACCTCCTGCTTCCTGTCGGCCTGCAGGTCGCTCTGCTCGCGCAGGCCCCCAGCCCGCCGGCTCAGCTCCATCACCTGGGCCTCGCCCTTGGACTTGGAGCTCAGGATGGCCTACAGACACAGAAAGACGATTCATCTCTCAGCCTGTTGGAATGTGATGTGTTTTTGCGATGAAACAATGTTTAGCCACACAGAGTTAACACGTAGATCTTAAAGCGGTCGTACTTGCGCCGCGGTCAGCCGCTCCTCTATCTGAGCCCGGCTGCCCCGGGAGCCGCTCCCCTTGGACTGGGCCTGCTGCTGCAGCTTGGTGACCCAGGTCCTGGTGCACCCCGCTTTGGCGCGGAACGCCTCCAGCTCCCTGGACAGCGAGTAGTGGACCTCGGCCTTCTTCAGGGTCCTCTCGGCGGTCTGCAGGACCGTCCTCCACTGCTCCTCCGTGTCCCTCAGTGCCTGCTGGGCCTCCTCCTGGTCCGACAGACTCTGGCTCTGTCGCCTCAGCTCGCTCAGCTTGGAGTCTCCCTCGGCCTTTTGGCTCAGGATAGTCTGAGGATCCAGACAAAATTATATATATATATAGTACTTTTTGTATAAATATATTATAGACAAAGAGAAAAATTAGAGAAAAAGGTTGACTGCTGAAATTGGTTATTTCAGTTTTAAGTCAAGAGGATTTACCTTCAAGACCAAAACTCTTTTTACTGTAGAATGTTGTTGAAATTTTGATAGTATTTAGTTAGAAATGTCAGATCTAGTGACCAAAGATCACTGAAATGTGCTTCAGATATCTAAAGAAAATGGCAATAGCAGCTTGATTGTTGGTGGTTAAACATTAATATGTTCTGGATCAAACAGACCTGTGCTGTGCTGATTGTCTCCTCCGGATCACTCTGACTGTCCACAGAGACGAGCCTCTGCTCTTTGTCCTGCAGCCAGGCGCTGGTGTCGTCCCTCGCCGCCTCGTAGTCCTTCAGTTGGTCCTCCCGAGCCCGCTGCTTCTCGGCCTGATCCAGGACCTGTTTGGCGTCGTGCAGGACTCTCGTCCACTGCTCCTCGATGCCTTTTACTTTTTGCCGGACCTCCTGGTTCACGGATTCCTCGAGGTCGTGACCGCTCAAACTCTGGACTCGCGTCCTGAGCTGCTGGAGCTTGGAGTCTCCTTCACTTCTGGAGCTCAGGACGGTCTGGGGATGAGAGACGGCAGTCACAGTGAAGGTGAAGATCAACCTTTTGGTTCCACAATGTCGTCCGACTCTTCTCAGACGCTCTGTGGCACCAACAGCTCCCCGAGAGGTTTTAACACTCACCGAAGCACTGTTGTGTTCATGAAAACGAGCCATCAGCTCACCTGAGCAGTTTGCAGTCGCTCCTCAGCTTTGGTTCGGTTCTCCAGGGAGTCCAGCTGTTTTTGTAGGTCTGTCAGCCAGCTGCTGGCTTCCCGCTGCTGCGTCTCAAATGCACTCAGCTGAGGAGGAAGCCGTACTTAAGATGATATATGTGATGGTTTAAAATGGATCTATTCAAAGCGCCCTTCACCAGCAAGGGGGGGTTTACTCATTGATGACTAAAGCATCTTTCTCTTACATCCGACGTCCTCCTCTGGACCTTCTGGCTGAGCTCAGCTGCTGCGGCGGCCTCCACCTGCTTAGCGGCCAGCAGGACCGTCCTCCACTGCTCCTCCGAGTCCCGGATGGTCTTCTGAACGTGGACCTTCCGGCCCTGGTCGACGTCCTGGTGGTCACAGAGACTCTGGCCCCGCCTCCTCAGGTTGTTCACCGCGCAGTCGCCCTCGGGTTTGCAGCTCAAGATGGTCTGCGAAAGAAACGCGCCCGTTTCTTCGATGCAGTAGATTCAGCTAACAACTTAACATCAAAAGTAGGAAATAGAGACGAATGGTCGGATGAAGAAGGAAGACCATCAATCACCAGTATTTCAACACTTCTTAGATCCAATTGACCTGGAGGTCTAATATGTAACCTTTTCATGAAAGCCCCCCCTGGATGTCCTGTGTCCTCCAAACAGACGTTTTATTCAGTGTTTCTACTGGTTTTAATGGGCTGAGATCTTTGAGAGGTGAAGATACTGAGACAGCGAGTAGGTACCGACCTGGGCGGAGAGGCGTCTCCCCTCGGGGGGAGTGTGGCCCCCCACGGCCTGCAGCTGCTGCTGTCGCGCTCTGACCCACGCCTGAGCGTTTTCGCTCTGCTTGTCGAAGTCGTCCGACAGCGCCCGCAGCTCCGCCCGCCCGGCGGCCTGCAGGACGCTCCTCCACTGCTGCTCCGCCTCCCCGACCAGCCGCTGGAGCTCCGGCTCCCGGCCCTCCGGCAGGCCTTCCCCCCGCGTCCTCAGGCGGAGCAGCTGGGCGTCCCCCTCGGGTTTGGAGGTGATGACGGCCTGAAAGGTGAAGAGCGGGAAACGGTGGCGTGAGAAGGATTTAGAAGCGGCGACTCGTCACCGGGCAACAGGGAGCCCGACACGACTTTGATGTGATACTTCAGCCACAGGAAAATACCAACGTAATCCTCTCATAACAGAAGCTCAATTTGACTTTCAATCCCTGACTCACCTGTGTGACCTTTAACCTTTCCTCCAACTGCATGTGACCACCGAGGGACGCCAGCTGCCGCCTCCGCTCTCCGATCCAGGAGCAGATGCTTTCACTTTGGCTTTTGAAAGCGTCAAAGTCCTTTTCGGCGGCGGCGGCGGCGGCGGCGGCGCGGCTCTCCGTCGCGTCGAAGCTGCCCTCGGCGCGCTGCGGCGCCCCCCCGCTCTGCTGCCCCGCCTCTCCTACCGCGTCCTGGACATCTGGGGTCTCGCTGTCGTCACGCAGACTCGGGGATCGTCGCCTCAGATCCTGGAGCTTTGTGTCTCCGTCAGGTTTGGAGCTCGGAGCGGCCTGAGGGGAGCGCACGCCGCTTTAGGAGGCCGCGCCTCTATCCTCTCAAACCACGCCTCTATGAGACCATGTGAACATTTCCACCCACCATGCACTTCACCTTGCGATGCACATTTTGAACTCACCTGTGTCGGGACGTCTTGGTCGGAGGAGAGAACCTGTGTGTCCCTGAGACACTCCTCCGCCGTCTGCAGAGACGTCCTCCACTGCTCCTCCGTCTGTCGGAGCGACTGCTGCACTTCCTGTTTCCTGCTCTTCTCCAGGTCCTCCTGCTCACACAGACTTTCACTTTGTCTCCTCAGGTCGTCCACTTTAGAGTCTCCCTCGGCTTTGGAGCTCAGGATGGCCTGGTGACGAAGAAGAAGAGGATGAAACATATCGGAGCGTCTGTGGACTGAAACGTGAAACACATCCCTCAACCAACGCCACTTCAGTTCATACGATACTTTTCTATCACACATTAAATGTGCCAATGTGACGCTGAGCAAGTCTAATCTCATCGATGTGTCACATTCATCGTTCTGCTTCATTCTAATTAATTTGTGACATCATCGTTTCATTCATTCAGCATTTTAAGGCCCCTGATTTGCTTGTTTACTTTAGTGAAATTGATAAAAGTTTCATTCACCCTCGCCTTGCGTTTCCTCTCCTCTGCGCCAGGGGAGGCGAGGGGTCCAACCAGGTCCGCTATCCAGGTCCTGGTCCTGTCAGCCTGGCCCATGAACCGGTCCACCTCCCCCTTCAGCGCGCGCAGGGCGTCCGCCCGTCCCTGCAGCTTCCTGTAGCGCTGTATCAGGTTATCGCCGTCCTTCAGGACGCCGTCTGCTCGGACGCCTCGTCTGCGCACCGACGCCAAGAGGTCGGCGAGTCTCTCCGCTCGGGCGCTAAGGATTCAACGGAGTCCGACGTAGCCATATTTAGACAAGATGAACGGGAAACACCGGGCCGAGTCAGAGTCAGAAAAGTGAGAGAAAAGTGCGACTGAAAAAAGGTGATTGAATAATCACCTCTCATCCTGGAGGCCTTTGAGAAGAGGTTCGACCTCGTGTGACTCCACCGACTGCTTCTCTTTGTTCTGCAGCCACTCACGGAAGCTATCGTGTTGCTTCTGGAGACTGGAGACAAGACCAAAGGTCAGAGAAAACTCGACCGATCACACGTAACATCATGTTGTTGTATTTTTTGTCACCTGTTCAGGTCACTGAGGAGCGGCTCCAGTTGCTTCTGCCTGTCGTGGCAGTGCGTCCTGAAGGTGGCCACCTCCTTCTGCTGCTCCTTCAGCCAGTCGGTGAACTCGTGGAGCTGCTGTGGAGGAACCTGCCGGCCGCCTCTCTCCATCTGCTGCTTCAGCTGGTCCAGACGCCTCTCTGCATCCCTGGACTTCAAGAAACCCTGACGGGGCCAAGAGAGGAACCGTGAGGAGCCCATCCAGCATCCAGCAGCCCACCCAGCCATCAAGGTGCGACATCCACTCACAGCGAGCCTCTGCAGGGACGTGTCCACGTCCGCTCGGCTCTCGGGAGACTCAAAGCACTCGTTGACGGACAGCTGGGAGTCCTGGAACCATTCCTCAAACGACTGCCTCTCAGCTGGGAAAGACGGGACAGAATTAAGCCTGAGTATTTTACATGCACATTTATCGTATTTTTACAGTTAAATTATAATTATTATCACCACCACTTCACAATAATCTACCACGCTATTATATTTCATAATATGAATTAGGCACTCTGCTATAATCTATATCTTCGCACTTCATACATGTTGGATAAAGAGCTGCAATAATAGTTTCTCTTTGACTTTATAACAGGAGACATCCAGTCCACACCGACCTTGGACGACCTTGAGCAGGCCTTTGTCCCTCTCCTCCCTCTTCAGCTGGATCATGTCCCCGGTGCGGGACAAGGCCTCCTTCAGCCTGCTGCCGTCCTCGATCAGCGCCTCCAGCATGTCAGGACTGGCCACGCTGGAAACCAGAGCCACCTCCTTCAGCACGGCCTGCGCCTGCTCCTCCTGCGCCTCCAGGGCGCCACACTGCCGCTGCAGGACGGGACGGGTGGTTAAAGCAGCGAGTCGGAGGAAGGGAGTCCCGGGCCGAGGCGGCAGCCGTGTACCTGTAGCTGGTCCTGGAAGGTCGCGTGTGAGGCATCGACTCTGCTGACGGAGCCCTGGATGGTCTCCACAGCCGACTGGCACTCCTCGATCTTCTGCGCCAGGTGTTTCTTCACGGCCACCAGCTCCTCGAAGACGTCGGCGCAGTCGGCGAACAGCTCCTTCACCTGCTCCATCCTCTTCCTCAGCTGGGTTTCCGTCACCTGATGAAGACATTGTAAGAGCCGGGTTCCCAGCGAGCACATGTGGCGTGCATGTTGACCTGTAGACTCACCTGCAGCTCCAGTGGGGACTCGGGGCTCTGCAGCATCTCCTGGATCTCTACAGACTTCCTGTGGAAGTGGTCGATGTTCTCCTCGTTGACCTGGATCTCGTCCTACAAAGCAAAGAAGAACGTCCGTACGGATGACACGAAGGCGCCGAGCGGATCTCCATTAACCTTGAACATCCGAACCCACTGACAGGGACCCTGTAAGGGAATCTTACCCTCATGGCCAGAACCTGTTGTTCGTTGTGGAAGGGATGGCTCTCTGCGAACAGGGTAAGTTTAGCCCCCGCCCAGTCGTCCACCTCCCCCCCCAGCACCAGCTGCTTCTCCCACAGCTCCAGCCCCACCTGCAGGTTGTCCATGCAGGCATCTGTCTTCTCTGTCACCTGCAGGATCCCAAACAAGACCCAATTCGCAACTTTGACTTTTCATTCTGACTCTGATCTCAGAGCGATGGGATTCACTATAAAGAGTTATCACAGTTCCAATGAAGCAGATGTTCTTTACAAGTAGAGTGAGATGTGTCTTGTGTATCAAGCATTTAAAGTACACTATCTACATGTTCCATTTCTAGGGGTAGGAGCTCACGTCCAGCCAAATGTCCACCAGTGTGTCGGCCTCGGCCTCAAAGGGCGTCTCGCTGCAGTCTGGGAACGTCTTCAGGTGGGACTGCAGCTGCCTGCACACTTCCCTCATCTCCTCCATGTGCTCCCCAACAACTCCGAGCTCCTCCTTGGAGTCACGGACCTGCATGCGCACACACATGTTTTAGCATGTTTCATGTCAGCATGTTTACCTTCCTCCCGATGTGCAGCGATGGGGACTTGACCTCGGCCCTGAGCCCCGTGTGTCTCCATGCTTGCGTACTGACCCTGGCGATTCTTCTCTGCAGGTTGTCCTTGCTCAGGTAGGAAGCCTGGTCGCCGATGGTCTGTTCCGCTTTCTGCACCGTGCTGCTCATCTGACTGCGGCAGCTGTGGAACGTCTTCAGAAGCTCCAGCAGGATGCTGCACTGCTTCTTACTGCCAGAGGGAGGGAAGGAGGGAGGGAGAGGACCTTAAGGGGGCTTTCAGCTTCTTCATAGCTTTATCCATTGGTACACAGTTCATTCGACTGAGCAGAGCACTTTCTATCTCTCCACTCTCACCCACCTGTCAGAATAAGCTCTCTGGGTCTCCTTCCACTGAGCCTCCAGCTCCTGGAGGAGGTGCTCTCCTCCCCCCTGTTCCTCCTGAAGTTCCCGGAGGTTCTGGAGCTCTGCACGCTGAGCCTGCAGCTGACTCTCCAAATCCGACAGGGCCCGAAGCCTGGACGATATTACATTACAATACATTACATATATCACCATCCGGCTTTAACTCTTTATTCGTCTTAAATGTGGCTGGTGGAAAAGTGATCCACACAAGAGAGGCGAATCAGCTGATGGACACACGAATAAATACTAGCTTTGGGTGTGTAAAACAAATAGTTGACACATGCATACATACACAGGATAGAATAAACCCCCACACCCCCTCATCCGTTCCTTACCTGTAAAAACCATTTAAACAAAATGTATAAAGATACAATTGAATAGTTGTGTATGCTGTAAAATACAGTTCACAGAAAGCTTGTGTGTTGTCGCATCAGCATGAAGACACACAACACACACCTGTGCTGCACAGCAGGTGCGGTGGGCTCCTTCAGGCCTCGTTTCTCGATGGCGTCCTGCAGCTTCCTCAGCTCCCCCAGCAGCGCCCTCTTCCTCAGGCCCAGCGATTGGCCCTGCGTCTCCTTCTGGAGGCCCCTCTGCTGGCCGGCCAGCCCGCCGTCCGCCTCCTGCAGCCTCGCCAGCAGCGCCGTCACCATGTCCAGGCAGGAGGCCGGCACGCCGTCCCTGGTGACCGTCAGCCGGGCGCCCTGCAGGAGCACGTCCAGCTGAGGCGCCTTTTCCTTCAGACTGCCGACGCTCTGCCTGATCAGGGCCAGCTTGGAGCGGCAGTCCTGCAGCACGGCGGCGTTGCTGCAGGGGGCGCCCTGGACCCCGGAGATGTCCTCGTCCACAGTGCGCAGGGACATGAGGAAGCGGTCCAGGGCGCGGCCGGCCGCCTCGCTCTTCCGGACCTGCTGTCGGAGGTGATCCAGGCTGGCCCTGTGAGTCTCCACCTCGCGGGACAGAGGCCGGCAGTCTCTGGGGTCCAGATCGCTGGATTCAGGGTCCAGGCGGGCCAGCTGGTCCAGCTCGCTCTGGATGTTGTCATCCAGCTCCTGACGATTAGAACACAGCGCAGCGTGAGATGAGGTCGCTGCTGAGGTCACAAGCGCAAAGGTTCATGTCCTGGTGATTTTCTCCCTTTCTTTATTTCATCAACTGTCAGACAAAAACAAATCTGTCTTTACAACAGCTTCTGCTTCCTGTGTAGTAGTGACAGTAACTCCCTTAATAACCCCCATTACTGCATACATTCTGTACCTTGATGTCTTTCAGGATGTTGCTGTTGGCCAGGGTGAAGGCGGTGATGTCTTTGGGCTGCCTCAGGTAGCGGTCCAGGCGGTCGGTGAAGTCCACCATGTGGTTCTCGGTGGAGTCGATCTGTCTGAGGGCGGCGCCCAGCGAGCTGCCCCTCCTCTGGAGCGAGGACTGTTGGCCGCGCCACTGCTCCTGCAGCGCCGCCTTTTCCTGCTCCAGACCGGGGACGCTCACCTGGGAGCTGGAATATTCAGACCACAAGGACTCCGTCTCCTGCCTCAAAAACTGGGAAAGAGGGAGGTCGACTCAGATTACTGTGACGTCATGGAGACTTACAGAATGACTCCACTTCTCTCTGGATTTATTCCCTCGGTAAACATTGTAAACATGAGTTTATGGTCTCAGTCTCTAGTTTCAAGTCTTCTTCAATGCAGCATGATGTTCATTTAGTGAATGCTGGTCCATGTAGAGTCAAACACACCATAAAGCGGGGGACGCTTTAGGGCGGGGCTACAGCGTAGCAGTGTTTTTAGCATGCTTATGAACGGTTAACATCACTCACAGCTGATCTTGGTGACCAAGCTAAAATGCAAGATGGCGGCGGCCAAAAGGCCAAAGTCTGGACTTCATAACGTCCGTCCTCAGTCAGGGGGTTTACAGACGCTTTCAAAGAGGACCAGATTTAATAATGTGAAGATGCCCACGAGCCAACAGTGCCTTCTGACATCCTTTAACCAACAAATATCTGCAAATAATATATAATTTTTATCGTTGCAATTACCTTATTTTTCAAATGGCAATGAAGCCAAATGTACGGCAGGCGTGAACAAGCCGAAAAACACAATTTAGCCTTTCATTCATATCCAAGAGTCAGAAGAGGTAGAACAAACTATATGGAAAACCTTAAACCTCCATGACGTTAATGAATATCTTTATCTCATGATCATTAAACAGGAGTCATTAGTAACGCTTGCTGTTGTCTGTTGAAGGAGGAATTGCATTTTAAAGTCAGGGCTGAGAATGAAGCTGCGTATGAAATCACACCTGGGCCGGACCCCCCCGGTCTGTACATCGATAAGCTGTACCTGTATTTCCTGGAGGCGCGTATGCAGCCCTTTCAGAGAGACGGAGTCATGGGGGACATCCTTGATGCTCTGCTGGTTTTTAGCCAGTTGGGCTTGCAGAGACCTCTTACACATCTCATATCTGGTTAAAAACAAACAAAGACAACTAGTCACTAATGGCTGAATAGAATGACCTTCTTACATTAATGAGAAAGGCATTGCATCTTCTGCCGTGTTGTCAAAGCTCGCTGTACCTTTCTAAAGTCTCCTTTGTGGTGACGTCTTCCTCTGTAGACACCTGCTTTTCAACGCTCCCCTCCACAGAAACACTCTTTGTGGTCACTGGAAGCACCTGAAGAAAGAGTGAGAGCATGCTTTCTGTTTAAAGGGCATATATGCAGATAACATGGAGATACTGGAGCTAAACTAAATGCTTCAAATAGTTTCAGTGGGAGAGAATCAAACCTCAGCTGAGACCTGAGGTTTGTCACTTGGTCTTGTAGCCTTTTGTGTGCTCACATCCTCAGTGAAGGCAACAGCACTCCTGTGAAACAGATGGGAGGGGAAACATTTCCGTTGTTTCCTTCATCTGCTGCATTATAAACATCCGCACGGAGCTTTAGAAGCTTAAAGGACTTCATGACCCACAAATCCAAAATAACAGATGACAATGTCGAGAAGACAAGTTTAACAGGTGTTCTTAACATCACATTGCCTTAGGGCAAGACAAACACCATGAGACGATGGCGGACACGGGGCGTCTCAGTAGAGGCAGAAGAGGCTTCTTGAGAAGGCAACGTCTCACCTGGCATCGGGGAGCGGTGCGTCTTGGTCTCCACTGAAGCGCCTCTGGATGGCAGCCAGCCTGGTCTCACACTCCCTGAGCTGCGTCTGGGCCAGGCGGTGAGCGTCCTCGGGGCTCAGGGTGTCACACAGCTCCTCCAGGGCCTCGAGGTGCTGCCCCGCCTGGGCAAAGCTCCCCTCGGCTGAGAAACAGGCCTGGGACAAAGACGGTGAGTAAACGGGATAAAGGCTGGATTAAAGTCAGATGAGAAACAGACTAGAAATGTATACTTTCTTAAAGAGCATCTAATGTGACAGACTCATTGAAGTTTAACACACACAAACTGAAGTAAACCCCCAGATTCCAGCAGCCAACAGATGTGCTGCACATCAAGCAACAGAACGCTGTTTTCATTTTCAACTGAACTTATTCGATGAATAAACTCACTATGTAGCAAACAGAGGCTGAGAGTTTATTTAGATTTATTTGGTTTGTTTGTCGAGCAAAGAATCTGTAAGCACACCCTCAAAGAGCAACCAGAGGGATGTGATATGAATTACCCAGAGTCCTCCGAGGCATGCCAGAGAGAAGAGGGAAGAGGGTTAGTTAGGCAGATAGAACCGGCAGCGGCCTCCACCAGAGCACAGGAGTGTGGCTCCAGGAGTTGGTCTACCTGCGCTGGGTTTTCTAAGCGGGAGCTTAAGAGCGCCTCACACTGCAGGGCAGCTTTGTTAAAGTCTTTCCGTATTACTTCAAAACGTAATTGTTGCAAAAAGCCTGAGATCTCAGCTCTCACAGCCTGGGAGATGAAATAAAAATGAATGAGAAATAAAAAGAAATGATGTTAGGACATATTACTCAAATATGTAATACACAAAGGCTTCATCATATTAAAGCTGACAGCCGTTCATAATTCACCTGCACAAGAAATTACATTTCATTTCACCTCAAAGAACACGATTACGCCTCATTAGAACCAACGAAGGATTCCCTATTGAGAGTCAATTAAGTCCTACCTCCCACTGAGTCCTCACAGCCTGGGTGAAGAACTCCATGTCTCTGAGCTGTGGGGGGGTACAAAAGGCCTCCATGCCCTCGGCTGCTCTCAAGAACTCCTCCAGCAGCTCCGGGTCCAGAGTCTTCAGAGTCTCCTGAGGGGAGAGAATTGGTATGACTAATCGTCCAAAAGAAGGCAGCCAAACCTCCAATGAAAAACCGTTTATAATCTGGAATGTGAGAATCACCTCTTTCACTGACGCCTGCTCGGCTGAAATACACTTGTCTTTAAAAACGTTGATGGTTTCCAAGATGTGCTCCTGCAGACAGTGCTTGGCCTCCTCAAAGCCATTTCTGGCCAAAGCCTGGGCCTTGGCGTAAGCCTCTGTGTAGGCCCGGGGGGGCGCCTGGGCCAGGGGGGGCGGTTTAACGCACAGCTCTGGTGTCTCAGCCAGAGGCAGCACAGTGAGCTGGGAGAGGGGACTGGTTTGGGGAGCCTTAGACTGCGGGGCCGTCTGGGCCTTGGGTGGTGGGGGGGGTTGAGCCTGAGGTTGGGAGGGTGGTGGTTTGGGTGGAGTTGAGGACTGAAGATCCACTAGCGGTGCTGTTTGGGCCGGTGGTTTAGGTTGGAGGGGTGGTTGAACTGGCACCTGTGGCCCAGGTAACGGTTGCGGCAGTGATTGGGACTTGGGGCGGGTTGCTGACTGGACCTTAGCCAGAGTTTGGGACTGGATTCCTGGTTGTGGTGCTGACTGGGCTGGATTCCTGGGTTGTGGAAGTGGATGCTGAGTGTGGACCTTTGCTTGAACCGATGACTGCGTCTGGATGTCTGCCTGGGCCTGCGGTTGGAGTTGAGGCTGAGGAGCACGGAGAGGATGGGCTTGAGTAGGTGGTTGCGATGGAGGAGGTATTTGAGGCTGCATCTGAGGATGACGGTGCGTTTGATGCTGAATCTGAGGCTGAGGTGGAGGCGAGGCCTGAACCCACGTCTGTTGCTGAGCGTGGCCTTGCTGGGTCTGGGTATGAAACACATTGTGAGCACTCATCTGAGATTGTTGTTGTATGCTGCTCAGGGCCCCGGTTTGAGCCCAGGATTGGCTTTGTGCTTGCATTTGAGGCTGACTATAAAATTGCCCGGTTTGAGAATAAACGGGGGGGGCGACCTGCGGTCCTCGCTGGGGCCCGGATTGGGGCCACTGCTGCCGAGTGTGAACTGTTGGATAAGCCTGAGACTGGGGCGCTTGGCCTATTTGCTGAGGGCATAGATGAGGAATTGGATGCCTCTGCTGGCCAATGGCTTGGATTTGTGGCTCAGGTCTGTTCGTCCATTGCTGGGATTGGGACTGACCTTGGGACTGACCTTGGGACTGACCTTGGGACTGACCTTGGGACTGACCTAGGGAGTAAAGTGGAGCTTGAGCTGTAGCCTGCTGATGCTGGATAAACATTGGTGACGAGCCTCTAACTTGAGTCCAAGCAGGAATTTGGCCCTGAGAAGTATGACCTGGGTGCTGCACCTCTGGCTGAGGATGAGAACCCCGCTGCTGGACTACAAGTTGGGCCTGAGTTTGAGCCTGGACCGTGGACTGGGTTTGAATAAGCCCATGTGTTGGTGTATTCTGGGAGGGGGGTATGACAGTGCCCCATGACTCTGTATGGCTACGAAGCTGAACGTGGGATGGCACAGGAGGCTGGACCTGGCCCTGCAGGGGAGCCTGCACGGGGGCAGAAGGTCCGACCTGGGCCCATGTCTGCACAGAAACAGCGGGGCCGTGGGCCTGAACCTGTGGCTGCATAGAGGGCTGGGGTCCGGCTGTGGCACGGGAGTTGGACTGAGTCTGAACCTGGTGCTGGGACATTGACTGTGTCTTCGTGGGGCCGTGGGGCTGTGGAAGAACTTGTGTCTGGGACTGACCCTGGCGCGCTACGGTTTGGGACTTTTTTTCCAGTTGCTGAAGAGCTTGTTTTTGCTGCTGAGGATTCTCTTTTTGTTGCCGATCTTCTCTCAGCTGTTGTTGTGGCTGCTCAGAGACCTTTGCATGTTCCTCAGGCGGTGGCCTGGCAGTTGCTGTGTGCTGTGGACCAACCTGAACTGCTCTGTCTGACTGTGGCTGAGTCTGTGTAATTGTCTCCGGAGTAGAAACCTGTTCTGGAGTTTGGTGCTCTCCTGATACTGGCTTCTGCAGCCAGGGCCGGTTCTTCATCGCCTGAGTCTTTCTGCTTTGAAGCCCCTGGGAGATAACATCTTGTTTCTTCACATGTGGTCGTTGAAGCGACTTCTGCTCCGGGCACTCTGAGGTCAGTTTGTCGGTTACCACCTGCTGTTGAACTTGGTATTGATTCATTTCCACCACTTGCACTGGTTCAGCTTCCTGTTGCAGCTGTTTTTCCTTCTGGATGTTACGCTGCTCTTGGTTCTGTTTCACGCCCTGGTCCCGGCTCTGCTGCTGCTGTTGTTGTCCCGTGGTCTCTATCCAGGCTTGAATGTGGCCCTCTGGTGGGGTTTTTGTCTGGCTCACAGCCTGTGCGTAGGAATATGGCATTGGAGGAGAAGCCACCGTTCTGTCTCTGTATTCCTGCACCACTATTTTTGGCATTAAGGTTTCACGAGACTCAACTGGGTTCATTCTGGGCTGCTGAGGGTCCGCCTGCCTCAGATGTTGAGGCTTTTCTTTAGTCTGTTTAACGATCTTTGATGGAGGGGACCCTTGTGGAGGGCTTCTGCTTCTGTCTCTTCTAGCTCCCAGGCTGCTCAGCATGCCTACAGCTTCCTGTTGTACACACACACACACACACACACACACACACACACACACACACACACACATTAGAAAGGCTGCGACTGTTTTCACTGCTGCGGCCTACGGCCAAACTAAATGGCTCAGCCAATTTAAAAGGATCAAACTGGCCTGCGACTGTGCGACGGCGGCTCGAACTCGGTCCCGCATGGCGGCGGCGTGGAGGTACTGGATGGGAGAGTTCTTCTGACTCGTCACTACCATCACCTGCAGGTCCTGCTCCTCTGTGACCACCTGACCCTCCAGCTGCAGCCCACGCGAAATCAGGACCTGGAGGACCAAATGGGTTGAACCAACGTTTCTTCATGCTTTGATTGATTCACAGTAAAAGAGATGTGGATGGACAGCAGATGGTCTTACCCTGGCTCGAGGGTCCTGACCCCGCTGCTGCTGTTGCTGCTGTCGCTCTGCGGCCCTCAGCAGCTGGTAGAGCTCCCGTGCCTCAGTCTCCCAGTAAAGGAGTTCAGCCAGGCGACTGTCCAGCCCCGACACACTGTGCTGCAGCTCTGCACACACCTGCTCTGCCTCAAACAGGGTGTGCATCACCTGGGGACATCAAGGGGACGGAGGGGAAGTTGACTTTTAAAACAGGGGGGGGGGCAACGATAACAACGTGAGTGCTAATGAAGTCGGCTGCATGATGAAAGTCTTAAAAGGAAAGAAATCATTCAGACCTCCGGTACAGCAAGCTTCAGCCTCACTAAGTGATCAGCTGGGCATTCTTGGGAGGGGGCCACAGCCTCCGGATCCACTTCCTTTATCCTACTCATTATGAACTAAAGGAAAGAAAGAAAACATCAGGGCATTTAAAGTGACATTTTATTAAAACGGCAATGTTTTGGTCACATCTGGGACTCGTACAGCGACTGCCGTCTAACATGGCTGCGTGTCTCCAGCGTGTATCCATCGGTCCTACCTGTACTCTCTTTCTGTAGGTGCGTAAGGGGGCTGCCGTGGCCTCCAGAGGCTCTTTAAGAAGTACGGTGGCCTCTTGGATCAGCGCTTGGAGGTCCTGGGATCTGCTCCGGACATCAGCACTGGGCTCTGCCGCGCTGTCCTGGAAACAGGCCAACAAGCAAACAATCAGGCAACAAGAACGGCTGACAGCGGACGATTACAACGGGACAGTCACAGCTTCAATTCCAAAGGTCTGAGACACGGAATCGCTTGAGAGCATAAAAACGGCACTCACGTCTGCAAAGAAACGATTAAATTAATTACAGGAAATGAATCGCGAACAAAGCGTTGAGTCGACCAGGTTTTGCCGGTTCCGCCACTTACGAGTGCGTTCGTCTTGACGAACTCGGCCCAGAGCAGGTTGAGTCTGCGCAGCTCCTCTGCCAGGCTCCTGCTGGTCTGAGGGTCCGTGGACTCCATCAGGAAGTTCCCCATCTCGTTGAGGTGGGCCTGTCGGGAGCCCCACTCCGCCATGCACTCAGGCGTCACCTTCACAAACAACACCCATCTTGAGTCATGGCGCCTCCGAATAATCCGGCTGGCCTTCTGCACCAGGTGCTCCTGCTACGAACCGACCGGCACAGCATCTCACCTCCGGTCCGCGGGTGGCGGAGCCCTGCTCCATCCAGGCCTGCAGGGAGCTCAGGCAGTCGCTGTACGAGTCCCAGGCGAACAGGACGCGCCCCATGGCGCTCTTGGCCGTGGTCACGTCCTCCAGAGCCCCGGCCGTGTCCTCCTCCAGCTGCTTCACCTGCTGGCTGACGTGCTGGTAGTCTGCAGCTGAGGAGCGACGGGAACAAATTCACTGCATCCGGAAAAAAACAGAGTTCCACTAACAGCCCGGATCCAACTTACCGAGGGCAGATTTGCTGGAATATTTCTCGGAGACCTGCTTCAGTTTGTGGAGAGACGCTTCCAGCAGAGACGGAAGCTCCTGTGTTTTCACCACATCCTGTTTTGTAAGAAACAAAAGACTTAATACGGTGAAAGCCCATAATCATGTCAGATTTAGCATCAAAATAAAAATAAAGTCTCCTGCGGTACACAGAGCTCGGGCACGGATATTAAACACATTGAGCGGCAAGATATATTAATACTATTATTCATTCATGTTCATTTTCACCTACACTGGAGCTGACGAACCATCACCCGAAATCCCAAAACCTGTTTGCTCCAAACTACGGCCGCTGAACAACCGGGGCCACTCACATGCCACTCCTGCAGCAACACGCGCACCCCCTCCGGGGAGAAGGCCGGCCTCTTCCAGACCCGCAGCCTGCTCCTCATCTGCCCCAGCAGATCCAGAACGCTGTGGCGCTGCTCCCAGTACTCCAGCTTGATCCCGTGGTACTTAGCGGTCACTCTCACGCCGGTGAACCTGAACGGCAAAACCATCAAACGACAAACTCGGAAAGGTTGTAAACGCAACGCTTTGACACACGCAGAAATGAACAAACTCTCACCTCCTCTTTAGTTCTTCCATCTTGTCGGCAGGAACCATCATGTTTCCATCCTCGTCCAAGTTCTGGAAGTTCTGGAAGGTCCTCACATGCTGCGGCATCTCCTCCAGGCAGACCTACGGAGCGGCGAGCGCGTTCACGGTGCGTATTCATGGTTGGTGTACTACAGAACCACTGCGGCCCATCGAGGTCGCCATTCTAATAGGAGTAAATGTGCGCAGGAACAGGCTTCTGGGCCAGTGTCCAGTATTATGTCAGCCCCACCTTGAGGAGCGCCTGCCGCTCCCTGGCGTCGGCGGCGGCCCGGCCGTGGTCCTGCGGGTCGCCCTCCTCCTCGGCCAGAGCCTTCTCCGTCTTCAGCAGCCAGCCGGCCACCGAGTCCAGGGGGGCCGGCAGGCTGGAGTCCAGCTCCACCTTGTACTCACGGAGCTGCAGGGGAACAGAGAACGACGTTCGAAAGGACGGAGGCATGTGTGTAGCTGCTTGTACGGTAAAAGGGAATGAAGACATTTCAGGTTTTTATATTCTTTTTGGAATAACTGCACTGGATGGTGCATATGAGATATCGGAAAAGAAAACTAGACTAAACCACATAAAAACTCAGTTCAACATCTGAATGTCGAGGTTTTTAAAAAGACCTGAGACCTTTTCGGTGAGCGAGTCCCACGCCTCTCGCAGAGCTCGCTGCTCTTCGCTCAGTTGCGGCGTTCGCCTCATCGCCGTCAGCAGCGGCATGATGGGACGCCGCTGCTCATTGAAGGACACCAGAAAGGTCTGAAACACCTGCGAGACGGAAGAGGAAAGATTCAACGTTTGCCAGATTTCCAGAATCCGCTCCTCTTTGCAGGACATTTAATAGGTGGTTAAGGCTTGATGTGAAAACAGGACGGGTAAATATGGCGTTATGGTTAAAAAGAACGACGAGGCGTCTGCAGCAATTAAGTCTTTATTATAATAAAGACTGAACTTTATTAATGCGCCAGAGTTTCATTAAGATAACTAGATAAATAGTTAGAATAGAAATGAAACATAGTCACCAGTGCAAAATTAAACACACTATCAATAAGCATGAGAAACCCACGTGGTATCTCTCGGAGTAGCTCTCCCCCTCCGTGGAGTCCCATCCCTCCAGCAGCTCGTCGTAGGCCTGAACCAGCCAGCAGGTCACTTCCTGTGCCTTTCGAGTGGGCGTGGCCTGGAGAAGTGGACAGCAGCGTCTTTTAAGTTTTGAGCATCATATGCATATAATATAATATGCATATGCATATATATATGCATATAATATAATATGCATATGCATATAATATAATATGCATATAATATAATATAATATGCATATATATGCATATAATATGAGCAGATGTGCTTCTCAAAACAACTTCGTCAAACGCTTTCCCAGAGTCCTTTGCGCTGCGCATGTCTTTCCTTTATCAGGAGGAACATCTGCAAACATCTCTAAATGTCCTCTGAGGGGTTAAAGCTGGGGCAAAGGAGCCTGAGTGTCACGGGTCACATCTCCTCAGGTGCTCCGCCCCCTGTGACTCATGGGCCGGCGGGCGAGCGGAGGTATGCGCTGCATTCGGCACGTGGGAGGCGGAGCAAACACTCCCTCCATGTGGCTTTGGGAAACAGGGCAAACCAGTTCGAATTCCGATTATCAGCCGTGATTTTAACCGCCATGTGATTTATGGCCGTCAGCGGTGAAATAAAAAAATCTAATTAGAAGCCAACAAGCCGCGGGGTCGAGGGAAGCAAGGAGGGAGAAACACCCACAAAGAAAGAAGTGCGAAGCTATTGCGAGGTGAGGATCGGCACACGGGTACCTGTCGCAGAGGGGAGGCAGAGATGGCAGGAGTGTAGTGGACGGGCAGGTTGATGGGAGACGGACTTTTAGGAAGACTCAGGTGTGTCTGGAAGAGAAGGGAAAGGCCCGAATGGTCTCTGGAAGCTCACACGGATACACACACGCGTATGCACATGAGTTCCATGGTGAAGTTGCAGAAAAAGCAGTGAGAGGAAAAAATGGTACTTAGGTAACAGCACTGAGACAGCAGGAGAAGCCTTCTGTGAAAAACATATTCAGAAGGAACCTGTACAGGCCGCATGCATCCACCTGTATTCTCTAATAATCGGCCCGTATGCAAACGTACAGAGTGACATCAAAGACACCCGTCGGCATTACTTTTATTTAAATGAAGGTAAAATATTTCATGTTGTTGAATAAATTCAGTGGTCGTTTTCAGATTTGAATCTCTAGACTTCTTTGATCCTCAAATCAAATCTGGCCGAGCGGGTTCAGCCCAATAAACACAACAACACTACTAACTAACAGCAGCAGCCATACAGACCTGCGTCTCTTCCTCGCCCACCGGCTGGTCCTTGGAGTACTGCAGGAACTGAGCCACGTAGGTCATGATGGACTTCTCATCGGGGTCCCGGACGTCCACATCTGCACCACAACCCTCCATGATCAGTCTCACAGAAGACCGGGACACGGGAAGTACACGCGGCTTCTCTCGGGGGGGGTTAAAAACATCCGGCTGACAACAACGTGCCGAGGAGCGAAAGGACTGACGTTTTATCCGAGGCCAGCGAGCGAGTCAGCAGACTGTCACGTCGTCATCCCGCTCGCCCTCAGGCCGCTGGGCACGGCTCCGTCGCGACGCTACGCCGCACGCACACAAAGATTCGCGAGGCGGCGCACACAAACAACTGGGTGAATCATATTTGGAAGAGACAGAACGGGGCGTGGGAGGTGAACAAAGGAGGGACACAAAGCTCTGTGGGTGAATAGTGGAACCGGAGCTGCAGTCGGGGGTGAGGAAGCGTGTGTGATATAAGGAAGGGAAGCAACACGTGTGAGTCTTTGTTTCTGCCGAGGCCTTAACTGGATAATCCAGCAGGGGGCGACTCCTCTGCTCGCCATAGACGTCATATGAGGAAATGACTCTACTTCTCTGTAGTGACCAGCAAGAGGGCGACTCCTCTGCTCCCATAGACGTCTATGAGGAAATGACTCTACTTCTCTGTAGTGACCAGCAGGGGGCGACTCCTCTGCTCCCATAGACGTGTATGAGGAAATGACTCTACTTCTCTGTAGTGACCAGCAGGGGGCGACTCCTCTGCTCCCATAGACGTCTATGAGGAAATGACTCTACTTCTCTGTAGTGACCAGCAGGGGGCGACTCCTCTGCATAGACGTCTATGAGGAAATGACTCTACTTCTCTGTAGTGACCAGCAGGGGGCGACTCCTCTGCTCCCATAGACGTCTATGAGGAAATGACTCTACTTCTCTGTAGTGACCAGCAGGGGGCGACTCCTCTGCTCCCATAGACGTCTATGAGGAAATGACTCTACTTCTCTGTAGTGACCAGCAGGGGGCGACTCCTCTGCTCCCATAGACGTCTATGAGGAAATGACTCTACTTCTCTGTAGTGACCAGCAGGGGGCGACTCCTCTGCTCCCATAGACGTCTATGAGGAAATGACTCTACTTCTCTGTAGTGACCAGCAGGGGGCGACTCCTCTGGTCCCATAGACGTCTATGAAGAAATGACTCTACTTCTCTGTAGTGACCAGCAGGGGGCGACTCCTCTGCTCCCATAGACGTCTATGAGAAAATGACTCTTCTTCTCTCTTGATTTATTCCCTCAGTAAACATTGTAAACATGAGTTTATGTCTCAGTCTCTAGTTTCCAGTCTTTTTCAACACAACATGATGTTCATTTAGTGAATTATGGTCCATTCAGAGTCAAACAGACCATAATGTTGGGGATGATTTAGGGCGGGGCTACACGCTGATTGACAGGTCTCTACCAAGGAGTTTTCCTGTTTCCATCTTTCTCATTTAACTCTTTCATAGTGTGTTTTCACTTCCTGGATGTTACTAATCTTAATGAGCCCGGTTGTCTCCATCTCCAGCCTCTAGTGCCTCTTCCAGTTTTCAGCCCCCTTTGGTAAACTCACCGTCGGGATCCAGCAGTCTGGGGATCCTCAGCTCTCTCTCGGCCAGGCGGAAGGCCTCCTCCAGGTTCTGCCTGTTGCTTCGGGTCCTGGCGCTGGACAGGTCCACCAGGTCGGGCCGCAGCGCGTACAGGATGGCCAGGAAGACCACCCCGCTCCTCCAGCTGGCCTTGAAGTCTTTCACGTTTATTGAGCAGCCGGCTCTGAGGGAAACGGGTCACTTTATTATTTTGTCATAAGGCTCGTTCGTGTTGCACACGATGCAATAATGAATGCATTTTGTCCGTCGTTCAGCAAATCGCAGAGCCTGACCAGGTGAGTGAGGGGGGAGGTTCCCTGCGTGACCGTCCATCACTAACCCCCTCCACCCAGTTAAGTGAGCCTCTGTTCATTAGCACCACCGGGCCCCACCTGTGGCACTGCTCCCGCACCCAGAGCAGCAGCGCCTTCTTGGCAGAGACCCTGAAGCGGTGGTGTAGCGGCGAGCCGCGGGGGGGGGCGGGACTGCTGCAGGCCGAGCCTCTCGACCGGGTGGAGCGAGAATCCAGACTGGCCAGCGACTCCATGGAGGACTGACGGGAAGAGAACGAGAGGCTGCTGGCCAGCTCCTCGATCTACGGGAGACGCCGACACACCGACGTTTAGTTTTCACATTCTATTGGAGGCTGAGGGACATTTACAACGCTGTGAAACTCCACCAGTGGGAGAAAAACTACACATCTCTCCTGCTGTGAAGCTTAAAGAAATACTTAATTCTAGCAATTGGTTTCCTCGCCAGTGTCATGGAGGCTTTATCCTTGCTAGATTTATTCTGAGAAACTGCCTCCAGGAAATCTTCTATATGTTACGTTATTTATTAAGAACAGGACATTTCTAAAGACATCAAAGCGGAAAAACAAGAAAACAAGACAAAAGAGGAGAAGAGAGAAAATGATGAGAATAAACTGACATGATACTGAAGAATGATGGTCCATATGAGGCCTAGGATGATGGACGGTTTACCATCAATAATGTCAGGAATGTTAATGTTGACCAGTTTGATCTGTGGAAAAAACAACACTTTTTAGTTCCACACATTTCATACAGGTCACTGTGTTGTGGTTGTTGCCCTGTGATGTCATCACTTCATTTGTCTCAGGATAAATTCTTGAATTAAATAAATGTCTGTGTGTGTGCGTGAGGTCGCCGCGACCTTTGACCAGTAAAATGTAAATGAGTTCCTTCCTGAGTTTACGTTCCTCAGAGGTCGCTCCTCTGCCTTCATCGGGTCACTAGGAGATCTCAGCACATTTACCGATTTGCTCTTCAGAAAGGAGAGGGCCTTCTCGATGTTGCTCCGGTGCTGAAACATTCCCCTGCCGCGCTCCCGACTCTGCAAAACAACCACAGCTCAGGCTGCCGCTGGGCTTTTATTTTGAAAAAAGCGCGTTTGGGGCGGTGAACTCACGAGACGCTGGCCGCTCATCACCTCCAGCAGGTCCAGCAGTTTGGATCCGTCTCGGAAGTCGTTGAACAGATCCAGGACCCTGCAGGGAGGCCTCCGCTGTCTCACACACACACGTATTCATGTTGACGTGTGATTGTGTATATATGTGTATATATATATATATATATATATATATGGACCCAGATGCTCAATTACAATGTTCTCATTAAAATGTGCATCAGGATGGGTAGAAGAAGACATTTCTGAGTCGCTCCTTGTGACATCCAGTTAAACTCTTTATACATTTTACAGCTGCTGTTCTGAGACGCTGACATTTGGGAGGCGGTTCTTCTTCTCCTGATAAAGAAGGTTGTTGTAGTTGTTGAAGTGACTGCGGCACCACGATGAAATCGCCCCCTAACAAAAGGCTTCTTCTTTAAATGAGTCCACCAGGCACATGGAGGTAGCCATGCTGGAGGGAAAGTCACTGGATCTGTACATCGGCGGCACCAAAGTGCTTAAAGTAACTCGTGTATGAATAGGTCCCATTCTCCGATCACCAGATTTAATCTTTTCAAGTGTCGGTTGCAGGTATCAGGAGCTGTCAGATATCACCAATCAGCCTCAAAGCTGCTGATATCAGTCAGGATGAGGTCGTCTGGTGCTGTCTGTCTGTGAGCTCCTCGATGCTATATTTACATACATGCTTCCCCACCTCCAACCCGACCGTCCTCTCCAGAGACACCAACGGAGACACAGAGACAGACAGAGACACAGAGACAGACAGAGACACAGAGACAGACGGAGAGCGCGAGGTGGTTTTATGTGATGCGACTTTGCACGCGAGTCTCATCGATTCTATTTGGTTTTCTTTGCTCCTTGAGAAGAATATTTAATACGGTTACAATGCGTCTCTTATACGACGCTGCAGAGGAACCAGTCTGAGATCAATATGCAGCTGCTTGATCTGCACACATGAAGAAGAACCCCAAACTGTGCTGACAAGCCATCGGAATATATATATATATATATATATATATATATATATATATACACAGCAGGAAGCATGCTGACGATGACAGTTAGTCCACGCGAGATGGGGAGACGCTGCGGCTCACCTTGGTCAGCTGAGCGTTGACCCAGTTGGTGAAGGTCTTCTTCTGAATCTGTTCTTGTTCCACTGGAGGAGCAGAACACATCGTTAACTTTCACAGTGGAGCACATTTAATGCAGATGTTATCCAGCCGGTAAGTCTGGAGAAGAAACGTCATGAAGGACTTGGACAGCCACAGCTTCATGGGTAGGAACGAATCTCAACGTTGACCCTGTAGTGGGGCGGTTAATGTTCATTTCGTGAGCCAGAGTCAGCTTGGAACACTGTTCTACAAGGTGCGTTCAGGGATCCACTGAGCTTGCAGATTAGACTACCAAAATAAAAGCCCAAATTACAGCCCACAGCGTCCACCCGTGTGAGTCGAGCCCGATCGCACCAATCCCAGTGTGCTGGCATGTGATCACAGGTATGCGCTGTCTGCTTGTTCAGGCAACATCAGAGCATCGTTCAGCAAGAACACGGCCCCCAGCATCCTGAAATAAAGTCCTGTGTTCCAGCATAAGTTGTTGTATACTTGGAGTGTGGAGTACATCTGCCCTCATATTTAGAGCACTAGAAACTAGATTTCAAATACAGTTTGAATGTAGTTTGACGTAGATGTACTGACTACAGGACACACATACTGGTGCTCCTCCAGACGGAGGCCGGAGAAACCATCTCCCTCTCTCCCTCACACCGAAGCGGTCGATGTCACTTGGACCAGTTCACAGGCTCCAGTGGTTAAATGACACACATGAATACATCACATACAAACACAATACATGTCGGAAACCTGTTGGATAATTGCAACACATGGCCGGACCACAACACACATACCAGTTATGTATTCGATCATTCTGACCTGTGTGTGTGTGTCCCAGGTAATCATGCAGACTAATACATCACATTTAGGGAGCTCCTGTGGTTGTAGTGACTCACACCCTTGTCCACTACCATTAGCCGGTAGCATTAGCCGGTAGCATTAGCCGGTGGTGCTACGTGCCGCCGCTGCACGTCAGACGGAGCCAACGCAGACGCCTGATACGATGACGGAGCGTGTGACACGTCTAGACGGGGCCGACACAACCGTGTGTTCATTCAATCACACATTAAGACGGAAACCAACCAGGGTTTCTGACCCGAGAGCTTTGACAGATTCCAATGCTTTCTGATTGCCTCCCCACTTACATATTGAATACTAACATAGAGCATGAAGGGGGGTCTGTTTGGCTGGAGGTCCTCTGTCCTCTACGCTCTGTGCTCCTGTGAGAAGCATCACCCGGCCGTTTGCAGACATTCCCTGCGTTGATACGTCCCCCAGCGTCTGACCTTAACCACAAGGAGGCCCCGACAGACAGACAGACGATAAGACCTGACATGTGCCCGCTGATCACCGAGCTGTAAACCCACGAATAATCACAAGCTGCCAAGTAGTTGACCCAGTTCTGGAGCGGAGAGCTGTGACGCTGTTGAGTGGCGTCCGGAACCATTATTTCAAAATGAACCCTTTGGATCAGTGTCAAGTCCTCAGTAAAGCAGCGTCGATACCTAGAATCTGTAATCTTTATACATGAGTGATAAAGGGAGAAGTCCCTGGACGGAAGCTGGGCGGTCACATTGTGTCCTCATTGAGTGTTCCAGCAAAACTATTACAAGAAACTGACAAAAACATTTGCACATTAATAAACTAATAAATACTAATAAACTAATAATAAATAATTCCCTGTGACTAAACAGAGTCACATTATTTCCAATATTTCTTCACTTTAAATTAAAAAATAAGCCTCCTGTTGTTGTTCCAGAAGAACAGGTCGTGGTTCTGAACACATTTCCCAAAGCGTCGCAGTTATTAATGAGTTCTATTCTAGATTGATATCTTTCGTTTGACAAACACCACTTGTGTGTGGCTGGAGATCAGCTGTTGCGCAGAAGATTAGATCAGTGTGCCACTAAACCTAAACGATCCATGGTTATTTTGCTCCGGTACTAACAGAGAGACAGACGTAAACAAACTCACCCATGATGGGATCACTCGTGCTGACTCAGCAGGAAAACACTCTGGTGCTCATCAGTTTGACCCAAACTTCTCTCGTCTGTCCGCCGAGGAAGACATTTATGAAACTAGTTTGAGGGTGACTCCAGTCGCACCTCAGGCCTGCGGGGAAGCAGGTGCGATCATCTGGGCTCCGCCCATTTTAAATGGATTCAGACCTGCTGAAACAAGACCGCGTTGCTCCTGGGTCACGTGTGCTTTAATGAGCTGGAAAACCTGGGTCAAACTCACATGTGGATACCTCACCTGGTTTAACCCAGCGATAACATGCTGGCTGGGTAACAAGGGAATAATAATATCATAACTTTAATGACTACTAATGTTGGATGTCAACACGGCAATCACCACCAGGCAGCGACCTCTGGTTCTGCATTCTCTCTGGTGACCACCAGGGGGCGACTCCCCCGGTCACCACAGCTGAGGCACAACACTGCACAACAATGCTCCTCCTGTCTTCTTTTGTTGTCCCGTCATGTTTTTACCTTTTTTCTTGGGAATGTGACGTTTTTTCAATCTCAAATTGGCCTTGACCTTTGACCTCCATACTAATTGGTTCATCCTCACGCTGGCCAGCAGGTTGAGAAGGCGAATGTTCAGAAGGAACATCTGGTTCTAGCGCCTCGCTCTCTTAACAGCGCGCGGGTCCTTGTGTTACTCGGCGGCCTCCTCGTGCTACTGTTAATACCAAAAGGCTTCCGTCACCCGTGTGACCTCATCCGCCGCTGGCCGGTGACACAGAGCGAAGCAGAGCTCGAACGATGATGTCGACGGGGGAATCCTAAAGTCACAGGAGTCACACGGCATTTCCCTCCCTTTGCACGCGGATAATCACGTTAAGAGCATCACCGGGTAAAGGAACCACATTACGTGTTCACTGAGCCCCGCTGACGCAGACTCCTTATTGACGCCACCAGAACAATACTCCCAGTCTGTGTTCAGAATCGGGCCGACATCATCCATTCTGCACAGAGCACCAGAGAACGGTTGCATCGTTTAACGAGGTTGAGCATTAAATAAAAATGTAGAGTCATGTGTCCTCGTAGAAATCTGCACCACCTCGGGCCTCTGTGGGTAGAAAATGGATTCTATGGCATCCGCGGGTCTCCACAGAGAGCATGCAGCTTGTTCTGCATGCAGTATATCTTTCTTTGCTTCCGCCTGTTCTCTCAGTGGTGTATTTTAATATTATATTTAAAAAACAGATTGCGCAGGTATTGAGTCTTAATGAATCATCCACGCCTCTGTACGACACTGTGATTTAACCAGTGAGCACTTGTTTTATTTCATTATAGGTTCAACATTTAAAAAAAGAAGGAACTGCATGAAATGAAGCTTAGGCGAAAATTCTGTCAGGAAGACTGGACAGGCTGTGCCGTTTCCCTGGTGGCCTCCTCTCTCCCTGGGGGGGGCACGGCCAGCTGAGTAGGGGCGGGGTCGGGTAGCACCAGCCAACCAGACGTGGGCGTCGTTACCGTAAGCCAATCGCATTGATGCAGGCAAACGTTAAAAAACTGTTCTTCTCTCTTTTGCTGTCAGTTGTCATTTCAGCTCGCTCCGAAGGTAACCCGCCACCACCCCCAAAGGTGACCCGCCACCACCCTGGACACCTCCGATCTACAGCGGAACCTGGCATAGCAGGAGAGTTATGCAACTTAGGCTCCACCACCCCCAAAGGTGACCCGCCACACCCCTGACACCTCCGATCTACAGCAGAACCTGGCATAGCAGGAGAGTTATGCAACATGGGCTCTACCACCACCACCAGTGTCTGGACTCCCAAGGGGGGGGATACGCCTCGTCTCGGCTCGAGATCCCGGCCCGGGTCTATTATTATTATGTTATAATAAAGCACTGTTCAAATTTCAACAAGTGTGGTTTGTTGCTCAGTTTCAGCAGACAACAAAGAAACGTGATAAAAGGGGAAACAGGGCGGACGAGTTGTGCTCTGTTTAGTACCTGCAAAGAGAACACAGAGACTAGCAGACTAATGTATGAGCAGTAAGCACTGTGCTTTAGGGGGGGGGGGGGGGGGACACTGACCCTGGAGCAGCATGTGCACGTTGTCGATGTCCAGGGGGATGGACCCCCTCTCCATCGGGTCATCTGGGCTGTAGTCCAACGACATGCTTTCTCACCCGCGGCCCCCCAGCAGCATGGCCCCCGCTCTGCCGGGAGAGACAGGCAGCGTTACTGAGGAGCACAGAGCGGAAGGTGCAGCATCGTCACAATGATTTCTACAATGAAACAACGAAGCAGAAGCTAAAGCTACATTGTGATGTTCAGTAACGAAAGCATCAAACGGGTGAAACACGGATCACACAGAAGGAACGACAGAAGCCCAGAAAGCTCAACCCCCCCCCCACTACTGGGTAGTTGATCAATCAGGGACTACCCCGTCAGTCTGAGGGCTGGGTGGAGGCTGGGTGGAGGCTGCTCTGGGTTCTCTCCTGTTCCTTCTTGTCCCGGAAACATGAATGAGTGAACTGAGAAATGTCAACATCAACAAACACAGCGTGAGAAGCATGAAGGCGCCTTGGATTTGATCAGAAAGTCTTTTTTCGTTGACGGCTGAGCACAAAGATGATTGACAGCTCTGGAGGACGGACAGGTGAGCGAGGCTAAAATAAAACCGTGTGCAACGGCAGCAGGCCTCAGCAACACGCAAATGTCAAAGCAGCACAAAAGGTAGCTGCTGGTTTTGTTTGAACCTGCGTGTGCTGCCAGAGGGGGCGGGACCTCATTCCAGCGAACAGATCGAAGCGCGTTATGTTTTAATACGCCTTCGACGCTTCGCTGCCCGCAGCACCGAACGAGTGCACAGCTGCTCATTCAAGCACGGCTGCTTTGCTGGGGGCCACTGAAGAGGTACAACTCAGGGGTAACTCCATAATGCACATGGAGAGTCCAGGATTCTGGTCCGTTACGGCCTTACAGCCCGTGCAGGGGGGGGGTGCTGACTGATGGAATTCCAGTCGGAAGAAATGCATCCTTTGATTTGCCCACTGGTCGCTAACACAAAGACCCAGGAGGTGGTGGAGTGTCCCCCCCCCCACGGTGCTGTTCAACCTCCACACGAGAACAGGGGTCCCACATTACTGCACGCACACACAATGTTCGGGGGGGTAAAAGTATGTCAGCTATCCCAAGGCTCCGTGTCAGCTGCTGACGGAGAGACCAGGCTGGGGGGGGGGGTGGACAGGGGAGCGAGTGAGAGGAAGGAGGGACGGGGAGGGTTTGTGTCCCCCCATACCGCCGAGGAGCTTTAAGTCGGTAAGCCCCGAGGTCACGTCTTCATGGAAAAGGGGCCTTTCACTATAAAGGGTTTGTAGTCGGACACGTTAATCATCAAGTCAGCCGGCTGCTCTTCATCACTACAAGCCTGAGGAAGAGCAGTGCACCTTTATTCTGAAACACACTGTTACACCCCCACAGGGGTCCTGTTTTCAAGTTGGTCCGTTTGGCAGCAGGGTTACGAAGAGCCGACTGGCCGGATTGAAAGGGGGACGCAAAGGTCAGAGGTCAGGGAAGAATCCTTGTGTTGGATATTGAGGAGTACACCTTGGAGTTTGTAGTGTTTGGTTGCATCTGACCATGCGACTACAACTGACGGGATCAAAGGAGGGAAACAGAGAGTCAAACAGCAAGGAGAAGGTTACGAGTTTGGAACCCTGTGACAGCTTCCATGAGTCACACGTCTCTCCTGTCAGCTCTAATTGTGGCAGCAAGGCAGAGGGCGGCGGACCACGTGGCGCGCTGGGGTGGAGACCAACGGGGAGGGGGGAGGGGGGGGGGGCGTCATGAGGCCTGCATTCCATGCGCTTTAGAAAAAAATGTATGTCTGCGTGTGACGTTGCTCTTGGAGGAGGGAGGAAGGGGAGCAGCGCATCGGATGGATGTGGCCGCCCCAAAACCGCCCGAGGCGGGGGAATTGAAGTCGACAAAAAAGCGCTTATAAGAGCTGCGTGTGACCGGACGTCCTGTTGGGTGGATCAGAAAAGACAAAGAAGTTTCTCAAGCTCTCTCCAACACATTGACCACCCACCCGGTAACACCCCCCATTCTCAAATCAATTTCCCCCTCGGGGCAGTCACGAAGTGAAATGGAAGTTGACAGACAGATTGGGCATAACTTAACTGATTGGACGTCCTGGGGAGGCACCGTGACATCATCGATTTGTAGAGTAGATATAAACAAACAACATGCAGATATTATTATGGAAATAGATGAAAAAAGATTTCCCCCCTCATTTGTGATGGGTTCTTATTGTTATGCAAGATACTCATTAGCTAGCAGTGTGAAGTCGCATGCAGAGGCAGGTGGTGTTCGTAGTCCCCATCCAGCGTCACACCTTCTGACCAGCAGTTACTGGGATCCAACCTTTACCATGGGATCGTCACACGATGCCCAACATGCCGCCAATCCAACCGCCAGGCAATCCGGTGGGCTTAGCAGAATCCCTGTCAGGTCACTACGATCATCATCTCATGGGTGGGTTGTGTCAATGCTGCTCATCTGCTGCAGCAGCTGCAAGGCTTGGATTCAGGGGCCTCTGACGGAGCTGTTTTAGTGGGTTCTCAGGGCAAAACACTGGATGCGCTAAGAAGTGGGGCAAGGTGGCACCATAGCACTAAAAAGCAAACAACTCAGTCACTATTCTAAACTCCTCCAATAACAGCCTTTAACTTCACTGCGGTCAAGTCAGAGCTTTTCATTCAATACTATTATCACAGGGCGCAACATATGCACGTCATTATACGCCACCCCGTCTTTATGCTATCAAGTGATACAAAGTGCCCCCCTTCACCCACCCGTATCACTGCAGGAATGCGAGATAGCTGCTGTTATGAAGCTGTCAGGGGCCACAAATAGCAGCAGGGAACATGTGTCTGAGCTGCTTTCAGATCGGTTCACTGCAGCCGTGTAAAGCGTCCTTGAGGAAGAGCAGGGCACTTCTTTTGTTTTCCGCCCCGCACGGTGTAACAGCCCGTAATGAGGAATCTGTCTTTGAGGAAACCAAATGAGGAGGCGGTAACGCTTACGTCACGATACCTGACATCAGGTAGCCAGGGCGAGCTTTGCAACTGCAGGCACTGAGGTGCACGTGAATAAAAACTTACATGCGGCGGTAGAGTGCGCGTCGTGGGGCTGAAGACGAGGGTCCGGTCGGTGAAGTGGAGGAACTGATTCTGCTCCGTAGTAGCTGGTGGAGATTGAAAACTGAAGCAACGTTTGACGGATCTGCAGTCTGCAGAGGCCGGGGCCGGACTGTTACCGGAGAAGCCAGGGCCATACCGGGCCGAGCACGGACACACACACACACACACACACACACAAAAGTCACCGGCTAGGGACTAAATATAGACAACCAGTCAGGATTCAACACACACATATAAGCCCCACTCCAGTCTGGCACTGGGGGCCGTCACCCGGGTCAAAAGTTACAGCCCGAACACGTGAAAGTTACAACCAGTAACAAGTTTGAATGTCAGCTGATCTGACGTGAAAGACACGTCAAACCTGCAACCGCAATGCGCCCAACGTAGAGCTTGAACGTAAGGTAGCATTAACTTAGCTAGCATACATTTAGCTTATCGTTAGCATATACCTACCTATCACTGCTCTGGGTGTATTTAACATTGTTACACTCATGGCGTTTCATAAACATTAGCTTAAACAAAACCAGTTTGTACATAAAGTAACTAAGTTAACTAGTGAACCTTTTATGTTACTTCCCGTATCCATGGTTGCTCGCGCAGTAATGCTAGCCGACCCGAAGTTCAACCTGGAGTGAAACTGTTGCCACGGCGACAGAATGCAATGAAGAAGGTTCTTAATCAAAACTCTCTGCACAAATAAGAAAACTACTTCATCAAACTATGCTGCTCGGTAATTTGTATTCAAGCGATGTTTTTACACACATCATCTTTTGGCCCAAAAAGATAAAGTTCATTGTTAACATTAGCTAGCATTAGCTAGCCACTGCTCCATATGATGCAAGCAAACACGTTTTCTAACTTTCACTGTCCAAACGTCCAGGAAACATTTCCCATGTTTTCCAGGTACGACGGAGGAAACTGCGGAAAAGTAATGGCACAAATACGTTATGAACAACGCAATTTAATGTGATATTATAAGCGTGACATCCTGACATTTGTTGGTATTCCAAAGGTTTGGTCCAATCAGAACAGCTAATTACGATTTACAGGTTAATGGAAGGATGTAATGCGCTGGTGCAATTTAAAAAAAAATTTATATATATATATATATATATATATATATATATATATATATGTATATACATTTTTTAAAAACAATGCAGGTAATGAAAAAACAATATCTAAAACAATGATAACAACAAAATAAAGTCAAATAAAAAAACGTGTACGTTCTCGACGTTTCTTCAATCAAGGAGATACAAATGGATGAATATGCAAACGGTTTAGCTGGAACACAGCCTCGTTGGCCCTTTGATTCTTGTGTTTCCCTGGTTGCCCTGAATTGCTAAATAGAAGACACAAAGGTCAAAGTTCATACAAACTGGGTCAACATTTAAAAAGCATGCAGCTCCAAAGCCATTCCAAAGTACGAAACAAGGTAGTGTTATCGAAAAACAGGATTTCTCAAAAAGATCAATAAGAAATTAGGGTTAAGAGGGCTCTAAAATAGTAAAGGGCGCATATTAGTTATGCTGCGTTCACACCATCACAAGCCAAGCAGATTTTCGCCCCCTTTACTCGCTTCATTCGCGTCCCGCTTTATGCGCGCCTGGAAGGGGGCGTGGCTTATATCTGTTACTTGTCTCCGTAAAGACAGTTATAATAATTTACGCTGTCCACCATGGAAATAAATAACCACCTTGAACGTCACCGAGTCCTCCAGGAAGTGCGTCTGGATGACTGCGGCTTCCAGCGCTGCTTCAGGCGGTCTGATGACCTGTTACCGGCGTTCAGTCTCAGCTCTGTGTGTGTGTGTGTGTGTGTGTGTGTGTGTGTGTGTGTGTGTGTGTGTGTGTGTGTGTGTGTGTGTGTGTGTGTGTCTCAGGTGAGCTGCCGTTTGATAAAGTGTATTCACGCTTTGGCAGCAGGACGAAGGTGATGACGAGCGGAGCAGCTCAACGCAGATTGGCTTTCGCTAGACAGCGTCGGGTGAATTTTTCGCACAAAGTTGAAATATTTCAGCCCCTTGTGGCCCGCGGGTACAAATTGAAAGGTTTTCGTGGCCCTCTAGGTGGCGCTCGCGGCCCAGTCGGGGGACCCGTGCACGCCCCTCTTTGTCTCCTGGTCTTCTTCTACATGTAGACTAGTAGGGAACACGTGATGGAGCAGAAACCTTTGTAACAAATGTTGTGAAGAGTTTATGTTGAATAAAAACATCCACTAAGACAAGCGAGTCTGAGCTGAGAGTGTTTTTATTCTTCACTCCTCTGTGATGATCTGGTTGAACCTGTTGGGGCGGAACAACTCACCCACGTATCAGTGTGACGCTGCGTGTTCAACCATTTACCTTCATGACAAACTGCAGCTGTACAAAGTACTTGTTACACGCAGTATTCAACTCGTACTACATTCATACTACTTCCTCATCACATGGCAGCTTGAACCCTCTGACTCATATATCTGCCGTGCAAAGGATTGTGGGTAAGAACAGCTGGTGAAGAAGCCTGCTCGCGTACTATACAATGTGACCTAATGAAGAACACAAAATTACTGCAACTCAAAATGCTTGTTAATATCTTGTGGCCCCCACGTGCTTGTCTGCTCCTAAGGAGACAACGGATGGCGTCTTGTTGGATCTCCTCCCAGACCCGTCTGAGGGCATCAGTGAGCTCCTGAGGAGTCTGAGGAGCAACCTGCTGTCGTCTGATGGACCCAAACATAATGTCCCACAGGTGTTGCTCTTTTTCGCCCCGCTGCTCCCATTAGTCCCTCCAGAGTCTCACTTTGAGTCCCACGAGTTCAGAATGATGAGTTGTCGCCTCCTGGTGGCCGAGGGAAGAAGGACGTGAGCTACGTCCTCGTCTCAAAAATACCAGAAGACAAAAGCATGCTGAACGGGCCACTTTGTACATAAAAAGTTGGGCCCAGAGGTCAAAAAGGTTAAAAAACCCTGCTCTAAACCATCTGGTCCCAACTACAGCATCCAGTCTGTTGTCATAGCAGCTCTTTACAAGGTGAAAGGATCGTTCCACAGATGCTGGTTTTGGTCCTTGGTGAGGAGGATTCTGTTTACGGTTTGACCCCGGGGAACGCAGCTCAGACTGACACTCAGTCAACCAGTCAGATTGCATACTTTGACGGTGACGTGAGGACGCACCCTCTCTGATGAAGTACAACAAGCTCCAACAAGCGTCACTTCACTCCGTCTGGTGAAAGCTGAAGTGAAGCACGGAGCTCCTTTTCTACACGGACCTGCTGAGGACAGAAGAGAGCTGCTCACTGAGGAAGTTCATGTCTACAAGATCAGTAAGTGCAGCTGTGATTGGTGGAATGACATCGTTGATGGTCGTGAACGTGTGATTGTTTAAAGCTGGGAAACAAGATGGCGCCTGTGTGAGCAGGCAGAGAGGAGCTGCTGTTAGTCTGAATGATGACGCTGTGATGAAGAAGAGGAGCTCAGTCTGATCTGGGGTCTGTGAGGACTGGTACTGATGAGGAGGGGAAGGTAGCAGACGGAGGGGCACTAGGACCCAGCAGGGACCACAGAGCTCACCTGGGCCCTTGTTCCTGAAACACACCTGAGAGACGCTGTTTGTTCTCACCTGCTGCTTCAGTCCTTTAAGTCCACAAAGCTTCATCTGCTTTAAACACATTTAGTCCCTTTTAGAGTGTTTCAATGTGTTTGTGTTTTCTTTAGTTTAAGCTCTTCATAGATCAGGACTCACTGATCGTAACCGCACCAACAATGTAGAAAAACCTGCCCACACACATTTACATGTGTACTATCACACAAACACACACCCATCTGGTACAACTGGTGTTGTAAAATACCTCAGGCCAGAGGGTTAAAGCTGTTTTAGATGTTCAAATATCCACAATAAAAGGCCGATGGGGCCTCTGAGGTCATCAGACAGAGGTCGAGTCTCTGAACCCAGAACCAGATCCAGGTCTGGTGGGCTCCTTCAGTCAATACACCATATTCACCAGTGGATGAAACAGATCCTTCCATTCCTGTCGGTGTTCCTTTACCTTTTCATTGTGTAACTCATCTTCAGTCTCCTTTGCTCGTCAAGTGCAAAGTGGATCCGAGCTTTACTGAAGGTTTTCAGCGTCGTTTGATGACTTTTCATGCTTTCATGCTCCAGTGTGACTGGATGAAAACAGCCGGCAGGGATCGCAGTACAGTGACTGACTCCCTCTTTATATCAACTCTTCTTGGAATTCAAATCCAGTTTGGAGAAATTCCTCAAGTCGGTGATCGTTTCATCATCAAGTCATTTGGACGTTGAATTTGACGCGGATCACGCTGACAACGCAGCTGGTGTAGTGACGTCAGCAGCGCAAAAGTCCAGCAACATCTTGATTTTAACCTGTCCATGTTTGATACGTAACGTAGATGATTACTGGCTCAACATGTTTACGTGCAAAGGCACAGCAGAGTTGTGCTTTTTGCCGGTGACGTGAGGTTGGTGGCCGGGAGGATCTGACTCTTTCACACCCACATTCACAAATCTATGAATTCAGTAGCATAAATTCACCATTCAACTGGCTGCTTGCACATTGACTACTGGTTATGTTTCATGTTCCGTATCGTATCCTGAGGAGTCTGAGGAGCAACCTGCTGTCGTCTGATGGACCCAAACATAATGTCCCACAGGTGTTGCTCTTTTTCGCCCCGCTGCTCCCATTAGTCCCTCCAGAGTCTCACTTTGAGTCCCACGAGTTCAGAATGATGAGTTGTCGCCTCCTGGTGGCCGAGGGAAGAAGGACGTGAGCTACGTCCTCGTCTCAAAAATACCAGAAGACAAAAGCATGCTGAACGGGCCACTTTGTACATAAAAAGTTGGGCCCAGAGGTCAAAAAGGTTAAAAAACCCTGCTCTAAACCATCTGGTCCCAACTACAGCATCCAGTCTGTTGTCATAGCAGCTCTTTACAAGGTGAAAGGATCGTTCCACAGATGCTGGTTTTGGTCCTTGGTGAGGAGGATTCTGTTTACGGTTTGACCCCGGGAACGCAGCTCAGACTGACACTCAGTCAACCAGTCAGATTGCATACTTTGACGGTGACGTGAGGACGCACCCTCTCTGATGAAGTACAACAAGCTCCAACAAGCGTCACTTCACTCCGTCTGATGGAAGCTGAAGTGAAGCACGGAGCTCCTTTTCTACACGGACCTGCTGAGGACAGAAGAGAGCTGCTCACTGAGGAAGTTCATGTCTACAAGATCAGTAAGTGCAGCTGTGATTGGTTCAATGACATCATTGATGGTCGTGAACGTGTGATTGTTTAAAGCTGGGAAACAAGATGGCGCCTGTGTGAGCAGGCAGAGAGGAGCTGCTGTTAGTCTGAATGATGACGCTGTGATGAAGAAGACGAGCTTAGTCTGATCTGGGGTCTGTGAGGACTGGTACTGATGAGGAGGGGAAGGTAGCAGACGGGGGGGCACTAGGACCCAGCAGGGACCACAGAGCTCACCTGGGCCTTTGTTCCTGAAACACACCTGAGAGACGCTCTGTTTGTTCTCACCTGCTGCTTCAGTCCTTTAAGTCCACAAAGCTTCATCTGCTTTAAACACATTTAGTCACTTTTAGAGTGTTTCAATGTGTTTGTGTTTTCTTTAGTTTAAGCTCTTCATAGATCAGTCTCACTGATCATAACCGCACCAACAATGTAGAAAAACCTGCCCACACCCATTTACATGTGTACTATCACACAAACACACACCCATCTGGTACAACTGGTGTTGTAAAATACCTCAGGCCAGAGGGTTAAAGCTGTTTTAGATGTTCAAATATCCACAATAAAAGGCCGATGGGGCCTCTGAGGTCATCAGACAGAGGTCGAGTCTCTGAACCCAGAACCAGATCCAGGTCTGGTGGGCTCCTTCAGTCAATACACCATATAGCCATACACCATATTCACCAGTGAATGAAACAGATCCTTCCATTCCTCTCGGTGTTCCTTTACCTTTTCATTGTGTAACTCATCTTCAGTCTCCTTTGCTTGTCAAGTGCAAAGTGGATCCGAGCTTTACTGAAGGTTTTCAGCGTCGTTTGATGACTTTTCATGCTTTCATGCTCCAGTGTGACTGGATGAAAACAGCCGGCAGGGATCGCAGTACAGTGACTGACTCCCTCTTTATATCAACTCTTCTTGGAATTCAAATCCAGTTTGGAGAAATTCCTCAAGTCGGTGATCGTTTCATCATCAAGTCATTTTGACGTTGAATTTGACGCGGATCACGCTGACAACGCAGCTGGTGTAGTGACGTCAGCAGCGCAAAAGTCCAGCAACATCTTGATTTTAACCTGTCCATGTTTGATACGTAACGTAGATGATTACTGGCTCAACATGTTTACGTGCAAAGGCACAGCAGAGTTGTGCTTTTTGCCGGTGACGTGAGGTTGGTGGTCGGGAGGATCTGACTCTTTCACACCCAGATTCACAAATCTATGAATTCAGTAGCATAAATTCACCATTCAACTGGCTGCTTGCACATTGACTACTGGTTATGTTTCATGTTCCGTATCGTATATTCTTTTATAAAACAGGTAGATGAAATCAAGCGTTCTGATTGGTTGAGAGTGAGTCACTGGGTGTTGTGTATTGAGCCATAATGTACCGGTTTACATTGACCTCAGCGTTCACATCACTGCGCACTCAAAACAACAGTTGGATTTTGCGCGACTGTTGGTTGTTGTTGACGATCGCCGCATTAAAATCAGAAACACCACAAAAATCAGAAAGATCACAAAAAAGGTGTCCTGAGAGGCAACAGTTTTAAGACACCTTTTAGCACAAGAGGACACTTCAGGTCGACGTCACGAGCGATGTGATGTTATGAGATGGTCCAGCAGGCAACATTATTATAAAAGCAATACGGTTTGCCAACAACACCCTTGGACATTATTATCGTACGTAAATAAAGTACAGCCTCTCGTTCCTTATTGCTTAAATCTTGTTTAATATTTTTCAATTTTTATTAGGTCTTTTATTTTTGTTGTATACAGTAATGTATGCATGGTCTTACCTTTCCTTACCTTTCCGCCTCCACAGCGTGACAAGCAGGAAGCTGCCAGTCCAGCTGCCTCCTTACTGCTTTTAAACTGCGCCGTTACGTCAGATTAGCAAGACTAACATACGTGAGGTACAGGACCCAGACTATGGGATGTGAGAAACGGTGTACAAACATTACATTGGTGACATACACAGACATTAATTGCACGCAATGCGGTTTTCAGCCTTTGATAAGCTGTCACTCATGTTGACCCGCCCATCTGTTGATGCCCCGCCCCCCAAGACATATCAGGGCCAAAAGTCTGAAACTGAAGAAACTACAAAATGTGTAAAAAAATTGACACTTCCAAATGTAAGATTTGAATCTGAAAATATAAATACAATGTATGATATAAATATTAATATAAGAACCCAAATACCCAAAAATATATGAGAAGAATGAAAATACATTTCTTATTCAAAACCGTTCAAGAACTGAATCAAAATGATATAATTGAAAAACTCTGTTCATTCAGTTATTTTCATTTTGAAAACATGTATTTTCTTTTTGTGTATTCGATGTTCCTGACCAAAACTCAAACTTTCAGGTTCAATTTTCTTTTTCAAAAGAACAAAACTTTTGGCCTGGATTTGGCTCCATTGACTTCCTCCATTACGATTATTTGATTATGAATTGATTTTGTTTGAATGCAAATGACACGGCATTTCTGTTGTTGCAGGTGAAGCTGTGAACCACCTTCGCTCTTCCCCAATATTCACAGATTCATCCAACAAGTTTCCACAAAGAGGACGCTGACTTCATCAGAGGTGCTTAGAAGGAGGGAGAAGAATTCTATTTCATTGTGTTTCAAAACCAAAGTGCAGAGCAGTGATTGTTCTCTAAGGTTAATATTTATTTGGGTGTTTTTAAAAAGGACAGATGGAGAAAGTCAAGAAGGACCTCATCAAAACGTTAAAGCAGCTCAAGGATCACGAGTTCAAACAGTTCAAATGGGTGCTGGAGAACCATTCAAGCCCGGAAGGCCCCCGATCAATCCCACCCTGTGACCTGGAGAACGCAGACAGGATGGACGCGGTGGACCTGATGGTGCGGTGCTACGACACAGACTCCGTTCATGTGGCCATGAAGGTTTTGGAAGAGATGCAAATGAACGGTCTGGCCAAAACATTATCCAAAACAAACTCTACAGGTAAGTTGTTAAAAAGAGGAACAAAGACATCAGATGCGTATAATAAAGATACAGCAGAAGTAAAAATGAGGAATGTGCTTCATAAATCCTCCTCATCCCTACAGGGCGGGGCTCTTCTGAAGCTCCTCCCCCTCTGATGGATGTGCTTCATGTGCCGTTTCATTCACGGATTGTCTGCTTTCTGTCGGTTTTGTAATGAATGTAATGAATGGTCACATGCAAGTATGAGCACTAAATGACTGACATTAATTAATGTATTAATGTCAATGCCATTCTTAATAAATGTTATTAATAACGGGGCACCACCCTGGAAGAAGGGATCAAAAAACAAACTATAAATTGAGTCCCATAATTGGTGTTCACTCAATAAGAGGAACTATTCCACATGAAGAGTGTAGGTTTGAATTTGAACACAGATTGTAAATACCAGCTATTATCACTCTACAAATGCACAAAGTAATCACAGAAAACATCTTGTTTCAGGCGAACCGAATCCTGTGGGAAGAGATAGAGGTCAAGGTGAAGAGACTTTATGTACAACCGTCTAAATACTGCACACTTCTATTATTTCCATTGTGAAGTTCTCACTGTCAGTATTCTGGGAAGCTTCAGAGAGCCATGCAGAGAAATACAACAATAGCTTAATCCAAGGGAATAATATACAATTAAAAATAATATGCCATTGAATTAAAGCACTATCGTGTTTGTGTCATCTCTTTCTTTTGTTAATTCAGAGATTATCGCCGAAGGTCAGCGTGAACTCAAATCCAACCCGAAGGAGAAGTTCCAGTGTGTGTTTGAGGGGATCGCTGAAGCAAGAAACCCAAGCCTTCGGAATGAGATCTACACAGAGCTCTACAACACAGAGGGAGCGACTGCAGAGGTCAATCAAGAACATGAGGTCAGACAGATAGAAACAGCATCCTGGAAACCAGACAGACCAGAAACAACCATCAGACTAGACGACCTCGTCAAATTGTTGCATCTGGGAGAGCTGGACCTGAGCTACAATCATCCAGGAGACCCAGGAGAGAAGCTGCTGTCTGCTGGACTGAAGAGTGCAAACAGGAGACTGAACACTCTCAGGTATGAACAGAACATCAGTCTGGTAGAGGAGGTAGAGCTGGAAAAATGTTCTCTGTCACACTGTCAGCCTGGTTAATACGACCCTGACACACCAAGCTGTCCTCAAACTACCAGAGATTCATGTGTCCCACATGAGACCATCAATACAGACAGAAGCAGGATGACCCGCTCACAAGCCCCGCCCCTCCCTCCGCCGCTTAGTATCAGACGCGCAGGTAATGGCGGTGTTCCGCAGAATCCCCCGACGTTGTTTAGTGATAAATTAATCACAAGGACAGTCAGAGAATTTAAAGGCAGTTTTACTGTTCTACAAATTTGACAAGTTCACTAGTTTTGTTTAATATACAATTATTTAAATGAAAGGTAAGTCTTAAGTTTAGCTACATGACGGTCTTGTGATGTATTTTGCGGTATATTATTGGTGTAATGCTGCTTATGCTTCAACTGTAAAAGCGTAAACATCTTCCAAGAGATGACACCAACGAGGATGCTCCAGTGAAGCTCCTTTAATTTATTCAGAGCAGAGTTTTGATATTTGAGATTATTATTAACATATTAGTTAATTGCGTCTGTTTTCGCCTGATATTAATTCATTTATTCCATCTGAGTTAGTTTATTGCCAAAAATAAATATATGAATATAGAGGAAAATATTCTGTGTTTTTTATTTAATTCATGATGTATTATTATTTTTCATTTATAAATTATTTTGGTGATGGGGGCCCTTTTGTTTTAGTTTTAGTACCTGCCCCCCAAAGTGTCCCTCTAAAACCCTCTAAAGATTGACTCCCACATCTGTCACATCACATCTTCAATAGGTCCTTTTTACTTGCACCTCGCATCTTCCCGGTGTGGTAAAGTATATTTTTCATCCTTAAAATGTAGTCTTCACTATCAGAGCGGATTCTCTCTATGAAAAATGTAAAAAAAATGATAAAAAATAATTAGTAAAAAATTGATTATTAAATTAGTTCAAACGTCACAATTATGCTTCTCAGAATGTTTTTCTGGATACAACGTGTCTTCCCTGGAGAGAGGAGGTGTGGTGCTGAGGCCGCGCACTTAAGTTTACCCAGAATGCTTCTTGCTCGTCAGCTGCTTAAGGCCGCCACATGTTTCTGCGTCTTTACGTCGTGTCGACGCACTGGTTTCACTTCCTGGTTGTAAAGTCTTGCGTGTGATGCAGAGCGATTCACCTCCAGAACAACAGGTGGAGTCACGTGTTTTGTTGAAGACGACCTAGAGAGTCACGTCTTTGCTTTATTTATGGATCATAGACTTTATTGCCCCGTGCATCCACACTGCTGCTTTTCATCAAAGACACATTTGTCCCGTATTTTCCTCCACGACTTTGTTCCCCTCGTTGGTGGAGATCTCCCTCCATGAATCAGAGGCCATCCGGCGTCCTCATAGTCCGCCAATGACGGCTCGTACAAGCGCTCATATTTACGCATTTCTTCCCACAAAAGCTCTTCAATCTGATCCGTTCTCTCGTAAACATTCTTCCTTTTAATAACGGCCGTATTGTGCTGTGAAAACGGAGACGTGAGACTCTAAAGGACGTAGTCAGCAAACCAATCACAGCCTGGTGCTGCAGGAGGCTGCGTTGCTTTAGACGCTAGTCTAGAAAAATGGGTCGCTCCATGTCAGACAGAAGTACTTCAGAAGATGGTCACATGTCACATGTCGTGTTCACAGCTTGTTGTCACTGAACCACAAGTGGACAAAGAAACCACCTGATGAGGTTTAAACATTTGATTCACTGACTGCTGAAGGAAACTGAGTGAAATGAAGATGGTGGTCAGAATGATGCAGATGATAATAGACGATGAGCTGTGGTCATCAGCCAATCAGAAGAAGAAGAGGT